CGAAAATACCAGATCATATGGCGAAGTGGCCCTTCCCATCCCCAGTGCCATAAAATGCTGGTATTTATTATCAAAGTTAATAGTTACTTGTTTTGTAACATATCTGCAGAGATATCTTTACATACGGTTCCAGAAAATACAGTTATAATAAACTGCAGGCTCATAATGTAAAGAATTTGTGAATAAAATAACAGTGACGTTGGCAATTCTATTGCGTAATTGTCAGCCTGGTTCAATTAGTAACACTCTTGCTCTCATCCACAAGTTGGTGGTTTCAAGCTGCTGACTCCGAAGTTGTATTTGGAGCTGTGAAGTTGAGCTCCATGTTGGGTCTCTGATTACAATCTGGGATGACACTCCAATACAGTGCTGGAGAGTGCTTTATTGTTCGAGCTACTGTCCCTCGGATAAAATCAAGATCCTATTCCTTGGCGTTATTCAAAATGGGAATTTGACCTGGTGTTCTTGCAAACAATCCCCCTAATTGAACTGGTCTTTCAGTTCACAGCTGTTTGTGGGAAATTGCTGATTGCAAATTGGTTTTGGTGTTTGCCTACAAAATACAGTATAGAAAATCCTGTAAGGCACTTTAAGATGTCCTCCTGACATGAAAGGCACTAAATTAAATTCAAGGATCATTAATTTTTATATTTGAACTATGAACTCCACACTCTCGAACTGTATTTTGGGATTTCTCAAATCTTATAACAGAATCAAGTGATTTGTTAGCTGTTTCAGAAATGTAAAAATGCTCATTTTTGAAAGTCTACTGGCATTAATAATACCCAAATTGCATTTCTCACAGTTGGCTCTTAGGAATTCCAGGTATTCATATGATTTTTTTTTGTATGTGAGCTTGGCTCAGTGGTAGCATTCCCGTCTCTGAGTCAGAGGTTGTGGTTTCAAGCCCCACATCAGAACTTGGAATCACACAGTCTAAGCCAGGGTGGTCCAACAGGCGGCCACATCCAGCCTGGTGGATGATTTCATCCAACCATTTCCAATTTTGAGCCATTTGCTCCCTCCCTTGGCGAACCGTCCCCTCATGGCAAAGGAAGGAGCCAGCTGTTGGGAGGGACGCAGCCCGGGGAGTGGAAATAAAGTGGCGGCAGTGGGATTAGTTGGATAGCTCTTTCAAAGAGCCGGCATAGGCACGAGAGTGATTAAGAAAGAGAATGTGAGAGGGGGAGAGAGTGATTAAGAGAGGGGCCGAGAGGGTGATTGACACTCCAGTGCAGTGCTGGGATGTTGCATTGTTATTCTTCAGATGAGTTTCAGGCAGTTTCTCCCAGTGCCCTACCCAACGTTCCCGCAAATGTAATTGGTCACTCACTGTTTGTGGGGATTGCGGTGTGCAACTAGCGGCCATATTTTGGCCACAAAATATAGTCAATTCACTTTACAGTCTATCCTGTGAAGCCTTACGATCTCTCAACAATGTGATAAGGCACTATCAAGAGTTATGCAAGCATTATTATTATCAATTGAGATCTAACTTGCGATATTTCTTTGTTAAGAATTCCTGTTATCCCATGGGAATTGTGCTCTGAAAATCTATTGGTTGGAGTGGAGTTACCACAAGTCAGCAGTGGTGATTCACCAGAGTTTGGTGCCACATGCACTGGTTGCTCTCCAATGTCTCATCTACTGCCTATCCTTCATGTGAGTCTACCTAACTACATGGGGATAGTGGTTATCATTCAGCAACACAAACCCAGGTTGGTTTTCCCCTTGCTCATCTAATTAGAATTTTTTTCCTCCTGATCCTATTTCCCAGACTAGTTGAGGAAAGTTTGTCTGATGAGAGGAAGATTTCTATAGGGAGAATTTTGAAAAGCGAGATGCTGATTTTATGATATAAATTTCTGAATGTGCAATGCACTGGAGCTCTAATGGAATGAGAAACAATACCTTCAATTTGATTGTTTAAGGTGAGATCCCAATAGCATATCTAAGGGAATTTGATAAATATTTTCTGAAAAATATGAGAGGATATGGGGAAGTGCTTGAAATTGGATTTGAGTAATTATAATAATAATAATAATAATCCTTGCATTTGATATAGCGCTTTTCACGTCAGGAGGACGTCCCAAAGCGCTTCACAGAACACACTGTAAAGTGAATTGACTATATATTTGTGGGCAAACGCGGCAGCCAATTGCGCACAGCAATGTCCCACAAACAGTCGTAGATTGAAAATGACCAATTTAATTATTGTTTTTGGTTTTTTGGAGGGATTATTATTAGGTGTGTGGAGTAAGGAAACTTGCCCAAGGTTTCGCCCTGCCTGGAATTGAACTCAGGTCTCTCACTTGCAAAGCGAGTGCTCTAACCACTGAGCTACAGGACTCCACAAACATAATTATTAACAATTATTGCATAGATTCACATGTACTCATGCTGCCTGACCCATATCTCCGAAATTGGGCATAAAACAACAAGATTACATTTGTATAGCGCCTTTCATGTCGGGAGGACGTCCCAAGGCGCTGGACAGTGTACAACATTTCAGACCCGAGCTGGGGTCAGGGGAGAGAAGGGAGGGGAAGGGGTGTGGCTGATGGCATGATCGAAGAGGAGGGTCTTGAGGTGGGATTTGAAGGAGGCTAAGGATGGGGTGAGGTGGAGTGACTGGGGGATGGAATTCCAGAGGTTGGGAGCAGAGTGGCTGAAGGCTCTCCTGCCAATGGTGGGGCAGGTGGATCGGGGGACGTGGAGCAGACCGGAGCCGGCTGAGCAGAAGGAACGGGTGGGTTGGTAGAGGGTTAGGAGGTTGCAGACGTAGGGTGGGTCGAGGCCATGGAGGGTTTGTATTTGAGGACCAGGATCTTGAACTGGATCCTCAGAAGGATAGGGAGCCAATGGAGTCGGGCGAGAGTGGGGGAGATGGGGGTCACAGATTTTGGTGCGGGAGAGGACACGGGCTGCAGCCTGTGGAGGGAGGAGTTGGGAAGGCCGACAAGCAGGGTGTTTGCATAGTCGAGCCTGGAGGTGATGAAAGCATGAACAAGAGTTTTAGCGGCCTGAGGGGTGAGGTAGTGGCGGAGTCGGGCAATGTTACGGAGGTGAGGGAAGGCAGAGCGGGTCGTGGCTTGGATGTGGGAGAGAAAAGACAGTTGAGGGTCAAACAAGACACCTAGGTTCCTGACTGGCTTGGTGAGTTGTAGTGTACAACCATGGAGGTTGATACTGCCAGAGCCTGAGGTGCTGAGGCGCTGGTGCGAGCCAATCAGGAGGGCCTCAGCCTTGTTCACATTCAACTGTAGGAAATTTGCCCTCATCCAGGACTTGATGTCTGACAGGCAGTCTGTCAGGACAGCAGTGGTCCTGGAGTTGAGGGTGGAGGCAGAAAGATAGAGTTGGGTGTCATCCGCATACACGTGGAAGTTGACCCAATGTCTGCGGATGATGTCACCAAGAGGGAGCATGTAGATATTAAAGAGGAGAGGGCCAAGGACAGAGCCCTGGGGGACGCCAGATGTGACAGTGCGGGGGCTGGAGGAGAAACCGTTAGAGGCAACATACTGGAGACTGTGAGAGAGATAGGAATCGAACCAGGCAAGGGCAGATCTGTGAAGATTGAGTAAAGTGGAGAGGCGGTGTATGAGGATGGAGTGAGTGATCGACGAGTGAGTCACGAGCCACGAGTGAGTGTCAAAAGCGGCAGAGAGCTCGAGGAGGACAAGGAGGCAGAGGGAGCCCTGATCACAGATATTCAGAATGTCATCAGTGACTTTGACCAGGACTGTTTCTATGCTGTGGGCAGCGTGGAAGCTGGTTTGGAGGGGTTCAAAGAGGGAATGGCAAAAGAGAAAGGAGCAAAGCTGGGAAGCGAAGACTCATTCCAGGACCTTGGAAAGGAATGGGAGGTTAGAGATGGGCGGTAGCTGGAGAGGAGGAATGGGGCCAGGGAAGTTTTTTTCAGGATGGGGGTGATGACAGCTGTTTTTAGGGGGGTGGGAACTGAACCGGTGGACAGGGAGAGGTTGATGACTTTGGACGGGGTGGGGGGGGGGTCGAGGGCAGAAGGTGGAGCTGGGAGGTAAGGAGAGAGGTGGGGATGGGATTGAGGGAGCAGGTGGTGGGTTTGAGTTTGAGGACAGTCGTAGTGGAGGGAGAGAATAGGATCGAAGGAGTATAGGGGGGGATGGGTGGGAGGTGGGTCGTGAGGGAGAGGAGATATGGGGGTGTCTATGGGCAGGGCTGAGGCGACTGAACATATCCCCTCGATCTTAGATTCGAGGAAGTTAGTGGTGGAAAAGAGAAGCCGGGGGTTGTCCTTTGCCTCCAGGCTAACCTTGGAGTAGAAGGAGAAATTGGCGGAGGCAAGTGCACAGTCTTGGTGTGGTGAAGCCAAATATAATTTGTGTCTGATAAAAAAAAACACTCAAATAAATGTTTCTAATCAGTCTGCAAGAGAGGGTGGATTTGCAGCCAGCATGCTCATAGCAATGTCCCACAAGCAGACAAAAAAAACCATCAATTTATTTTGAGGATTGTTGGCTAGGATACTCAATATGATGTCTTTAACATCAAACAGCACCTCAATTTAATGTCCAGAAGAATATAGTGGAAGGCCCATTGATATTTATAGTAGTTATGGTCTCAGTAAAATTCCTACTTCAAAATCTTTGGAATCAATGAGCTGCATTACACGCCCACTTCCTTCCCTGAAATTTCTTTCCTGAAAAATGTTGTGGTAAGCAACCATAACAACCTTTATTGTCCTGGACATAACAGGCTGTAGTTGAGGACAGTTTGTCTGATGGGAGGAAGATTTCTATAGGGAGAATTTTGAAATGTGAGATGCTGATTTTATGATATAAATTTCCGAATGTTCAAATGCACTGGAGCTCTAATGGAATGAGAAACAACACCTACAATTTGGATTAGTTCCGATTGATTACTGCATCGTGAAAGGGTGAACATTACGGCCGGGCAAAGTGTTGGGGCATCTACAATCTATAACAGTTGTAGGTCACAAAAACAAACTCAGTTTAAAAGGTTTAAAATAGATAATTTTTTTATTTCTTAAGTACACAAAATGCTTGCAAGAAGTTGACAAAATATTCGAATACAGAAGAATACACATACAATAAATTCTATATCAATTAAAAAAAATTAGTCACTAGCTAACTTTATCTGTTACTTACAATGGAAGTAGATCAGCAGGCAACTTCTGCATTAATTTTTTTCCCAACATTAATGGTTAACCTACTTTATTTCTAGACCATTTGTCTTGAGTTCAATATGTTTGTTCCCTAAATGAATCCAACTATCACAAATTACAAAATAACATCTCTATTAGTTCGTACTTCGGAATTGACAATTATGAAAAACAACAAATATTTATTTCTGAATTCCCAGAATTTTTACTCCATCAGAAATTTTTCTTTGATTAGATTGAAAGGTGCATTAAAGTCACTATGGGAAATCCCACAACAATCAGATCAAACTTGATAGAATTCCAGTTGAGTAACAAGTTAAAGATAACTAAAACAAGTCATTATAGTAAACAAGACTGTTGGAAACATTTTCTGTAAACATTTAGATTCACTTAAAACTGATTAGATACTCTGGATAAGCTTGGATATCATTGAAGATAATGAACATCGATGGAGCATTTGGTCGGTCGACCACACTGTCATATAAATCTGTCAAGTTGTTTGGGTTTTTTGGAGGTGGAATGAGCATTCCGTTTTTTCCTTGACAATAGACTCCAGTGAGCACGCAAGCTTGATATATATACTTCACTCCATTGCTATCAGGTTTGGAGTATGTGTTGCTAGCAGAATAACTTGCATTAACAGCAAAATAGGTGCCAGTTCCATAGGTTGTAGCTAATAAAGACAAAAAAAAGTTTAATTAACTTTACTTTGTACATAATATGAAAAATATTTTTTTTTAAATATAATTACTTTCAGAAAAGAATGCTGGTTATAAAGTCCATTAAAGGGTAGAGAGGAAAGCTGCCATATTGAATTTAAAATTGACCATGTTAACTTAATTAGATGACTTGAGATGATTTTTTTGTTTAAGTAGGTTCACAAAGATTATAGATAGAAATGTTTAAGAATATGTATTAAAACATGCAAGTGTGAGGCCAGTTGAATTTTTAGATAACAAAATTTAAAGAGTTATATTTTCATTATTGGCCAGTGAAAAAATAGTATTAATGATATGAAAATGCAGGGGATGGGAGATAGAGAGGAGGAATGTGGCAATACTAATCAGATGATCATTTAACCAGAGGTGGATCAATGGCCCATCAACATGTGCAAGCTACAGGAATACAGGTTCTGAGGGGAAGAAGGGGGAAAAAAACCCAGTATTTACACAAGTCACAGGAAAAATTCAAAGCACCCCTTTGTAATATGACTTTTATATAGGGGTGCCCTGAAAAGTAGGTGCTTTAATTTAAATTCCCATTTCAGTTTTATCACTGAAGCATTTGAGAAAATATAATGTTACCATTTTTCCCTGCATAGCTGCGGTTGAATCCAAGATTGCTGATTGAATCTTTGGCTTCTGGTGCTGTTCCATGAAATAAGACGTGTTCATTCTTTGTTCCATTTGGATTTTTCTCATGAAAATATTGTTTTTTAATTATGTAATTCTTCCAGAGAAAAGGGTTTTGCAATCTTTCAATCTGTTTTTAAATTGAAAACTACAAATTAATTTTGCGGACACTCTCATATCTTTAGTGGTGAAACTCTGGTCAACAAGTGCAAGTGACTGACAACTTACTATTTAATGAGATTTCTACATCCTCAAAGTTGCTACACTGGAATTTGTTCCCATTTAACATCTATCGTTGAAAATTGACTGAATCAATAAAAAAATTCCAAAAAATTAGCTTAAGTTTCCCACAAAATGCCTGCGAGGGAAAGCAACAACTCTAACAGGTTACACAGAGTTAAGAGGAAGATGCAATGTTGTTTTTATTTGGACACTATCTCTGTGGCAACGTGAAACTCAAGGTTCAGGGAATCTCCCAGTTTGGTTTGGATACTCTTAAGCACAGTGATGGGTTTTCGTATGGGTCAGGCACCCGCGGCTGACCAAAAATAAGGAAGCAAAAGTTGCCTGACTGACTATCCTGAAGCTGCTGCCTTGGCAAAAGTGCTCTGGGGCACTGCTCAGGGTGGAGGGCGCTATATAAATGTAAGTTTTTGTTGTTGCAATGTAATAATCCTTGCATTTGATGTAACGCTTTTCATGTCTTCCAGATGTCTCAAAAGCGCTTCACAGAATATACTGTAAAGTGAATTGACTGTATATTTGTGGGCGAAACACAGCAATCGATTGCGCACAACAGTGTCCACAACCAGTCATGGGTTGAGTGACCAAATTATTATTAATTTTTTTTCTTCTTCTTGAGGGATTATTATCTGTGACTTGTGTAATTTATCAAGTAAGGAAACTTGCTCAAGGTTTTGACTTGCTGGGAAGCAAACTCAGGTCTCTCGCTTGCGAGGCGAGTGGTCTAACCACTGAGCTACAGGACTCCATGGTTTACACTTCCTTACACTAGACAACACTTCCATGCAAGTGTTGTCAGGCTACTAAACATGGAGGCAAATTCCATCTGGTTAGATTCCTTCTATTAGTTCAGATAATGACAACAGCAACAACAAACTGCATGTATACAGTGCTTGTTGCATCCGATAGGCGTCTCAAGTTGCTGGACAATGAGGGATTTGCACCCGAGCTTCGGTTGGGATCAGAGAGGGGTGGAGGACAAGGGTTGGAGGAGGTAAGATGGCCAAGGCAAGATCGAAAAGGAAGGTCTTGAGACAGACCTTGAAGAAGGCTAGAAAGGAGGTGAGGCGGAAGAGTTCTGAGATAGAGTTCCTTAGGGTGGGGGTAGAAAGGCTGAAGGCCTGACTGCTAGTGGAACAGGCAGGGTGGGAGAAGTGGAGGAGGTCAGTGCTTGCAGAGTGGACAGGTTGGTGAAGTTTTGGGACATCCTTTTGATGTGAAGGTACTATACAAATGTGATTTGTTGTTGTTTAATAGGTCACAGAGATAGGTAGGAGCAAGTCCATGGAAGACTTTAAAGGTGAGGTCAAGGATTTTGAACTCGATCCTCTGGGGAATGGGGAGCCAGTGAAGCCAGGCAAGGGTGGGGGTGATTAGCTCACAAAGCTTAATGCAAGGGAGGACATGAGCAGAGGTCAGAATAATCTGCAGTTTGTGGAGGGAAGAGTTGGGAAATCCAGGGAGCATAGTTATATATAATACATTATTTATATAGTTAGCATAGTCAAGCCTGGATGTAATGAAAGCGTGGAAGAGAATTTCAGCTCTCTGAAGGACACAGCCATAATAATAATAATCGTTGCATTTGATTTAGCACCTTGTCGTATCTTCTAGACGTCTCACAAATGCTTCACAGAATATACTGTAAAGTGAATTGACTGTATATTTTGTGGGCGAAATGCGGCAGCCAACTGCGCACAGCAGTGTCCCAAAAACAGTCGTGGACTGAGGGACGAATTTCTTTTTTTGAAGGAATTATCACCCGCGGAAAAATGAACCCGATGGAGCTGAGAGGAGAAGTGATGGAGAAGCAATAGAGTGTCAAATGCAGCAGAGAGATCAAGAAAGAAGAGGGGACCAAGAGAGAGCCCTCGTCACAAATAGATAAAAAGTCATTTCTAACTAAGGCTATTTCTGTACTATGGACAGGGCGGAAACCAGATTGGAAAAATTCAAACAGGGACTGTCGGGAGAGAAAAGAGTGAAGCTGGGAGACAACGACTCATTCCAGGCCCTTGGAAAGAAAGGGAAGTTTGGAGAATGGATGGTAGATGAGAAGCGAGATAACATTTATGAACACCTAGGAACATAATAGATAAGGTCATCCATTCCATTCTGCTTGTTTATTAGGCTTTTCTCCTATCCCTTATTTTCTTACTTTCTTATCTTCCCTGTTAATCATCCCAATTGATTCTAACTCTACGATCTTCTGGAACAACCATCCATGTGAATAAGTGTTTTCTGATCTCTAGTAAAGTTTTAGCAGAAACAGACTGTATAAATTAAACCCGTGTGACAATACAGATTGTTAACCCTAGTAATTCTAAGAATGTAACAATAAATTCAATGTTGTAGCTTCCAGGCAGTTGTATAAAATTTGCTAGGTGGTTAAATAACATTTTAGTACAAATAGCCTTATTCACTGAAGTGTAGGTATTAATTTCTCATGAATGATAAAATATTACCTGTATTATCTGGAACTGAGAGCATGTATTTTTGAATAATGTTTCCACTCTCTGATATTCTAGTGTGGATTGCTGTAGAGCCACAGATTTGAACTGCTGCCCAGCCATATCATCCCAGTGAGGTGGCAGCTCATCTGAAAATTAATTACAATAAAACTCACTTAAGTCACAGCAATCAGGGCCTTAACATTTAATAATAATAATCCTTGCATTTGATATAGCGCTTTTCACGTCGGGAGGACGTCCCAAAGCGCTTCACAGAACACACTGTAAAGTGAATTGACTGTATATTTGTGGGCGAACGCGGCAGCTAATTGCGCACAGCAATGTCCCACAAACAGTTGTAGATTGAAAATGACCAATTTATTATTGTTTTTGGTTTTGGAGGGATTATTATTAGGCTCTGTGTGGAGTAAGGAAACTTGCCCAAGGTTTCGCCCTCTGCTTGGAATTGAACTCAGGTCTCTCACTTGCAAAGCGAGTGCTCTAACCACTGAGCTACAGGACTCCACAATAATGTGGACTTGTGACTTGATGACTTGTGTGCGAGTTGCAGACAAACTGTATAAATTGTATAAAATGTGATTTAATCGATAATTGACACTGCACATATATAATTCAATACAGCTGGCAAGTGCGCATATGATGATGAGTCAAACTATGTTTCCCATGATTCAATGCGTCTTGACCCATTGCCGCATGTGCACTTACCAACAAGCATTGGAATTGCATTGAATAACAGGAAATGAAGTTCTTCACGCATGCAAGTGAGAGACCTGAGTTCAATTCCAGGCAGAGGGCGAAACCTTGGGCAATCCTTAAGATGCATTGTTTGTGATATTGAACCCAAAGTGTATTTACCTTTAGACTTAGAAGCCCTGTTCAGCTGTATTGAGTTTCCATGATTATCTGTGGCCGTACACGTTTTCAGCTCTACAGTATATTTCCTGTGTTCAATTTCAAGCTCAATATGGGAAGCCTTTCCAATGAATGCAGATTCCAGGTTGAAATTTGCAGCTCTATCCACTGGCTGAAACTGACCACCTTTTCTAAACTGCCATTCAACCAAATTATTAACAAGTGCTTCATCTCTTTGCCTGGCTAGTTTATCTCGGACTTCATTAACCATTTCTTGAATTTCAGAATAGACAGTCAGCACATCCAGGTGGAGACCACAGACTCTGATCTGAGGTCCAGATTGTTCCATTTCGATGGTGATCTGGTGATTTTCCATGAGGTTTTTTAATTTTGCACGTTCTCTCTCAGTAAAGTGAAAGATGAATTCACTGTTGATGGTTTTGATAGAGTGCTCCTTTTCAAATACCTTTTCAATCCAGGATATACTCTTTTCTACATTTTGCGCATCTTCTCCACAGATTTCCATTACAACCGGCTCTATCGTATTTTCTAAAACAAAGTCTTCAGGGCCAAATTCTTTATTCTCTTTATTCTTGTTCCCCCAAATTACTGCTGCTATTGCATCTAGGATTGTCAAAAATTAATCATTAGGAAGGAAGAACAAAAACACAGATCATGAAAACTTGAATATTTTGATGCGCATATTATAATGTGCGCAAAACTGAGGCCCTCCTGATTGGCTCGCGTCAGCGCCTCCGCACCTCAGGCGCTGACAGCATCAGCATCCAAGGCTGCACTCTCCACCTCTCAAAGCCAGTCAGGAACCTCGGGGTTCTGTTCGACCCTGAGATGTACTTTCTCCCTCATATCCACGCCACAACTGGCACTGCCTTCCACCACCTCCGTAATATCGCCAGACTACGGCACTACCTCACCCCTCACGCTGCTGAAACTCTGGTCCACGCCTTTATCACCTCAAGGCTGGACTATGGGAACTCTCTCCTCGCCGGCCTTCCCGGCACCTCCCTCCACACTGCAGGTCATTCAGAACTCTGCAGCTCGTGTACTGTCCCGCACCAGGCTTCGGGACCACATCACTCCCACCCTCGCTCGCCTCCACTGGCTCCCCATCCCCCAGAGGATCGAATTCAAGATCCTCATCCTCACCTACAAGGCCATTCACAGCCTTGCTCCCGCTCCGACCTACTATACTCCTACATACCTACCCGTACCCTCCGTTCCTCTGGCTCCGGTCTGTTCCACATCCCCCGCCCCAACCGCCCTACCATCGATGGCCGGGCCTTCAGCCTCTCAGCCCCTAGGCTCTGGAACTCCATCCCCCAGTGCCTTTGCCGCTTCCTCCCTTTCCTCCTTCAAGACCTTTCTCTTCGACCGTGCCTTCAGCTCCCCTCTCGACTCTCTACCCCCTCCTCGCTCCCTCCCTTCCCTCCCCTCACCCTGACCATTTCCCCCCTGCTCGGGTCCCGACCCAACTGTCCAGCGCCTTGGGACATCCTCCCGATGTGAAAGGCGCTCTATAAATGAAATCTTGTTGTTGTTGTTGCTTACTTTTTCCCTTTTCCCAGAAAGTTTTTGGTTTTCCAAGGTTTGAATCTTGTTGCTTCCGCATGCTGCTGTGGAACTCGGTTAATAGTTGAGGCTGAAAAATAACAAATCTAATGCGGTGTAAAGCAGCTGGGGATATTTTACTTGCAAACTCAGCAACTGATTTAACCATTGCATCAGCAACTTGTGAAGGGTTCATTCCTCCTTGTCCTGGAAAAAAGGAAAATAAATGACATCTGTATTTTGGTGAATATATATTTAGTCATTCTGAATCAGTGGGAAAATAACCTTCTAGTCTAGGTATGATAGGAGTCTTAGAAAGAATACATTGGAAACAGTGCAACATTTATCTGACTCAGGAATGTTCAAAGTGAAAACCAATTACAGTACATTGCTTATGATGAAATTATAAGACATTACAAAGATGTCTCATTTAGACATGTTTCTGCAACTGAATGTCTTGCTAGTTCTCTATAGTTTGGACCTGACAAAATGACTGAACTAGTGGCAACTGAGATAGAGTGCCATTATAATATGCTGGGTCTAAGGCAGGGAGGTCCAATCTGTGGCTGCCGTGGCCCGATTCCCTATTTGAGAAAGGTGCACAGGCCGCATCCAGTGTGGGTCAGGAGGCAGGGAGGATGGGGTGGGGGGAAGAGAGAGGTGGGGGGAAGGGAGGAGGGAGGAAGGGAAGGGGGGTGAAGGGATTGGGGGAAGGACGAGGGGGATGAGGGGGGGAAGGGAGCGGGAAGAGGAAGGGAACCCCCAAACTCTGGAATTCTGTCCCCCAGTCACACCACCTCGCCCCCTCCTTTGCCTCCTTCAAGTCCCACCTCAAAACCCTACTCTTCGACCATGCCATTGGTCACCCCTCTTCGCCTCCCCTGCCTTCTCCTCCACTGACCCCAACTTCGACGTGAAAGGCGCTGTATAAATGTAACCTTGTTGTTGTTGTTGGAAGAGAGAGAAAGAGAGAGGGGCGAGGGGGGGGAGAGAGAGGGGGGTGAAAGAGGAGGGCAGCCGGGCGAGAGCGGAGGGTGAGGGGAGAGAGAGGATGGGGTGGGGAGAGAGGAGGAGGGGAGAGAGAGGAGGGGGAGAGAGAGGAGGGGGAGAGAAAGGAGGGGGAGAGAGGAGGGATGGAGGTACAGAGAGAGGAAGGAGGGAGGGAGAAGAGAGAGATGGAGAGAGTAGGGGGAGAGAAAGAAGAGTTTACATGTGTGAGGGATAAGAAAAGGGGAGTGAGAGAATGCGTGAAGAGTGATTGAGAGAGGGAGAGAGCAGAGTGTGAAAGGGCGAGAGTGGAGAGAGCGTGAAAGGGAGAGTGGGGAGAGCGTGAAGGGGAAGAGGTGGAGAGAGAGTGAGAGCATGTGAGGTGGGAGGGAATGAACGTGATAGGGAGAGAAAGAAACAAGGGGATGATTCAGAGAGTGATTGAGAGAGTTTAAGAGGGGCTAGGGAGAGTGTCTGAGATAGAGGAGAGAGGGGAAGAGAGGAGAGGTGGGAGAGAATGATTGAGAGGGGAGAGGTGGAGTGTTAGAGGGAAGAGAGAGTGTGAAAGGTTGTGAGAAGGGGAGTGACAGAGAGTAATGAGAGAGAGAGAGAGAGACAGAGAGACAGAGAGTGTATGAGAGGAGAGAGTGCATGAGCGAAGGGAGAAGAGGGAGTGTCCTCCCCGCTCTCTGGCCCCTTCCCCCTCTCCCTCCCCCCCCCCTCCTCTCCGTCCTCCCCCTCCGCCCCCTCTTTGTCTCCCCTCCCCTCTCCGCCCTCCTCTCAACAACAACAAAATTACATTTGTATAGCGCCTTTCAAGTCGGGAGGACATCCCAAGGTGCTGGACAGAGAGTTACAGACCCGAGCTGGGAGTCAGGGTCGGGGAGGGTGGAGGGCAGGGGGGGAAAGCAGGGAGATCGAAAGCATGGTCGAAGAGGAGGCTTCTTGAAATGAGTCTTGAAGGTGGGGAGGGAGGGGCCGAGGAGGAGGGACTGCAAGATGGAATTCCAGAGGGTGGGGGCAATGGCTGAAGACCCGCTCGCCAATAGTGGGGCAAGTGAGGTGGGGTACTTGAAGCAAGCTGGAGCCCGCTGAGTGGAGGAAGCAAGCAGGATAGTAGGGGTTTAGGAGGTCGCAGAGGTAGGGTGGGGCGAGGCCATGGAGGGCTTTGTAGGTGAGGCCGCTGGCTAAGGAAGTAACTCATTTGATCCTGAACAGCCTTTACTTGTTCAAGGTAATATTATAAAAGTCAAACCTGTTCCAAATGCAGGAAAAGCAACTGATGAGAATTGGTTTCTTTCACACTCCTGAAGAACTATCTGGACAGCATCCTGTATTTGATTTGGATCCTTTCCTCCAACTATATGAATTATATTTTTGCATTGAAGGTTCCCTGCCTTGGTCATTATTAATCTTTGTTTTCCTTGCAATCCTTTCAAAAGAAGCACAATTTAAGCAAGTTTAAGCAAGCATTAGTTCACTGGCATTTTAATGCATTTCAATCTCACCCTCCCCAATATCATATAACAAACTTGAAAATACAATATTCAAGTGTTATCCACACAGCCTTTTTTTTTTGCAGGTTAAAATACCGGGTGTTCTCGTGGCAGGAAAGGTCCTTAGCCAGAAAGGTACAATTTTCAATCTGGAAATTAAATGGAAGTTTTTGCACATGGACCATAGTTGTTTTTGGTGTTTTGCAGTCTGTCCTCTTAACAGGTTCTATTTGGATTGGTGACCATTTAAACTACAGACCACCCACCTGCGATAGTTAAAACCATACTTTACAAGGCTATGTTTATTTGTGCAAATTAAAGCAATTGTTACAACCAGGCTCACCTTCTCCCCACCAATAGAACATACCTTGTAGTGCACATTCATCTTCCACAGTTTGACCCGCAGCATCTAAAATTGCCTTGGACACGCCTAAAATTAAAATTAAAAATTACAACGTTATAATTAATGAAAAATTAAGTCCTCTTAGGGATTCACCATAAAAGAGTTGAAATGCCTTCTTCCTGCAAATGGGAATTTGGGTTGTTGGTAAAAATACCAATCATCAACAGATCTTTAATCCATTAAGTGTAGCAAAATATCACCTAGCAATTCAAAGTCCATTTTGTACACCAAATCAATAGGTTCTGATGAAAAGCTCATTATTCTCAAATCTCATTCAGAGGCAATGAGATTGAGTATTCACTCATTCTACATCTTTATCAAACGCACTCAAATGTGACTGCTGATGCTAGGACTATTTCCACCCTAACTATTCCAGAAACAGCAAAGTTACTGCAGATCAAACATGCACAGACACAAACACCATCGCAACTTTTCTTTCCATCAATTTTTAATCTCCAACCTATACAGGGAAACAATGTGTCCACATGATTTTGTCTAACTTATCATTGTATGAAATTATGAGCAGTAATATAATGCTTTCATTTTTTAACCAGAAAAAGAGGTAAATTCAGTACTTTAAACACTAAACTGGTTACAAATTTTCTTCTTGAGAAATAACAGCCACTGGTTTTAGAGCAGAATGTCATTCACTTGAGCTTGTCTCATGATTAATTATTTGCATTTCAGTGCGACAAGTTATCGCACACATGTAAATAATTGGAGACTGACTAAAATCTGCTGATCCTCTTTGCATAACAGACACACCAGGAGCTTGCAGAGATCAATTTTGTTGACACAAAGTTTGTGAGGGAAGATCCGAATATTAGCAATTATATCAAACTGGTACAAATGGTACATTACCTGCTTTGAGTGTAAAATGATTGTTTGTTGAATTGACAATGACATCAGTGGTCTCCTTCGTAATGTCCCCATGTACCACTTGCAACAAAACCTGCCCTATTTTCATTTCACCAGAAGCTAAACTGGTTGATCCAAGCAAATGTTCTGCAAAAGAGGTTCTTAAAAGTTAAAACGCTTCTTCTAACACTGGAAGGTATTTTTCTTTTAAGGCAACAGTTATTTGTAGAGAATATCTATCTATCCGGCTCAGTAAACAATGTACAATTCATCAAATTAGCATGTTAGAATGATGATGGCATAAATCACACCAATTGGGCTCAATTGAATCAATTGCGCCTAATACCACTATGATGTACAAACTGCATAGTGCAACATGCAGCTACCTACCTTGCTTTAGTTCAGAGACAGAGGTTGTGTTGAGTACTGTGAATGTGCTTTTGAGATGTTGGTCAAATCTTCTTCTGAATTCATCAGACATTGCCTGAAGCAAAATATAAAAAAATTCAATTCAATGGAACTATTTTTGGGGGGTCAGCCGGGTGTTTGACATAGGGAGAAACCCATCACCATTCTTAAGAGTATCCAGTTTGGTTATGGTGTTGTGCTTCTGAATGTGTCAGACACCCGGCTGACCAAAAAAAAGAACAATTTAAACAGGTATTTTTCAATAAGTGAATTCCAGTACAAATTGCTTTACAATGGCATTCCAGAAGCAAGATTTATACCAAAACTCAACTGCTACTTTATTACTATAGTAGGTACAGACTGGTCTCATTTTGCTTTCAATTACTTACGTGTGCATCAATTTATAATGATTCTGGACCTTCATTCTTCAGTTTGCCTCAGTTGTACAATTTGTTATCAATACATCACTCAATTGTCATTTCAAGTCTTCCTACTCATGAAAAACTTTTTGCGATTGAAGAGCTAGCTTTTAATGCAAAACTTAAACACAGATAAGAGAGGGGGACACACAGGAGTTCCAGAGGGGTAAAGAATCTAAAAGCTCGGTCATTCACACTGATGGAGGCATGGAGAGAGTGAAGGACATGCAGCAAGCCCAGATTAGCTGAGTAGAGGAGTGCACATACATATTAACAACAAACAGCAACATTACATTTGTAAAGCACCTTTCACGTCAGGAGGACATGAAAGGATGAATTTAATTCAATTTAAACCTTAATCTAATTGCCAACAGTCATTCATACCTGAACAGTTGAAGCATCATCAGGATGAACCACAAAGTGAACTTCTTTTAGATACTTTCGGTTGAATGTTAAAACTTGTTCAAACATTAATTTTGCAACAACATCCCTCGGAAAACATAGGTTGCCTGTGCCAATAGCTGGGAACGAGATGGACTCTAGTTGTGATGTTTCAGCAATGTTCAGACATCCTTTGATTATATTTATTAACACCTATAATTGTGCAACAATACTTTGTAAGAGGCAATTTCCTTCCTGATTAATGTAGAATAGCTATAATTGTTACTGACAAGAGTTGAGGAAATTAGAACAGAGTTGAGGAAACATTTCTTCACTCAGAGGGTAGTGAATTTATGGAATTCACGACCCCAGAAAGCTGTAGATGCTCAGTCCTTGAACATCTTCAAGGTTGAGACTGATAGATTTTTAAAAAACAGATGGATAAGGGGATATGGGGATAGGGCAGGTAATTAGAGTTAGGTCTGAAGATCAGCCATGATCTTATCGAATGGCAGGGCAGGCTCGAGGGGCCGAATGGCCTACTCCTGCTCCTAATTCTTATGTTTTTAAATAGGAATCAGCAGGAGGCCTTTAGTCCTACTGAGATGACTCCACCGTAGACCACATGGCAGTTGTAACATTTTTTTTAAAAAAGAGAACAAAATGACTTTTAAATGTAAAGTGCTCAGTGGTTACCAATTACCTTTTTTGACGGTCCATTTCCTTGATCCCATTGTGGAGCAACAACATGAAGTACTTCAATACAGCCAAGATTACATCCCTTTGTTTGGTAAATACAACCTGCAAAACCTTTTCCACCTTGTCCTTCAGCAAACAATAATTGTTGAAGCTTTGGGCCAGCTTTTCCTAATATTGCTCGAGATACTGCACCACTGTTCAGATCCAGATCAGGCCCAATGGTATTTACAATGATGTCAGTCTGAAAATATGAATATAGGAATTCAAAACAAGAAATGTTTAGAACAGAGTTGAGGAAATTAGAACAGAGTTGAGGAAACATTTCTTCACTCAGAGGGTAGTGAATTTAAGGAATTCACTACCCCAGAAAGCTGTAGATGCTCAGTCCTTCAACATCTTCAAGGCTGAGACTGATAGATTTTTAAAAAACAGAGGGATTAGGGGATATGGGGATAGGGCAGGTAATTAGAGTTAGGTCAGAAGATAAGCCATGATCTTATTGAATGGCAGGGCAGGCTCGACGGGCCAAATGGCCTACTCCTGCTCCTAATTCTTATGTTCTTAAATAGGAATTAGCAGGAGGCCTTTGGTCCTACTGAGATGACTCTACCATAGACCATATGGCAGTTGTAACATTTTTTTAAAAAGAGAACAAAATGACTTTTAAATGTAAAGTGCTCAGTGGTTAGAACACTCGCCTCGCAAGCGAGAGACCTGCGTTAGATTCCTGGCAGGGCGAACCACTGGGCAAGTTACCTTATTCTGCACACCTGTTTACCCAGCAGTAAGTAGGAACCCAGTTGTTAGTCGATTGACCGATCACTTTTCCGGGGGTAATAATTCCTTCAAAATTTTTTTTTTAAAAAAATTGGTCACTCAATCCACGACTGTTTGTGGGACACTGCTGTGTGTAAATGCTGCGTTTCGCCCACAAAATATTACATCAATTCACCACACATCATATTCAGTGAAGCACTTTGAGATGTCTCGAAAGCATGATAAGGCTCTATTTCAAATACAAGGATTATTATTATAAGTAAATAAATAGAGAGAAGACTTACATTTGCCTCTTGAATATTTCCTTGAACAACAATGATGTTTAAACCTTCAATCGTTTGAGTCACGTGCAGTTTGTTTAAACTTCTTACGTTTCCACTTCTTGGGCTTTCAACTTCAACATTTTTTCTTCTCACATTGGGAATCCTGAGCTTTTTTGGTTGTGGAGTGGAACGAGTTAAATATTCACCTAATAGTTTCTGAACAGCGTTGGAAACAGCACAAACTTGTTTTTCATCATGGTTTACTAAGTGGATCTGTTTGAGCACACTGCCTCCACCAGAATTCTCCCAGTACTCTCGGATCGTGCTGACAATGATTTCTGCACACAAAGGTAATGGAAATCCAAAAATTCCTGAGCTAATGGCAGGGATTGCTATTGACTGAAGGTTGTAGGTTTCAGCTAAATTAAGGCTCCGCATAACAGCTATTTTTAAACGTTTCTTAGCAGTTTCTGGATCAAAATCAATCCATCTTGGACCAACTGCATGAATTACATATGAACATGGTAGTTTACCAGCTTCTGTAATGACTGCATCACCAGCTTCAAGTTTTCCTTTATCTTTAATGATAGAGTCACAGACCTTTTGTAACACTGGTCCTGCTGCTTTCAGCAGTGCACCTGCAAGACCTCCAATGTGTTGTAAATCTTCGTTTGCTGCATTGACAATCACATCAACAGAATGATTGCACAGGTCTGCCTGATAAAGAGCAACTAAAGGTCCATTGGGCAACTGTACTTGACAGCAAGCTTGATGTGATCCATTACTTTCTGCAAATACATGATGTTCTGATAATCTTAGCACGCAACTAAATTTACTCATTACAGTATCAACATATGACTCTTTATCTTCAAAGAATTTCTTTGCTCCTGGTTTGGTGATTTTCAAGACAGAATATGTTAATCTAGAAATAGCAGCTGAGAGTAAAGTCTCCACTTTACCAACATTCTCCACTGGACCAGATACTGAAATGACATTTGCCGCATTATGAACTTCAATTTTCACACCCATCTTTGCTTCATCATAAAAAAGGTCCATTTTCTTGACCTCCTTCAAAAATGTCAGTATTGTACTGGATTTAAATGGAATGGACTTTTCAATTATTGTATTTTGTTGGACAAAATCACTAAGCACTTCAAAGACTTCCATGACAGCAAGAGAATAGCCAGAGACAATGACCTCCCCACTTTTATCCAGAGGTATTTCTTCAATTGAAACATTTTCCTGTGAAGCATTCAATTTTGTGACCAATTCATCTATTAAGCATTTCCATTCATTCTTTTTCATAACACTGATATCTTGCACCTCAATGGACTTGAAATTAAGATGACTTTTGATTTGTTCTTCTGCTGCAGCTAAAGAAGCTTCTGTGGTTCCTATCAGCACAACAGCACCATCTTCAATCTCATATGTAGCATTTATTCCACTTGATGTGAATAAGCAACAAGAAGCTTCATCGTGATTTATTCTTTGTAAAAAAGAAAGGAGTTGCAGGTTTACCACTGGTCTTCTACGTTTCAGGTGAAGAATTCCTTCTAATATGTTACTTTTGGCACCATAAACTTCTGAAGCCAATCCATACAATTTTATTTCACCAGTAGCCATGTTGTAGTTCATGCTCAAGCTTGGATATATCATAGACAAATTCTGTTCCAGATCATCATTCTTCAATATACAATATACTGCAGAACTAATGGACAGCATCTCAGTCAGGCTTTGTTTTTCTCTTTCTAATTTTTCAATGGCAGTATTCATCATGGATGTGACGATTTCTTGTAGACTAGTCACACTGTCAAATTCACCAACTAATATCATCTTCCCTTTTGAAGGGTTGGTAATAACAGACACAGTTGAATTCAAAGATTGATTAAGTTTTTCCTTAATTTCCTCCCAGATTTGCAAATTTACATCATTTTCAATAGTTTGGTACTTTAATAAAATGTGACAAAATGTCTCTGATGCTGTTATTTGCCACTTCTTTACATGTTTTTCTAGCAAGCTTTTCTGACCTGAAAATGTTGGAGATATCTTTATCGAGGTCTGTTGATCCAATTCTGGCCACGCAATTTGACAGAAGAGTTTGGACATTTTCTCGTTGATCTCTGCAATACGATGTTGATCATTTCTAAGAAATTGCAAGACATAGATATCAATATCCACAATGAAAGGATCTGGCATTTTCACCATTGGTCTTTTGTTTCCGTACAATGCAGAACCCAAGGACTTGTAGTAAGGATAAATATAGACTGGCACTTTATTCATGATGTGCTTCCCAGCAAAAATAGTCTCCAGAACTGAAAATAAAAGATAGCAAGATTAAAGGTACATCTTTCAAACATTCAGTATAAATCACGAGTAAAGTTTATTATTTTAGTCTCATAGTATGTAAAACTTACCTTCATAATTTTGAAAAGAAATTATGGCTGCACTATCTTCAGAAATCAACTCAATTGCAGTCACTATTGCACATCCATTCTGGGGGCGTTCAAAATATAGTTGTAGAAATTCTTCATTGACAATTGAAGGTAGGTTCTCCACCCTAACATGTTTTGTCAATTCCAGTTGCCTTGGAGTAATAAATTGGCCATACAATTTTTTCGTAGAGCATCTTTTGATAAATTCAGTGATGTCTGGAAACCAAACAAAAGTAGAAAAAAATACCATGATGTAAATGTTAGCAATTAGTGGGGTGTAAAGGAATCAAGAACCACAAATACATTTTTGAACAAAAAGATTTTTTTCTTCAAATAATGCATGTCACAAATACAGTATTTGAGTGAAGACTATAGTAGTTCAATGGATAGTTCAATGAACAGTCATAGAAACTAAGTGAAAATTAGTGCATCAGTAAACATAGGAGTAGGCCATTCAGCCCTCAAAGCCTGTTCTGCCATTCTATTAGATCATGGCTGATCTGTACCTCAACTCCAAATACACATCTTTGCCCCATATCTCTTGATACCTGTACCTAACAAAAATCTATCCACCTCAGTCTTGAAAATTTGAACGGATCGAGCTTTCACAGGTTTGGGGCGAGAGAGTTCCCCTTTGCATGAAAAAATGCTTCCTGATTTCACTTCACTAGCTCTAATTTTAAAATTATGAACACTAGGTGCACATAAAGCAAGCTATAGGCACAGGATTCTGCATTTGTGTGTTTTAAAACAGGATCACAGAGCATCAGTTATAGCGGTGGTGGTTGGATGCTACAGTTACAAAGTCTCAAGTAGAAGAACACTCAAGTAGAAGAGCAGCAAAATAAAGAAACTAAAAATACAACCCATTCCAAAAGATACAATTTGTCTCCAATAAACATGGTTATAAATGTTTAGAACGACAATACAAGTAATACCTAGTCGTATATCCTCTTAAATAAACCCAGCCAATTAACAGTGTCCATAACATATATGAACTATATAGCATTCCCAATCATACCTGCGTGCTATTCTTTGACTCACTGAGTTCCTTCAGGACTCTTAGCAGCTCAGTAATAAAACTTAGTGATGTTTGACATTGCAAGTGAACGCTGTAGTTCTTTTCCCCCTCAATCACTAGAATACCATCAGTATTATGCTGTGGTTTGTTATTAAAACACAACCTATTAATAAAAGGTAGTTATCTCTTAAAATTAAAACAATATAACGTAATATTTTGTTATACATGAAAAGTGCAATACCAAAATCTTTCTCTGATCAAACAGTGAGTATATAAAGGTTCTGACCGATGTTGGTTTTGAAAGTCACAACAGCTGCATTTTCACTGAACTTTTCCAAGCTGAAGCCGTCACTTTCTTCAGTTAATTCAGTGAAATTTTCTACCAGCAGAGTCAACATCTGGCATGTGACGTTTTCAGACAGATTTTCCAAAACAACAGAGGAAGATAGTAGATAAGTTTCATTATTTGCAGCTTGAAATTTTCTAACTGTTAATGGAATGTTCTCCACTGAATGGACTGCTTGGCTCAGCACTGCTTCAGCATCTAACAACAAGGAACGGAATATCAAGTATTGCAATGTGCTAAAAGCAGGAAACATTTCCTGCTGCTTGTTTATGGCACAGATCTGACAGGTTTTGCCATTTAAAAAAAAGTTCTGCTTCACGATCACCACAATATATCTGGTTTAACACTACACAAGTATATTATTTGATTCTGATATATGACAGATCAGTGTTATACAACAAAACAATGCAATTTACATTTAAATCATTCCTTTTATATCAGGAGGACATCTCAAAGCTCATTCAGCTAAACCATGGCGGCCCAACAGGTGGCCTGTTTCATCCAGCCAAGACTGTTTCCAACTTTGGGACACCCGCTCCCTCTCTGGCGAACTGTCCTCTCATGTCACAGTGCAGGGGATGGAAATAACACTGACCGTTACTACAGTCTATCAGAAAATCACTCCCGAGATGAGGAGAAAGCAAGTGGGTCTCCTTTTCCACCGCTGCAGGTAGTGAGACATGATTGAAAGAAAGAGGGCGAGAGACAGAGGGAGAGAGTATGTGTGTGCACAAGAGGTGAGAAAGGGTAAGAGAGAGAGAGAGAGGGTGAAAGATGGAGAGAGGGGGGAGGCGGAAAGAGAGTGATTGCGCAAGTGAGAGAGAATGATTGAGAGAGAGTGATTGACAGAGAGAGATTCATTGGGAGACAGAGAGAGAGAGAAAAAGAGAATGAGGGAGAGGGCGAGAGAAAGGAACAGATAGAGAGGAGACAGAGCATGAGCGAGTGGACAGACATGTCACGCAGTTTTCTCACGGAAAACGCTTTCCCCAGTGAGAAACTCCCCTATGTACTTCACCTTCAAAGCCCTTCTTGGCTTGCTCCCCCTTACCTCTGCTACCTTCTAACCTCCTACCTGCTCGCTCCCTCCGCTCAGTGGACTCCAACCTGCTCGCTCCCTCCCCTCAGTGGACTCCAACCTGCTTCATGTCCCCCGTCTCGCTCGCCCCACCATTGGTGGGCGGGCCTTCTTCCACTCTATCCCCACTCTCTGGAACTCCATCCCGCAGTCCCTCTGCCTCACCCCCTTTCTTGCCTCCTTCAAGACCCGTCTCATGACCCTCCTTTTCAACCATGCCTTCGATCACCCTGCTTCCCCCTGCCCTCCACCCTCCATGATACCGACCCTCAGCTCAGCTCCGAAACACTGATTGTCCAGCACCTTGGGATGTCCTCCCGACATGAAAGATGCTATACAAATGTAATTTTGCTGTTGTTGCTTCACGTTCCACCTCTATGTGCCCCACCATTGCCATTTTGCCCCTGCTCTCTGAAGCTCCATTACTGAAGTCCCTCCAATTCACTCCCTCCTTCAAGGCACATCAAGACCCAACTCTTTGACCACGCTTTCAGTCATCTTTTCCCCTCCCACTCCACCTCCCTCGGCTCAGGTGCCCAGCCGGAGTGTTGAACACTTTGAGATATCCTTCCGATGTGAAAAAGGTGCTGTGTTGCTATGTTTTTGGAAAGGAAACACAAAAATGTTGCTTATGCGGCCCGCAGACATTTCTCAAATAGGGCATCCAGCTCTTAGCAGCCAAAAGTTTGGACTACCCTGAGCTAAACCATGCACATTACCAGGCCACAATATATTACATTGGCTAATAAATGATTACTGTTGTTCCTCCTTACAGTACAGACAATATCAACACTGCTGAATTCAGCTGCAAATCTCACAAAGGTACACTCATCTTTTATTAATTCCAATGGTGGAAAACTTTTTTTTGACAATAGCTAATTAGATGTAGATGTTATTTTCATTAGTATATCAGGATGCGAATATCAATATCGAGAGGGGTTGGCTAAATAAGAGCTTTTCCCACTGGAACATAGGAGAGTTTGAAAGGGACATAATCCAGATGTTTAAAATAACAAAAGATCACAAAAAAGCAATGCGGGGGAAAAACATTTCCTTCTGTAGGGAAATTGGTAATGAGACCGCATGGAATCGTGAGTTAGAAAAATGAAGGGGAAGATTATAAGGAATATCTTTACTCAAGTGAATTTTGATAATTTTAGGATGTGAAATTCAACACCTAAGTTTCTCAACAGTATCTTCAATCTAATGTTGCCAGAAAAGTTATTAATCACTTACTGTGACTTTACTTACCTTGAGCATTTTCAAAAGTAATCTTTATTTCTCTCCTTTCTCTGGTGAAAGATGCAATAGGCCCCCCACGGGACCGCTTATTTTCAAAATACAATTGGAGATGGTCATCCTCAATTTCATCACTTGGTAAAATTATTGAAATGGTTTTTTGTTCTTTAGGCAGGCTTGACTCAGCTGGTTCTTCTAAATGACACCATAAATATTCTGCATTTACCCAAAGACAATAACTATACAGCACAATTGCCAAGAGGCATTCAAATTATATAAGTCTGAATCTAATCCATCACAATAAATAATTATTGTCACGTTGAATTTCTCCCCCCAAAAAACATTCTCAACCAGAGAATATGGTGGGGAGACAGTCCTACTCCTTGTCTGAAATTTAATCAATAAAAAGAAGTGCTCTTTTGGGGAAATAAAACAATTTTTCTCAAAATCAACTGAAAATTGTTCCAGTTATCCTGCAGTTTTGATAACATTCATGACATTGCCTTTAATTTCTGCTGCATGCACAACCATCTCAACCCAGTCTATAGGAAACCCACATTTATCTCAGTCTGTGGGAAACCCAAAGTTTCACCTCTGCTCTTCCTCATTTGCCCTTTGTATTCCAAACCAAATGGTTTCGCTTAAATAGTTTGGTACCTTAAAAGGTATTTTGGTTTGTTCTGACATCCTACTGCTAATCTTCTCCCTTAATCACCAACTGACCTTCCTGGACTAGGACTTCACTCCCTAAATTAATCCACTGCTTGCTTTGTTTCCTTTATCTCGATGAACCTTTAGAATATTTTTTATGGAATGCCCCTGACGTGAAAGGTGCTATATAAATGCAATCTGTTGTTGTGGTATCAAAATTGCCTCAGATGAATTTTTAATTCTTGATAACTTCCATGCTCGCCCAAATGGCAGGGTCCACAATTGCATTGTAAGCAAACCCACTTAACGAGGATTATAACATGTTATAACAGGGTTTCCCTATGGTACTTTTAAGTTCCAAGGTTGAGGATACAGCAATCCTTTTTTCTTTTTTACTTCAGCTACTCATCGAACAAATTCTGTGGCAGTAATGTCAGCCTTTTAACAACAACAACTTGGATTTATATAGCATCCTCCATGCCGGACGGCGTCTCAGAGCGCTTCACAGTAACGGATCCCGGGGCCGAGCCAGGGGGAGGGGGAGGAAGGTGACCAAAGGCGCGGTCGAAAAGAAAGGTCTTCAGCCAAGACCTAAAAATAGGAAGAGAGGGAGCGAGGTGAAGGGAATGAGGAAGGGAGTTCCAGAGCCTCGGGGCATAGTGGCTTAAGGCACGGCCACCAATGATGGAGTGGAGGATTCGCGGGACAAGGAAGAGGCCAGACCCGGAGGAGCGAAGGCAACGGCACTGTTGGGTAAACGGGGAAGCGGAGCTTGGTGCGGGTAAGAATGCGGGCAGCAGAGTTTTGGATGACCTGGATTTTATGGATGGTAGTGGAGGGGAGACCGGAGAGGAGGGCATTTGAATAGTCCAGCCGAGAGGTGAGAAAGGCATGGACCAGGGTTTCAGTGGCTTTTGGAGTGAGGTATTGGCGGAGACAGGCGATGCGTCGGAGGTGGAAGAAGGCGGTGCTGGTGAGGGACCGGATGTGGGGGAGGAAGGATAATTGGGGATTGAACCTGACGCTTAGTTTGCGTACGGGTTCAGAGAGGTTTAGGGGGAGGTCGGGTAGATGGAGGAGGTGAGAACCATGTGATTTTAGACATTGACGAGAGCCAAAGAGTATGGCTTCCGTCTTGTCAACATTCAGCTGAAGGAAATTCACGCTCATCCAGCTCCTGAGATCTGACAGGCAGACTGACAGAACATCAGAGGACTGGGGGTCGCAAAGAGAGGTGGAAAAATAGAGTTGGGTGTCGTCCGCATACATGTGGAATGTACCCCATGTCTGCAGATGACATCCCCAATAGGGAGAATATAGATCAGAAAGAGGAGGGGACCATGATGGAGCCTTGGGGTACCCCACAGTTTGTGAGGTAGGACTCAAACCAGGCGAGGGCGGTCCCACTGAGGTGGATGACAGAAGAAAGGTGGTGGAGGAGGATGGCGTGATCGACTGTGTCGAGTTCGGTGGAGAGATCCAGGAGGACAAGGAGGCAGAGAGAGCCCTGGTCACAGATAGAGAGGATGTTGTTTGTGACTTTCACAAGCGCAGTCTCTATACTGTGGACAGGGCGGAAGCCGGACTGGAGGGGTTCGAAGAGGAAGTGGGAGGAGAGGTGTGCGCGGAGCTGATTTGCAACAACGCGTTCTAGGTCTTTGGCGAGGAAGGGCAGGTTTGAAATAGGGCGGTAGTGGCTAGGATATTACAGAGATTTTAAATCATATACGAATATTCTGCTTAGAGGAAGATTTGTTTCTGTGAACCCTAACATTGTGCAAATGGAAGTAGGAATGCTTTAGATAGAAGCTTAATAATTAAATGTTTACACTAGAAGAGGTGCTATTATTTCTGAAAAGTGAAAGTACCTTTTATTTTGAATCTTTTCCTTACAGATTCCATATCCTGTTAAAGCACATAAATATAATTTTCAATAAAGATATTAAACAAAGCAAAACATTCTGATTTAATAAATCAACATTAAACTTGCAGATTTGTTTGGACTCAGTTGTCTTGCTCCTTCTTACCTGTTCCCCTCCAGTATATTCCTGAGGTACCACATCTTGTGGAAGTTTGACAGTGAGCTGAATTGTGCCTTTCTTTTGTAAGTCGAGTTTATGAACCTTTTTCTCCAAAACATGGCTTCTTACTAAAAAAAAGTCAGAACGAAAAGTCGTAAGTGCTGGTTTACCTTTAAAATTACAGCTAAAAAACGAGTTCTATATTGATTGGAAAAGTTGTGATCAGCATTGTTATTTCCTCAGGGGTTCCCGTGGAACACATTTATGGTCTTGATTTCCGATTCGGATATTCTTCCATATTCTCAAAGAGAAACTGCAGTTTGGATGCGTCCCTATATGCAATGCTTGGACACTTAACAGCAAAGTCACAGAGGTGAAAACGTAGGACGCCCACTCTCTTCAACCACAGATGACTGACTGGGCCTGTATTCACCTGATGAGAGGTAAAGGACTATGACAGCCTCTTACTCCCCAAGCCTCCCTCTCACTTCCTCATCCCCACCTTGCCACCTCCAGGTCTGATTATTCTAATGACATTTTGAACATCTGTGATCAGGGATCCCTCTGCCTCCTTGTCCTTCTTGACCTCTTCAACACTATTGACCACTCCGTCCTCATACACCGCCTCTCCGCTTTACTGGTTGCCTGGTTCGATTCCTATCTCTCTCACCGTCTCAACTTTGGTGCCTCTAACGGTTTCTCCTCCAGCCCCCACATGTCACATCTGACATCCCCCAGGGCTCTGTCCTTGGCCCTCTCCTCTTTAATATCTACATGCTCCCCTTTGATGACATCATCTGCATACATGGGGTCAACTTCCACGTGTATGCGGATGACACCCAACTCTATCTTTCTGCCTCCACCCTCAACTCCAGGACCACTGCTGTCCTGACAGACTGCCTGTCAGACATCAAGTCCTGGATGAGGGCAAATTTCCTACAGTTGAATGTGAACAAGGCTGAGGCCCTCCTGATTGGCTCACGCCAGCGCCTCAGCACCTCAGGCTCTGGCAGCATCAACCTCCATGGTTGCACACTATAACTCACCGCCAGTCAGGAACCTGGGTGTCTTGTTCGACCCTCAACTGTCTTTTCTCTCCCACATTCAAGCCATGACCCGCTCTGCCTTCCCTCACCTCCGTAACATCGCCTGACTCCGCCACCACCTCACCCCTCAGGCCACTGAAACTCTTGTTCATGCCTTCATCAGCTCCAGGCTCTGCTTGTCAGTCTTCCCAACTCCTCCCTCCGCAGGGTGCAGATAATCCAGAACTCTGCAGCCCGTGTCCTCTCCCACACTGAACTCCGTGACCCCATCTCCCCCACTCTCGCCCGACTCCATTGGCTCCCTATCCTTCTGAGGATCCAGTTCAAGATCCTGGTCCTCACATACAAAGCCCTCCATGGCTTCGCCCCACCCTACCTCTGTGACCTCCTAACCCCCTATCAACCCTCCCGTTCCCTCCGTTCAGCCAGCTCTGGCCTGCTCCACGTCGCCCGACCCATCCAACCCAACATTGGTTTGAGAGCCTTCAGCCTCTCTGCCCCCAACCTCTGGAATTCCATCCCCAGTCACTCCGCCTCACCCCCTCCTTAGCCTCCTTCAAGTTCTGCCTCAAGACCCTCCTCTTCAAGCATGCCATAGGCCACGCCCCTTCCCCTCTCCCCCCCCAGCTCGGGTCTGAAATACTGTACACTGTCCAGCACCTTGGGACGTCCTCCCGATGTGAAAGGCGTTGTACAAATCGAATTCAAGATCCTCATCCTCACCTACAAGGCCATTCACGGCCTTGCTCCCTCCTACCACTCCGACCTACTATCCCCCTACTTACCTGCTCGTACCCTCCATTCCTCTGGCTCCGGTCTGCTCCACATCCCCTGCCCCAACCGCCCTACCATCGGTGGCCGGGCCTTCAGCCTCTCAGCCCCTAGGCTCTGGAACTCCATCCCCCAGTGCCTTTGCCTTGCTTCCTCCCTTTCTTCCTTCAAGGCTGGTCTCAACACCTTTCTCTTTGACCGTGCCTTCAGCTCCCACCTCGACTCTCTACCCCCTCCTCGCTCCCTCCCTTCCCTCCCCGTGACCATTTCCCCCCTGCTCGGGTCCTGACCCAACTATCCAGTGCTTTGGGACATCCTCCCGACGTGAAAGGCGTTCTATAAATGGAATCTTGTTGTTGTAATCTTGTTATTGTTGTATTCCAAGGGTTTGCTCGCCAGACTCCCTTGTTCCTCCTAACACCACATGCAGACCATCCAGAATTCTATGACCAGTGTACTCTCAGCCACCTGGCCCATCACCCCAGCCTTGCTCAGCTCCACCCACTCCCAAGTGGATCAAATTCAAGATCCTCATCCTCACACTTAAATCCCTCCATAGCCCAACCTACTTTTGTGTTCTTAAAATGAAAATAAAAACAACTTATTTTTAAAATGTTACAAACTGTTTTTTTTAACAGGATGCTTTTAAAATGTTTGAATGACAAGTTAAAGTGGAGGGGAATTTTGTTGGCTTCTTATCCTGGACTGGCAAAAAGTACAAGGCCTCCAGGACCAACAACATAATGACACAAATATTATGAAGTGAAGCCTAGAGGTTTCTGCTTCATGGGAATATAACAGACATTTTAAAATTTCAACAAATAATTACTGCACAATGTTTTTAGAGCAACAATTTGGGATTGTGAGCAACATACCACAGACATCAACCCATTCGCTCGACAATAAGTTAGCGAACACGAGAATACCCGATACATACTTCCGGAATCCCTATGAATGACATAATACAGTAATTGAAAAGGAAAAATTTGCAGGGCTAATGGGTAACAGCAGGAGAATGGGACTATCTGGATAGCTCTTTCAAAGAGCAAGCAAAATGGGCCGAATGGCCTACTTCTGTGCTGTAAGATTCTATGAACATGCATAGTCCTCTGCCTACTCCTGACTTTGGCGCATTATGGGCCTTCTCCTTTCAGACAGGCACTCCCGATCCCAAGTTCCACAGGTAATCTTTGTATCAACCTCAAATTACTACTGCCTTCCTCTGCTCCAGCTTGGGCATCCTCAGCCATGCTTATCACGGCACATGTCGATGGTTGTCCCAGACTGCCCCATTGCCCACTTTCTCTGCAAGACCCTCACCTGCCTCCAGAAGGCAAAACCCCTTCCCTCATCCACATAATTCTCAACTATCCCCCACAACCTGCAATCCCCCAATCCCCTCACCCCTCAGCTCCCCCCACCACCACCCACATCGGCATCAAAATATCCGCTTGCTTTCAAACAAAGCCCTCACCATCCATGACCTCATCCTGACGAGCATATTGACATCCTAGGACTCACAGAAACCTAGCTGTCCCCCTATGACCCCAAATCCCTAATCAGCTCCTCCTCCATCTCCCCTGACTTCATGGCCACCACCTTGCCCTCGTCATCACCCATGGCTTAGACATCTCTGGTCTTCCATCACAGACAAGGCCATCTCAAACCACGTCTTCATCTCCCTCTCCTCCCATATCCCCCTCCTCCAAACTCACCACCATCGTTTTCCACCCATGGAAAAAGCTTCCGCCTGAGTGTCTGAGTCATACACTTTGGCTCTCATCAACGTCTTCTCTCCTGTGGTTCTGACCTCCTCACTCTCCCCGATCTCTCCCTTAGATTCACGGAACCTGTCCCCAGCTATTCTGTACAACCAAAGTCTGGGTTCGAATGATTTCATTGTCAGGAAATTTTACTTAGAAGGATGGCTCCTACTGCACATCATATTTTACACATTAACTCATATGGGTACCGTTTTCATATCCACAATCAGATTGGGTTCATTTAATGTGGTTATGGGGTTTTCCAAAGAGTTTCTGACTCTTATATATATATATATATATATATAGGTGTGACATAGTGGCAAAAGAATATTTTGAAAGAGAGGCAAGACCTTTGGAACTCCCCGTGGTTCTATGCAGATTGACTGGTGAGGTCTGGGGCGCTATTATCAACTCCAATAGAAAAACAACCCTTTCTTTTTATCTTAGGGTTTCAGCATTTTATTCAAAATTGATTGTTAAAAAAAAGGAAGCGATTGTAAACCAGGAAGTGCTGAATTTCCCCATCCTGATGTTTGGACTCTGGAAGATGGCAAAACTGGGCATTGGGGAAAGGAAACTCTCGGACGGATTGTTTAGGCGCAAAACAACAACCACAAGATTACATTTGTACAGCGCCTTTCACGTCGAGAGGACGACCCAAAGGGCTGAACAGAGAACAGCATTTCAGACCAAAAGCAAAAGAAAAAAATATGCGAGAGCAGAGTGTTAGATCGACTGGGAATGAACTCAAAAGATTATATTCGCAGTCGAAGCGTCTAATTACTGATCAAATCCACTAATCCACCACCTGACCTGCAGGTCCCGTCCGCGGCGCCTTTCCCCATCGGGTCCACATTCAAATTCATATTGAATTGGTTTATATCATCATTTCCCATCACAATCCCATGTGGCCCTTAGGAGTTCTACCCAGTGAACTCTCTCATATGAAGGGGTGTATAAATATGTTACTTTTAGTAACTATTTCAATTTATAAGCAAAAAAAATCAGGTTTTGATAAAATGGAGAGATATTCACACATACCGTCATCGTTCACAAACCGCACCACCGCTTCGGTTTTACTCGGGTTTTCGTATTCCACGATGCAGTCCCCGCCATTGGATCTCTTGGGGCTTTGGAAATAAAGCTGCAATTTGTTTTTTAAAAGTTTTGCATCACCTGCATCCCAATCCCCCTCAACACACAGAGGATAGGCATAGACCCGCTCCTCCGCCATCTTCCTCCCTCTGCGGAGCGAAAGCCGCACTCACTATATACACTTCGCTGGTGGTTTCATTTTCGATTCATACAAATCAAAACTGCACCGGGAGCTGTTTGTGCGGAATTATTGGTCTAAATTAATTTCTTTATTGTGCTTTATTATTATTTTCCACATCTCAAAGCTAACTTTTATGAAAGTGCACGACTTTTAAAGGATCGTTTTGAAGGATCATAGATTTGATAACATTAGCCCTTTTTCGATTTGCAAGTCACCTCTTTTAATGGGTAAACAGGACCAGTGTCGTCTTGTTGTTCCTGCCTCATGATGCTGGTGAGTGAGTGAGTGAGTGTAAGAAATATACATTGATAAATAGGAACCAAACCCCGGGTTATTGAGTATTTCCCGCTGAGCTGATGACCCATGAGGTGTGTCAGCACAGGGTGTGGGGGTCCGGCACCGGGTTCCAGGCTACACGTCAGCAATCGATACCTATTCTCAGTGTTACGTCAGAGGTGTCCTTCACACTTCGGGTTAATGTCGGGAAGGAGTGAGAGAGGAGAGATCTGTAAACAGGGGAGCGAGGGTGGAGAGAGGAAAGGACTGCTTATGTAGTCAACTCTGGAAACTGGGAGAGCCTCGAGACCTTTCAAACTGTAGCTGTAAACTATAAACGGAAGTAACATCTCCAATTGCAACAGTCACCCTCTTTCTCAAATCAGCACTTGTGTCAAAGAAGCACTGTAATATCTGTTATCTCTGTGAGATCTGTGGGCTCTGTTCAATAAAATTCAGTAAAACAAACATCGACTGAGCCATTTCCCGTAATTACAACAGTTTCTGAATTAGACAAGAACTCTTGCAGTGATAACATCGTCCATACCGCAGCCTGAGCTGAACAAGACAGTCAGAAAGTACTCTTCCACATTCAGTGGACAGTTTGCCTGTCCTGTCTTTCACACACATCTGCAGCTGCACTGTAATACATTTAAGTTGAGTGATTGTGTGATTGACTAACGATTGATACCATCAATGCTGCTGCTTAACAGCTGGACCCAATTTGAATTTCCCCAATTGAGACTCAAAATGAAAACTTTTAAACTAAACAAGTGACTACAATTCAACCCTCAATACATTCACTGGCCACACTCCTGAAACCTGAAAACAGTTTATTTTTCAGAAAAAAATCTTTGAAAAGTATCGCAACTTTCATATCTCCTGGTGCTGACATCAGAATTGGTGAGCTGCTTGTCTGCCTATATTTTTCAAATTTTAGTTATTCAGTTAGTAAGTACAGGTTATGGCCGACTTGCTTGATCTTTTCAGGAAATACCGAGATGGTATCTGGTGGGTAAGGGGGTGAGGATGCTAATAAGGTCCCAAAGGCTCCAATGGCATACCACTGCACGGTGAACATATAGTAAAAGTGGGGCTGACACTGCAGCTGACTGACTTCTACAGTCGCCTGGGATTTTGCTTGCCACTGGGCCAAAAGCTTGATTTGTCAGGAACTGGGATTGTGGTTTGAGCACCTGCCTCCCCATTACAGAAATATCACACACAGGTGTTTCTCAGCATTGTTTTCCTTCAAAGTCCTGCAGCCACAGGGACAGGCACTGGTGATTGCTGGCTGTCTACAATTAGGAAGGCTGCACACAGGCGATATGACACAGTGGTTGTTTGAAGGCGACCATGTAATTTGGCAACAGCTCGAGTGACTGAGCAACAACAACAAAATTACATTTGTATTGCGCCTTTCACGTCAGTAGGATGTCCCAAGGCACTGGACAATCATGGATCTACACCTGAGCTGGTGATTGGGATCAGGAGGGGGTCTGATCTGCAGCTTGTGGAGGGAAGAGTTGGGAAGGCCAACAAGCAGGGAATTAGTATAGTCGAGCCTAGATGTGATGAATGCGTGGATGAGGATTTCGGAGGCCGGAGGAGTGAGGCGGTGGCGGAGCCGGGCGATGTTGCGAAAGTGGGGGAAGGCAGAGAGGGTCATGGCAGGGATGTGGGGTAGAAAAACAGTTGAGTGTCAAACATTACGCCAAGGTTCTGGACTGGCTTAGCAAGGTGGAGTGTGCATCCTTGGATAATGATACTGTCAGCACCTGAGGTGAGGAGGTGCTGACGGGAGCCAATCAGGAGAGACTCGGTCTTGTTGACGTTCAACTGTAGACAGTTAGCTCTCATCAGGACTCGATGTCCAACAGACATTTTGTCAGGACAGCAGAGTCGATGGTGGAGGCAGAGAGATAGAATTGGGTGTCATCCGCATACATATGTAAGTTGACCCGATGCCTGCGGATGATGTCACCAGGAGGGAGCATATAGATATTGAAGAGGAGGGGACCAAGGATACTCTGCACCCCAAGATCTCTCCACCATGCTGAGGTTATGTTGATCAAAAGACTGGGGAGGAAGTTCTTACTGTTGTGATCTGCTTCATAACTGAAATTTAGAATATATGTGAAGGTAAAAGCACTATTTTAATTGCTAGGAACACTCAGCGGATCAGGCAGCATCTATAGAGAAAGGAGAAACTGAGTCAACTTTTCGGATCCACGACACAGTTCTGACGAAGGGACATGGACCCTTTCTCCTTAGATGCTGCCTGACCTGCTGAGTGTTCATAGTGACTTGTTTTTGTTTCGGAGTTCCAACATCTGCAGTATTTTGCGTTTTGAGCACTATTTAAAAATAAACAAGGTTCAGTGCAGCTGAAGGTTGTTGAAGATGTTTTCCTATAACAGTTCTGTAGTTTTATCAGATTGTGGCCTTCATGCTCTATGTGGACTTCTTGCTTTAAGGACATGAGAACAAACCAGCCAGTAAATTACTATCAGTTGGGAGAAAGTGGGAAGATTTTGCACTTTCATCCTGACTATGGAAAGTCAATTATAAAAGACGTATGGCTGAACTATACTTTGTTCAGTCCAGGGTTGGTGCAGGTCAGGCGGGGTGCACACGAGTCATCCCTTGTGTTTAATCTGATGCAGTGAAGCAAGTGTGCTTTCTTTGGGGTAAAAAGCTGTGACTGTTCCATCAACTTTTGTTGATTCCAACAATCTCAGGAAGAAGGAAAACTGCAGAAGATACTAACAGAACGGCTGAAAGCGTTGGAAAGCAAAGGGAGGAGAGGAATAACAACAAATCACAACTACAAAATAAAGGAACACAGCTCAGCTGTTACACCATTGAAGATTTAACTTTGACTTTGTAATCAATGAACCCAAGCAAGACGTTTCTGGTCTGAAGCAAGAGACATTTCGTCTCTTGACCTGTTTGTGAATTTACAAGCTAACTTCACCAAAAAACAAAGATTGTAATGATTTGTGGACTGACTAACTACTGATTCTGTTAGTTTGATATGGACTAATCTGTTGGTTGTATTAATATAATAATAATAATAATAATCCTTGCATTTGATATAGCGCTTTTCACGTCGGGAGGACGTCCCAAAGCGCTTCACAGAACGCATTGTAAAGTGAATTGACTGTATATTTGTGGGTGAACGCGGCAGCCAATTGCGCACAGCAATGTCCCACAAAGTCGTAGATTGAAAATGACCAATTTATTATTGTTTTTGTTCTTTTGGAGGGATTATTATTAGGCTCTGTGTGGAGTAAGGAAACTTGCCCAACGTTTCGCCCTGCCTGGAATTGAACTCAGGTCTCTCACTTGCAAAGCGAGTGCTCTAACCACTGAGCTACAGGACTCCACTTATATTGTGATATAACAACAACAAAGTTACATTTGTTAAGCACCTTTCATGTCGGGAGGATGTCCCAAGGTGCTGGACAATCAATGTTTTGGACCAGAGCTGGAGGTCGGGAACAGGAAGGGTGGAGGGCAGGGGTGAAGGAGGGTGATTGAAGGCATAGTCAAAGAGGAGGGTCTTGAGATGAGTTTTGAAGGAGGCAAGGGAGGGGGCAAGGCAGAGTGACTCCCAGTTCTAGAGGATGGGGGCAGAGTGGCTGAAGACTCGCCTGCCAATAGTTGGGCGGGCGAGGGGGCGGGGGAATGTGAAGCACACTGGAGTCCGTTGAGCAGAGGGAGCGGGCAGGTTGGTAGGGGGTTAGGAGGCCATGGAGGTAAGGGCTTTGAAGGTGAGGACCTTGACCTATATCCTCTGTGTGATGGGAAGCCAGTGGAGTCGGGCAAGGATGGGGTAAGAGGGTCACAGAGCCTGGTGCGGCAGAGGACATGGGCCACAGAGTACTGGATGATCTGCAGCCTATGGAGGGAGGAGTTGGGGAGGCCAACAAGCAGGGAGTTTGCATAGTCAAGCTTGGATGTTATAAATGTGTGAATGAGGGTTTTGATGGCCTGTGGTGTGAGGCACTGGCAGAGCCAGGGGATGTTGCAGAGGTGGGGGAAGGCAGAGTGGGCCATGGCACGGATGTGGGGTAGAAAGGATAGTTAAGGTCAAACAAGGCCCCAAGCTTCTGGACTGACTCAGCAAGGTGGAGTGTGCATCCTTGGATGGTGATACTGTCAGCACCTGAGGTGAGGAGGTGCTGACGGGAGCCAATCAGGAGAGCCTTTGTCTTGTTGATGTTCAGCTGAATAAAGTTAGCTCTCATCCAGGATGTGATGTCTGATACACATTGTGTCAGGACAGCAGCGTTCCTGGAGTCGAGGGTGGAGGCAGAGAGGTACAGTTGAGTGTCATCCGCATACATATGGAATCTCCCTGTCTGTGGATGATGTCACCAACGGGGAGCATATAGATACTGAACAGGAGGGGACAAGGACAGGACCCTGAGGAATGCCACACGTGACAGTCCGGGGGCTAGAGGAGAAACTGTTTGTGGAGATGAAGTGGGGACAGTGTGAGAGGTATAATCTGAATCATTCAAGGACAGAATCATGACATTTGAAGTGAGAGGAGAGGTGGTGGAGGAGGATAGAGTGGTCAACAGTATTGAAAGCAGCAGAGAGGTCAAGGAGGATGAGGAGACAGAGGGAACCCTGGTTGCAGATGGATAAAATGTCAGTTGTCTCTTTGATAATTGAACAAACAAACTTTACATGCCTTATTAAATAAAGAAACTTTAAAGCACAAATTGCTGAGTTCCTCTGGTTCCTCTGTTCCTTAATTTAAAGTGAGTTAGAAAGAACAAACTGGCCTTATTCTGCTCATACCTCAGAACCCAACATTACTTAGGATCATGGTTGCTGGAAGGCATTAACTGGGGTTTGGGTCCATGAGCACACAATGATATTTGGGATCCAATAGCTGACTAATGTGATATGTATGTAGATGTTTCAGTAACATCTGCTGAAACATGCACCAGACTGATCACTTCTTTGTAATGGGCCTTCCATAGGTTCTCGTCAATGTGAGCAATGACTGGTTTCTAAGCGCTCTGAGACGTTAGCCTACACAAAGGGCGCTACATAAATGCAAATTGTTGTTGTTCTGGTTTTTTTAACTAAGTATTTTTAATGTGTTTACACAATACAGATGAAAAACAGGTCAACAATTACATGCAAGTGACTCACCAATAACCTTCTTCATCCATAACATTTTTTATGAATGTTTATATGGCAACAGCGATAACAATTTTCGCTGGAGAGCTGAAGGGGTGAGTGTCCCTTTAAGAAACGCTATGAGCATTCCCTTCAGTGTAATAATCACAATCGGTGACGTACAACTTCAACAAAGATCAGGTTTACAACAGTAAAAGGCGGCGGATCCCGTCACTGAGATACATCCACACAGACACCTCCATACACTTCCCAGACACCTCCCAGACACCACCATACACCTCCAGACACCACCCAGACACCACCATACACCTCCAGACACCACCCAGACACCTCCAGACACCACCCAGACACCTCCAGACACCACCAGACACCTCTAGACACCACCATACACCGCCCAGACACCACCATACACCATCCAGACACCACCATACACCTCCCAGACACCTCCCAGACACCACCAGACACCTCCATACACCATCCAGACACCTCCATACACCACCATACACCATCCACACACCACCATACACCTCCCAGACACCACCAGACACCTCCCAGACACCACCAGACACCTCCATACACCATCCAGACACCTCCCAGACACCTCCAGACACGTTTTACATTTGTAAAGGAATCGGTGCTTCACAAAAAACAACAGTTTGCGAAGTTGATCAAATCTTAAACAGATTGTCATAGAGTCACTGTTCACGGATTGTAAACTAATTGTAAATTAGAATTGTAAATTTCGAAGAATTGAGCGACGCGCGTCCCCTCGGCTCAGGTTTACGTTTTTAATAATCTTTTGCGCTAAGAAAGTAAAAGGAGAGAGAAAGTAAAGAGAGAAATAGATAAAGGAAAAGGAGAGAGAAAGTAAAGAGAGAAATAGATAAAGGAAAAGGAGAGAGAAAGTAAAGAGAGAAATAGATAAAGGAAAAGGAGAGAGAAAGTAAAGAGAGAAATAGATAAAGGAAAAGGAGAGAGAAAGTGCGGAAGAGAAAGAGGATTTCGATCTCAAAAAGGTAGAAATGGAAGCAGGAGAAGCCGGTGTGAGGCCCCGGAGCCCCGGGCTGGGGGGGGGGGGCTCGGGCTGGGGGGGGGGGGGGCTGGGGGGGGGGGGGGGCTCGGGCCGGGGGGGGGGCCTCGGGCTGGGGGGGCTCGGGCTGGGGGGGGGGGGGCTGGGGGGGGGGCTCGGGCTGGGGGGGGGGGGCTCGGGCTGGGGGGGGGGGCTCGGGCTGGGGGGGGGGGGGGGGCTCGGGCTGGGGGGGGGGGGGCTCGGGCTGGGGGGGCTGGGGGGGGGGGCTCGGGCTGGGGGGGGGGGCTGGGGGGGGGGGGCTCGGGCTGGGGGGGGGGGGGGGCTCGGGCTGGGGGGGGGGGCTCGGGCTGGGGGGGGGGCTCGGGCTGGAGGGGGCTCGGGCTGGGGGGGGGGGGCTCGGGCTGGGGGGGGGGCTGGGGGGGGGGGGCTCGGGCTGGGGGGGGGGGGGGGGGCTCGGGCTGGGGGGGGGGGCTGGGGGGGGGGGGGCTCGGGCTGGGGGGGCTCGGGCTGGGGGGGGGGCTGGGGGGGGGGGGGCTGGGGGGGGGGGGGGCTCGGGCTGGGGGGGGGGGCTCGGGGGGGGGGGGGCTGGGGGGGGGGCTCGGGCTGGGGGGGGGGACCGGGGTCCTGGGCTCCACCCTGAGCCCCAGTGGCCGCTTTGTTTTTCAGAGTAGTCTGGAGTTTGGAGAGAAGGGATCTGAGTGAGTGTCAGCGCGAACATGGCAGTGTCATTCCCTGACGGCAGACCGTCCCTGGTCGTGAGTTGGGAAGAAAATATCAAGTTTGAGGACCTGCAGTCGGCTATTGACGAGCACTTCAACCAACTGGCGTTTAACATCGGAACAACCTGCGATGTGCAGCAGCTGCAGTCCCGCCAAGCCCTGGTGTCCATGGGGTTAGCGGCCAGAGAAGGTGCAGCCCTGTACTTTCATCTCTTTCTTATCCCTTCCCTTATCGTCTTCCTTTCACCGTATTACAACTTTATATTTAAGTGAGAATGTGATGTTTTTAGTCTGTATTAATCACGAGGATGTAATGCATTGTACGCAGTTAGTTAGCCTTTTCTGATGCTTTGGGATACGTAAGTGTAAATTGTATGACCACTTGAATAGTATTGTTCTCTGATTAATACTGACTACCTTTATCATGAATGATACAATAGTGACCTTTTTTTCTGCTGTTTAGTCCTACACACCATGGTGACTCTTGGGAACACGTCAGTCCTGTTTAGAAATAAACAAATCAGACTCTTCATTGATATCCCTAATGCTGACCTGGATATTTCAGTTCCCATGGAGCAGGGTCCAGACAACTTTACAACTCCAAAGGTAAAGTTACATGATTTTGGAGGCCTGTAGCTCAATGGTTAGAGCGCTCACTTGGCAAGCGAGAGACCTGGGTTCAATTCCCGTCAGGGTGAAACCTTTGGCAAGTTTCCTTACTTTACATGCCTGATAATAATCCCTCAAAAAAAAATTGGTCATATCAAACCACGACTGTTTGTGGGAACTGCTGTGCGCAATTGGCTGCCGCGTTTCACCCACAAATATACAGTGAATTCACTTTACAGCATATTCTGTGAAGCGCTTTGAGACGTTGAGAAGACGTGAAAAGTGCTATATCAAATGCAAGGTTTATTATTATTAAAGAAAAATGAGAGAGATTACAAATGTGATGCTTGAAACCTATATGTTTCATTGTTTAATTGTCACTTCATTTTGCAAAATACATCATTTAAAATAATGTGGCTTCTGCACATCCTTAGCCCCCCCTGCTCCAGTGCTCCAAACTCTTGGGACTCCCCAATCCTTCCACCTTGCCCCCTCCTTTCCTGTCTTCAGCTCACACCTGAAGACCTTCCTCTTTTTTCTACCCAACCTCCCAGATGTAGCCTCAAGCTCCACAACTGTTCAGCTCTCCAAGACATTACCCCAAGTGAATAGTGCTGTATAAGTGCAAGTTGCTGTATATTTAAACAGTATAAATATATTATTGTAAAACTGATCTGTTTTCATTTATTCATAGGGTCCCACCACTCGAGTCCAACAAGGTAATAATTTGAAGAGATGATTCTTTTCCCACAATGCCATATGTTTACAATGGACATCACTCAAATACATTTCTATTAACTTTGTGCATATGTGAACAGCTGATAAAAAACTGGGTTGCTTATACAGTAAGGTACTTACGCAAACATGAAATGTCATTTGCTACAAGACTTGTCTCTGCACTGTCAGTCATCTTTTTATTCCGCCACCCGCTCTTCAGCTCCCCCTCACCCCTCCTCCTGCTAATGAACCCAGCCAGCTATGTAAAGAACTTTGAAATAGTCTTCTAATTTGAAAAGTGTTATATATAAATGTAAATTGTATTGTTTATACATTTTATCCTGTTGTTTTTTGGTACCAGTAACATTCTGCTTATTGTGAGTTATGCATTGCATAATAACTGTGGATAAGGTAATACCCCTCAGTAGATGATCCACTGTTTAATTTGTTAAACCAGATTCCTTATTTCAAGGATAAGAAACACCAATCTCAGATTGCTTCATACATGAGTTCAAGGCAAGACTTGACATTTGCCTTCTTGTAGGAAATGGGCTAGTGGAATCAGAAATACATTATTTGCTTGTATCATTTGTTTCTGTTTTCTTTAAGATTGCTTCATAATCGTGTGTTGTTTTTTAATCAGGTAATCTGAATTTGGAAGAAGTCTATATTGATATTTCACTTGAAGATAACGTTGCTCAGCTCCTTCAGCCTAATGAGAATATATTAAATTATATCATGGAAGCAAAATTTGGTTGCCTTGCTATACTGTGCTTAGAAAACACAGAAACAAAGACCGAAACTAGCACGGCGAATCAATCCGTTAAAGAGTCAATTTCACATGCTTTGCCTCCTGGAGTTTGGTATAGGAAGTATCTACCAGAAGGTGTTACTGTTGCTGTAGTAATAGATGATCTGACAAGGTATAAGGTAGATGCCGTAGTAAATGCTGCCAATGAAAGCTTACGACACGCTGGTGGACTTGCTAATGCTTTGGCAAGAACAGCTGGACGTCAAATTGAACTTGAATGTAATGACATTATTAAACGACAGGGGAAGGTTCAAACCGGTACTGCAGTAGTCACCACCTCTGGGCGACTTCCATGTAAGAAGGTCATTCATGCAGTTGGACCTGTTTGGAAAAATTATTCACCTGCTGAAAATGACACTCTACTCAGTAATGCCATCAGAAATAGTCTTAACCAAGCAAATATAAACAAAATGACTTCTATTGCCATACCTGCAGTGAGTTCTGGATTATTTGGCTTCCCATTAAAAAGATGTGCAGAAGTTATAGTAAGAACAATTGAAACTTTTTACAAGACCATAAAGACAACAGATACTCTGAAAGACATTCGTTTGGTAAATTTTGATGACTTAACAGTGACAGCAATGAAGAATGCGTGCATAAATATACTTGGTGAAATGAATGAACTCAAAAGTTCATCTGCTATATTTTTGACACGTGATAACGTTCGTATCTACAAACTCAATATACGAATCAAGAGAGAAAACATTGAAGACCAGCGAGTATGTACTTTTCTTTTTAAAAGAACTGCTATGTTTTGTTAATATTATTTCCTTTTTCTACCATTCATAGAAATTTACAGTACTTTGATTTTAAATAAACAACCTTTAACATGCATTTGGGTGAAAAAAATGAAACTTTTTTTTAAAACAGTGTGACGTGATTGTGAATTCCATATCCAAAAACCTAAATTTGGAATCTGGAACTATTTCTAAAGCAATTCAGAAGAAAGCTGGCCCGGAACTTGAAAAAGAAATTTCAAGAATTATAAAGACAAATTTATTGCCTTTGGGCAAAGTAGTAAAAACTCCAGGATTTCAACTTAACTGCAAGTATTTGTACCATGCAGTGTGTTATGAGCAGGCCAAGGCTTTGCCTGAAATGGTAAGTTGCACTAAAAAAAAGTCCACAGAATGTCTTTAAAACAATATTTATTGTGTAACTTGGGAATTTTTATTTGGCTCATGGTGGTTTGTTTTACTCGTTTGCAGATTTTGCAGAAAATTGTAGGCTCATGTTTGGAACTTGCAGATAGAGATGATCTTTCCTCTATTGCATTTCCTGCAATAGGTAGCTCAAGTTTACCAAAAGCAAAGGTAGCAAAGATTTTCGTGGATGAAGTTGTCAGTTTTGCTGAACAAAATCGAAACACCAAACTGAATGATGTTTTCTTTGTGCTTCAAACAACAGAAACAGAGATTTATGAGGTAAGAACAACAAATCAATGTAATATTAAATCTTCTATACGGCTCACTTTTGGATCTGCTGCAAATGACTGCAATTCATTTCAAATATAAATTCAGAGTTAAAGGTTCTTGCGAGCAAGGGTTCTTTCCACTTAGCTCCTTTAAACCCTGCAAGCCAAAGCCCTAAAGGGTACGGCTAGATAAAGTACAAATCCAGCAGTTGGAATTGTGCTCTCAATGATAAGTTGACCTTGGGAAAGCAAAAGGCTTTGAGACAAACTCAAGCAAAGGATCATTACATTCCAGCTAACTGCATTACTTTTGATGACCTTTTTCTGAGCAGTTTTTCTCTGAATCATACTTAAAATATATTGGTTTGAAAGTTCTAAGTTAAAAGCTTGCATTACATTTAGTATTCCACAACATTTGCTGACTTATTTTGTAACTTTGATGAACTTGTTTGTTTAGGCTTTTCTACAGGAGATAAGTATCGTAAAACGCTTAACTCAAGGAATTTCAGAGCCCTCAACAGCTGCAGAAACCTTAGGTGGTCCGAGTAAGTAGATCCATACATAACCCAGTGGGTATTCTAATAAACACATGCTCGAAGTTGGAAATGAGATTAGCAACTGATAAATGAAAAATGGCAGTGATCAAATTTCCAAAATATGCTCTGTGGTATTTTGTAACTCTAGTTTGCCTAACAATGAATATTAACTGTGTTATCATTTGATTTTTTTTAATAGATTAGGTCCCTAATTGCTTGAATAAAATGTTTCAATCAATACTGAAATTGATTTTCTCTCTATAGATTTAAAAACTACCAAACGTAATGAGAATAAAACATACCTTTCACTTCGTGCCAAAGATTATCCAACTTTGGAATGTGCCAAACATTGGTTTACGAAAAACATTCTGGAACCTCAAGGCCATTTTATCATAAATAATCAGAACATCTGTTACATTACAGTACAGGAATATGCAGCCTTATCAAACATTAAAACTGAGTATGCGATAGACATCGCAGGAAAAATAACTGACTCTGGGGTACAGATTGTTTTAAATGGGCCTCGCTTGATGGTACTGAATGCAATACTCAATATAGAAAAAATGCTTTGCGAAGTACAGGAAAAAAATACAAAGAAACGAGAAGCTGAGCTATTGCAGTCCCTAGTCTATTGGGTCTTCAAAGATGGGGGTAACATAATTGAGTATGATGCTGAAGTGAACTTTGCCTTAGAAAAGGCTTTCCTGGATAAAGAGCCAATTGTAAGCGTTGAAATGAATGGTACTAAGCACACAGTAAATTTACTACAGGGGACAGCATCGAGAGACAAAAAACGTTCAGTGAAGGTTGAAAGACACTGTGAGTAAAGTTTTTTTTCATTCCATAAGATTTAACAGAATTATTCACGATAAAAAACATAATTTCCTTCTGCAACAAAGTCTCACTGTATTCTATAAAATTCTATGGCTGAATGCCCTACATTTTAACCAGAAATATTTCTTAATGACCGTAAGATTGACAACATGTTCAGGAATTATAACTTTAAAGAACATAAAGATACAGATTTATTTTGTAATAACGGAAAAGCTACAAAAACGCGAGTGTCAAGTGTTATGATTAAAGTGGATTGGATGCTTTACGTTATTACAATAAACATATCAATCTACTGACCGGGGAAACTAATCTCACTAGTTTTAGCAATGCTGTTATGAAATGACAAACCTAGAGCTTGGGTTTTACTTCAGCTTCTGAAGGCAAGTACAAGACAATGGTCCAAACCATCCTGAAGATGTTTCTGAAGTGAAATCCTGAATAACATGCTATATAATTTGTCAATACAAAACCAGATCCAGAACTCTAAACCCCTATTAGTGTTTAATAACATACATGTTTTCTTTACTTTTTCATCTTAAAAAATTTAAGTAGGAGCCCAATTAATATATTTTATTCTATTTTGCTTCTCCATTCTAACTTGTAAAAGCATTCTGCTAAGGAGTGTAAATGTATTGCAAGGATAATTGTAAGAAGAAGGTTGTGTACATTGTAATTATTCTCACGAATGATCATTACGTTTTTATGTTATCATTAAATATTTTATAAAAATACCTACTTTTTCTCTGTTTTTCAGATAAAGGTCATGAAGATTATGTGAACAGTGTTCCAAGTAACTGGGTTACAATCACTGGCCTAAATTTTCAGAATGTATTAATAGATCCAAGCACCCATGAATTCAACAAAACGAAAAAGGAATTTTCAAATGCGGGTTTTAACATTGTGGAGGTATTATTAGTTTCTATCCATTCTTGCAAGTAGATATAATTTACAAGAACAAAATTACATGAATTATTTTCCTTTTACTCCTGCATGATCATAAAAGATGTGAAGTATGGCAATAATTTATAAATAGGAAACGGGCATTGAAAAAGTATATCAGTTACTTTAAAAATCCCAATTTATCATGCAAATTAAATTTACCTGCTCATTTTATTGTTATTCATGAACTGTTTCTGGCTCAGATTAGCTGCCACATTTGTCGATATAAAATCATTAATTTCTAATAATAATAATCCTTGCATTTGATATTGTGCCTTATCATGTCTTCAAGATGTCTCAAAGCGCTTCACAGAATATACTGTAAAGTGAATTGATTGTATATTTTGTGGGAGAAATACTTGTGGATTGAGTGACCAATTTATTATTATTATTTATTATAATCAATTATATGTGATAAAGCATTATGAGAGCTTTTAAAGAAATATAAAATATGCTATATAAAGGCAAACTATTATTATTGTTGTTGGTAAAGTGGCATTCTATAAGATTTATTCAGAAAATTGTTCAAACACAGATTGAAAGCATACAGAATCCGGTTTTGTGGAATTGCTACATACGTAAAAAAGAAATTGGACAGACGAAACCTCCAGGGAATGATACCAGAGTTGTTTCACTGTACCATAGATCACCAGCCCATTTATGGAGAGTGATATGTAGAAATGGATTTCAGAGAATATACTCAAAGCAATCTGGTAAGTATTTTTTGTTATTAAAATACTCATTACAAACTTGTTACATTAGACCACATTTTAATTATTTTAATTGAACCATAATGGTTTCAAACATTTGTCCAAGCCATTTCAATATTGATAAACAAACTGATATGAAAAACATTGTTTGTGAAATGGCTTTTGCTTATTTGGAGGAAGAGGTATATTCTACCTCTTCACTTTTTCTCAAAATACTGCAGTATAACTCACACTAAGGTGTGTGCAAGAAGAATCTGGAAATGAATATTTTTCTTTTAATATACAAGTGAAAAACTCAACATCAACAAATTGCACTTAGGTTGTGCCTTTCACGTCAGGAGGAAGTTCCAAGGTGCTGGCCAGTCAAGGATTTACATCCAAACTGGGAGTCGGAATAAAAGGGGTTGGGGGTTGGAGAATAACCGAAGGCAGAGTCAAAGAGGAATGTCTTCAGATGGGCCTTGAAGGATGCAAGGGAGTGTGCAAGGCAAAAGTACTCCAGGATGGAGTTTCAGAGGGTGGGAGCATAAAAGCTGATGGCCTCACTGCCGATGGTGGAACGGGCAGGCTGGGGAACATGGAACTGGCTAGTGCCCTCTGATCGGAGGTAGAGGGGAGGTTTATAAGGTTTTTTGTAGGTTGTAGAGGTTGGGAGGAGCAAGACCATGGAGGGCTTTAAAAATGAGGACGAGGATCTTAAACTCAATTCTCTGTGATATGGGGAGCCAGTGTAGCCGGGCGATGATGGGGGTGATTGGCTGCTGGAACTTGGTACGGGATCAATGTTTTGTAATAGATTCAATATATTTAAAATTGTTATAAAATCTCACATTTCCATCTATCCCTAAAAGGGATAAACCCCTAACTGACATAAACCCCTAACTGTAGCCCCATAGTTGAACTCAAAATTGATTCAAAGATGCTTGCCACCTGCTTAATTCTTGTTCTTGACCAACAGCCAACATTTCAGTGCCCCTTTAATAATCCCTCCAAAAAAAATAAAACAAATAATAATTTGGTCAATGCATGACTGTTTGTTGGATACTACTGTTGGCTGCCCACAAAATATACAGTCAATTCAATTCAGTGTATTCTGTGAAGTGCTTTGAGACATCTCAAAGACGTGATAAGGTGCTATATCAAATGCAAGGATTATAATTATTTTAATGGTTGTGCCCTCTAAAAATCATTACTGATTGCAGCGTGTCAGTGCTCATTCAGTAACTGCCCTGAAATAGCGCCTTTAGAGTCGAGAACTAAAAATTTAAGCCATTGGCAGGAAACCATGTTGACAACATTTAAGTTCTTGGTACTGGCTTCAGGCAAAACCATTGGGGTGGAGGTGGGGGAAGTTTCCCACTAAAAACAATCGTTAGAAATTTATGGGAAAATGCAAATTTTCATTACATAATGCTCCATACATATTATATATGTGTATCCTGTTATATCACTTCGTAATAGTGAAGAACCTAGCATGACTGATTATTGAGAATACTGTTTGGAATCACATCCATATAGAGTAGTCAATTTAGTTTCCTGAGCTGCTTGTCACTGTAGTGTTAATTGAATTTGAGGCATTAAGCAAATGGAAGATTTCACCAGGTGAGCGGGTGGAAAAAGGCTTTTCTTTCAGAAGTTAAAAGATCCAATGAAGAGGAAAACCCTTATTTTTATTTTTATTTTGTAGAGAGGAAGTACGGTGAAGGGATCTACTTCAGTACCAATGTGAGAAATGTATTGAGAGGCCATAGTGAAATCAGTGATGAAGAGAAAATTATTTACATCTTTGAAGCAGATGTTTTTGTCGGCAAATACGCACAAGGGAGTCAATCACTTCTTTTACCCCCCACCAGAAAATCTGAAACTTTTGAATTATTTGATAGTGTCGTGGATGACAAACGTCTACCCAAAACGTACGTTATTTTCAACAGTTCTCAAGCTTATCCAAAGTATCTTATAAAATGTGAGAGAAAATAAGTACATTGATTTATCATGTTAATGTGGTAAAGGCAAAAATTATAGACTTCTTGATGATGTGCAAATGCTTAGTATTGTAACATACATCTGGTCAACTTCACTTATAAATGGCATAAACTTATGGGCCTTCTGATAGAGAAGTAATGGAATACAATGTACTTTCTTGCACACGTTTGACATATTCAATTTATTTTCTATCTATAATGGCTTAAGTGACAAACTGTTTTGCACCTTTTTAAATGACTGAAAAGAGTTTTTAGTTTTATTTTGCTCCAAATTTTTTGGAGTGCAGCCATCATTTACAATGAATTACTTGAATTAACAAACTTAAAAAACTTATTCTTCAGGTGAAAATGGGGTTTAAGATTATTAAATCTGAATTGCTGTGTTAATTATGACTTCTAGTTTTGAACTATAGGATTGTGAAATTTACCTGTGGGAATGAATTCCAATAAAAGTCAGCTATCAAAACACTGGCTGAAATTACTGAAGTGAGTGGTTTTGATGTGGATGGGTCTGACTGATTTTTTTTACCAAAAAGGATTAAATAATCCTAGATGGTTGATAAATAATTACTGAAATAGATTTGGATTTCATTCTCAGCAAAAAAAAACACAAACTTGCAATTTATTTGACATTTATTTGTATTAAATATTCTATAAAAAAATCAGTCTGCATCATAAAATTCAATTGGAAACAAAACGTGCATTATGCATGCTTAGACATAGATACCAACCAAGTATATTACATAAAACCTCCACAAACATTTACACAAGTTAGATTATCATTCTGTTTTAAAGAGCTGAATTTTCCCTGGCAAAACTATGTCTGGATCACTACAAATATATAATTTGTTTTGAATTGGGATATTTGATAAGTGACAAATATTGAAATTAAAAACTGCAAATATTGGAAATTCAGAGGTTCATCACTTTCTGATGCATTCATAATTCAAGCATCTTCATCATGGAAGGGTCTTATCTGAAACTAATTTATTTTTCTCTACCACATGCTGATTGTTGGGCTCTGAATTTCTTTAATGTTTCTCTATACCTATCAATGTAAATGTTAGATGATCAGCCTAAAAGGCTTTGCTCGTTTCCCTACTTTATTTTTTTTGTGTCTTCATTTAAGAAATTAGGAATTCAGTATACTGTTAACTTCAGTACAAAGTAATAAATAGTATTTAATATTACAATATAATTATGAACTTTTAAAGTAAAAAAACCCTGATTTTTTTAAAGCTTTATCAGCTTCTATTCTGGCTGATTGATGTACTAATTGTAATCTTGCAGATGAAATCTTAAGCCTGCAACAGTACACACATGTACAAATGCACAGGATTGTGTGTACATAACATGCTTCAGGACAAGTATGTTATTTTGTGACACAATGGCTTGCATTTGTTGATTGTGATCTGAGAGTGAGGAGCTTTTGACTTATGCTTCGAAAAATGCTAGGTTCCATGTCTTCCCTTCTATTTTTTTTCCTGATTTGGGTTCTTGTGTGCATAAAAATCACTGTAATGGTGCTTACAAATAGCACAAAGATTTTGACTGAGACCCACATAGAAAGTCAAAATGGGTTTTGATTCATTTCCAGGTTTTAATTATGAAACACTTTGAGAAGATGTGATAAAGTGCTATATCAAATGCAAGTATTATTAAAAAATATCTGAAAGCTGCAGGACACCATTTATTTTTCAAACATATCCAATTCATAATGCATCATTTCTTTCATTTACAACTTAATACCACAGGTCATGACTAAAGGAACTAGCAAATTTAGAAACGAGATTCATTAAAAAAAAGCTAATTTTGAATGATTTGGAATAGCATCACAGAGCTACCATTTCTAAAGGTCACAGAGACGCCTAATAGTTTTTGCACTGAATTTGCATTTCCTCATTTGTTTTTCCTCACATGCTAATTTCCTTTGTTACAATAAGTTTCACCATGGGCCATATAATGTTCAAATGTATTGTTTGCAAGTGTGCGCAGCTGGAACACAGGAAGTTACTCTGTAGTTTCTGGGATTTCCTGGTCATCTACAATAAGAGTATGAATAATTCCTTCTCTTCGCTTCCCACTGCTGACTGCTTTGATGCAGCATTCATGGTTACCAACAGTGAAGTGGGTTTCTGTGCCATCTTCCACAAATTCACCCTACAAAAATAAGATAAGTGATTACAGTGCAGGCAATTGATAAACTTAATCTCACTGTTTCCATTACTACTGAATTAATGGAAGTTCCACATTTCATACCATCTTGCATTTGATGTAGCACCGTATCATGTTGTTGAGACATCTCAAAGTGCTTCACAGGATACTGTAAAGTGGTATGACTGTATTTTCTGAGCAAATGTAGCAGCTAATTTACACACAGCAATGCCCCACAAACATCCATGGAGTGAGTGACCAATTTTATCTGGAGGTTTGCTGGCTAGGAGAAACTCCCTTCTCTTTATGAACAGTGCAATGGGATCTTTAACGTTCAGCTGAACAGGTAATCATGACCTTGGTTTAACATCTCATCTGAAAGATGGCACCTCTGACGATGTAGCACACCCCTAAAACTGTATTGGAATGACAGCATAGACTATGATGGGTTCCAATTCCCAACATGGGACTGAGGCCTACAACCTTCTGACTCAGTTGAGAGGGTTACAAACTGAGCCAGGCTGACACACCTACAACCACTAGTTATGTTTTTAGACAACCAGGAAATCTAGTACTCTTTTTGTGGTTTATCAGCAACAACAAATTGCACTTATTGAGCTCCTTTCATGTAGGCAAATATATATATATGTGCCTTACCAAGTGGGGGTGTGGAAGGTAGGAGGCAAAAGGTGTATTCAAAGGCTATTTAGATGGATTATTGTGAGTGATGGAGAGAATAGGATGGAAGGATTTCAGAAGAGGGTTTCAGAAGGTGGGCACACAGTGGTTGAAAGCTCATCTGTTGACAGTGGGGTGGAGGGGTTAGGAAACATGAAGCAAACCAATCTATCAAAAGGAATACAGGAAGTGAGTAGTGTGCAGGACATCACTGAGGTCAAGTGGGGCAACGATATAGAGGCCTATGAAAGGATATGGATCTTAAAGTTGATTTGTTGAGCGATAGGAATCCTGGCAAGAATTGGGTTAATGGGCTTGCAAAGCCTTGTGCAGCTGAGTAACTAAATCATACAGATGAAGGCCCCAGATGATACCTGGTCCATGCTAAATCATCTTCACAAGCCTGATTCCGATCTAACTCCCACTGCTGGATCATCTGGAGAGTGAAATATTCTACCAGCACTAAATAGTGACCCCTTGAGTGAGATACTGAAGTAAACCAGCATTTACAGAAGTGCAAATCTGAGAAATAAGGAATCATGACTTCAGGAAGGAGGGGAGGAAATTGGCAAAGAAAACACAAAATTGATTCATAAACACCACCACCAACAACATGCACTTATAGAGTGCCCTCCACGCAGGGTAGCGTCTCAGAACACTTAACAGTGGCGGAGCCTGACTCCTGAGCCAGTGGGTGGGGGGGGATCAGGGAGATGGCCATAAGATGGTCAAAGAGGAAGACTTTCGGGCAGGACTTGAAAAAGGGGAGGGAGGGGGCAAGGCGGAGGAATTGAAGGAGAGTATTCAAGAGTTTCAGGGCGCAGTGGCTGAAAGAGTGACCTCCAATGGTGGGGCTGAGAGTTCGAGGGATGAGCAGGAGGCCGGTGCCAGTCTAGCGGAAGCACCAGGTAGTGAATTGGGAAGTGAGGAGGTTGGAGAGGTAGGGAGGTGCAGAGAGTGAAGGGATTTGAACACGAGTGTGAGGATCTTGAAGTCGATCCGTTCGGTGATTGGGAGCCAGTGGAGTCTGGCCAGAACTGGTGTGTACGGAGTTTGGTCCGGGTCAGTATGCAGGCGGCAGAGTTCTGAATGAGCTGGATCTTTTGAATAGTGGAGCTGGGGAGACCGGTGAGGAGTGCGTTTGTGTAATCCAGGTGGGAGGTGACAAACGCATGCACGAGGGTTTTGGCTGCATTTGGGGTAAGGTACGGTCGGAGATGGGCAATATGGCGGATGTGGAAGAAGGCGGCCCTGATCAGGGACTGGATAAGGGGGAGGACGGACAGCTGTGGGTTGAACTGGATGCCTAGATTGCACACTGGTTCGGTGAATCTGAGGGAGAGCCCAGGGTTGTTGAGGAGTTCAGATCCACAGGAGTGAAGAGGTTGACGGGAGCCAAGGAGTATGGTTTCTGTCTTGTCCACATTCAGCTGCAGGAAGTTTACACTCATCCAGGCCCTGATATCTGCCAGACAAGCTGATAGAACATCGGCAGACCTGGAGTTGGTACTGGAGGAGACAAAGTAGATTTGTGTATTATTCGCACGCATGTGGAAGTTTACACCGTGATGATATCGCTCAGAGGGAGCATATAGAAAAGGAAAAGAAGAGGGCCAAGGATGGAGGGAGAGGAGATGACCGTTGTACCAGGGTTGGCGGGTGGATATGGAAACAACCCAGGATTTCAGGGGAGCCAGGGAATTGAAAGTTGTGGAGAGACAGTCATTCAGCAGCTTGATGGCTGCATCAGGATTGCTGTAGGTGTAGGGCCAGAAGGAGAGGAAGTCCGAGGAAGAGAGGGCATTCGTGAGGGACTCAGGGGGAAGCTTTTTTCAGGGACGGAAAAAAAATGATGGAGGGTTTGGAAGAGGGGAGGGATTGGAAGAGGGTAGGGCGATGTGGGAGGAGAGGGAGATGAGGAAATTGTCCGAGATGGCCTCGTCTGTGATAGACAGGTCGGAAATGTCAAGGCCATGTGTGGTGATGAGGTCGAGGGAGTGACCACGGTTGTGGGTTGGCAAGTTGATGTGGAGGGTGAGGTTTAGGGAGGAGGGGGGCAGTGAAATCCGAGGAAGGGGCGTTTAGGTGGCAGTTGAAATCACCAACAAGCAGGTGTTCAGTGCAAAGGGACAGGGATTAGAGGAGATATCAGTGAGGAAGGAGCCAGGAGGCTTGGGGTATTATTTCTAAAGAGGTATTATTTCTGAAATGAAATGTAAACGTTTATACTTTTTGCCCAAATCTATTGCAGCAAAAAGCAAAATCTGGAAGCATTGCTGGTGCAGCTGAAGCTGTAAATCAATCCAATTCATTCATTCAGTTGCAATAAAAACTGCTGAATGCTAAATACCTACTACAACACAATTTACATTTATATAGTGATTTTCACATCGGGAGGACAGCTCAAAGTGAAACAAGTAACAGGATACACTTTACACTATTTTATGCTGGCAGATGGGCAAGGTTATACTCCTTTGTGCAATCAAAAACACAAGTTCAAATCCTGGTGACATGGAGTCCTTCCAGGATTATTTTTTCTTAAATAATTAGATTAAGAAATACATATTCCCCTTTCCCACACTTGCTATCCCAACAGCAACTTAATCTCCCCAAAGAAAATGGTGGACATGAGACAAAAACACAGAAGAGCACAAGATGGAGCCCATTTAAAATTTCATATGATGGTATCCTGAAATTTTGGCGCTCAGAAGCTGTACAATATTTGATGCAATCTAAGTAAGATCTGTGCATTTTTAACAGCAGAATAACTAATTTAATGAGATATTAAAATTGCATAACATTTAACTCATGTTCTCTTAATAGCTGTTGGTCTGTAATTCTTTCTATTATAGGCAGAATTCAAGGAGTGATTTAAACACATATACTTCAAATATAAATGAGGTGGGTTTCCCTTACACTGTGTGAGCTTCTCTGTAAAAACTCTCAGGCTGTCCCTTAGATTCTTTCAAACATTTACATACAATTACTTACACCTAATTTGGGTATCCTGTGTTTGTGCAAAAACAATTCTCCCCTGAATTTACAGCTATGTAGAGCAATAGTTTAAATTGAGCTCCCTGTTTTACATTATTATATTGCCAAAGTATCTGCAGCAGGTAAATTAAATTGGTGTAAATCTTAAATGCTGCACAGAATAGAAGATACAAAGGACAAAACTATTTGGGTTGACTTCAGTACCCAACCCAAAGCAAAGCTAACATTATGAAGATGACATTTAAGAAGCCGTTAATGAAAAAAGGAATAGAGTGGTTACTTTGGTGACATACCCTTGTCTTGGGTTAAGATTAACATATTACTAGAACTGGGGTTTGTGAAGTTGCCATCAATTGAGCAACTCGTGAAATAAGGCACAAAAGGCAAGTTTTATATTCAACCTCAAGACAACACAGTGGATTATGGACTTTAAGGGGTTTGTAATCTTAACGTTTCCTGAGCAAATGAGTGAATAAATTATTTCTGGATTACTGTTGTAATGCAAATTTACACTGATGAGCAACATTTAAATTCTTGATGAAAGGTTTTTCCTGATCCAGGAATTTAGCCTCTCCAAAATCTCAAAAGCAGTGAACATATATGTCTATTATAACATAGAATCATACAGCACAGAAGGAGGCCATTCGGCCCATCGTGTCTGGATAGCTCTTTGAAAAGAGCTATCCAATTCAATCCCGTTGCCTTGCTCTCTCCCTATAGCCCTGAAAACGTGTCCTCCCCAAATAATTATCTACTTCTTTCTTAAGTTACTTCTTTAAATAAAATATTAATTCTGACTTCCCCATAAGAAAGCTTAGCAAAAGTATCTTTGATGATCAACATATACAAGGAGAGACTTGGCTACCAAACAAAATAATGTATAAATTTTAAAAACTCACAGCTGTCTCCATTTTGTTCCCATTGCACCAAACATCCATGGTGTCTTTCTCTGAAAAGAAACAAAATTATCAAATCTAATATTCAGAATGTGAAGTTTAAACTCTACATTGATTTCTACCATTACTGGCAAGTTACCCTATCTAACTTTCTACTCTCCAGTTTATACAGCAGCAAAATCTCAAAGCCTACATTAACTAAATATTTTAATAATAAATAGTAGTACCAAAAATTATACCTACCATAAGGCGAACTCACCCAACACTACTCGAGAATCCACTCCATCCAGATTTAACAACCATGTATTTGTGGTCTTTGACCTGTTCTCCATGTATTTTTTAAGGCTCTTCCCATTGATCTCCAATGTGTATTCATAAGCAAACCCACTAACTGCATCAATATTGATTGTTGCTTTTGTTTTAGTGGCCCCAACATTAAACGTTTCTTTCCCAACTAGTTTAAACATCCAGTCCTTACGCATCACTTCCTGAAAATAAAATATAATCCACATAAATAATCCAGATAAATTAAGAACATCAGAACATAACAAATGCTATCGAAAAATTATCCCACGATTTTATTTTCTAAAAGAAAACTATCAAACCTGTGTTTGAAAGAATCAACACTTCCTGCTTCAACCGTCTCCCTAGAGAGCCTATTCCAAAGGTTCACTATTTGTTCACTGAAATAGTCTTTGCATAGATTTGTTCTGACATTACCCCCCTTCAATCGCAGGCCGTGTCCTCTGGTCTTACTAATCTGGACAAGTTGAAACAGTCTGTCATGATCTATATTGTCTAGCCCCTTTAGAATCTTAAAGCAGCAATCATGTCACCTCTCAATCGTCTCTTTCTCTTTGACCGTGCCTTCAGCTCCCCTCTCGACTCTCTTCCCCCTCCTCGCTCCCTCCCTTCCCTCCCCTCACCCTGACCATTTCCCCCCTCCTTGCTCCCTCCCTTCCCTCCCCTCACCCTGACCATTTCCCCCCTCCTCACTCCCTCCCTTCCCTCCCCTCACCATTTCCCCCCTGCTCGGGTCATGACTCAACTGTGCAGCGCCTTGGGACGTCCTCCTGATGTGAAAGGCGCTTTATAAATGGAATCTTGTTGTTGTTGTTGTTGTCTCTTTTCCAGCGTGAACATGCCAAATTTACTTAATCGTTCTTCAGCTCAGTCCTTTCATTCCCTCAATCATTTTGGTTGCCCTCCTCTGTATCTTCTCGATTTCTCTAATATCCTTTTTGTATCTTAAGTATGGTCTCACCAATGATTTATACAGTGGCAGTCGGTAAGTGTGCATCAGTGATGGCTCAACAACAACTTGGATTAATATAGCGCCCTCCGGCATCTCAGAGTGCTGCACAGTAACGGATCCCGGGGCCGAGCCAGGGGGAGGGGGAGGAAGGTGACCAAAGGCACGGTCGAAAAGAAAGGTCTGACGAAGGGAGTTCCAGAGCCTCAGGGCATAGTGGCTGAAGGCACGGCCACCGATGATGCAGTGGAGGACTCGGGGACAAGGAGGAGGCCCAGACCCTGTGCAACAAAGGCAACGAGCACTGTTTTGAGGAGAGAGGTCAGAAAGGTAGGGGGGTGCAGAGGAGTGGAGGGATTTGACGACGAGGGTGAGAATCTTGAAATCGATCCTCTCTGGAACAGGCAGCCAGTCTGGCAAGGACTGGGGTAATCAGGGAAGCGGAGTTTGGTGCGGGTAAGAATGTGGGCGGCAGAGTTTTGTATGACCTGGATTTTATGGGTGGTAGTGGAGGAGAGACCGGAGAGGAGGGCATTTGAATAGTCCAGCCGAGAGGTGACAAAGGCATTGACCAGCATTTCTGACTAAGTTTCCCATGATTCAATAAGTCTTGACCGGTGCCGCATTCTCACTGTTGGAATCGCAGGTAATCATACAGATCAGAAAAAGGCCATTCGGCCCATCGTTCTTAAAAGTTGTTATTGAATCGGCTTTTAGGTAATGCTTTCCAGATCCAAACAACTCGCTGGGTGAAAAATGTTTTCTAACCTCCCCTCTGCTTCTTTTAACAATTATCTTAAATCGGTGTCCTTGGGTTACTGACCCACATGCCAGTGGAAACAGTTTTTCCCGGTTCAACCTATCAAATCCTCTCATGATCTTGAACACCTCTATTAAATCCCCTCTTAATCTTCTCTGCTCTAGGGAGAATAATCCTAGTTTTGCTAACCTCTCCACATAACTAAGGTCCTTCATTCCTGGTACCATCCCGGTAAACCTCCTTTGCACTCTCTCCTAAATTAAGTTCTTCTGCGCATAAATCAACAGATGAAAATTACGTTTCCCATGATTCAGTGCAGCCGGCCAGTAAATGTGCATGCGTTGACAGATCAAGATATCATTTCACGTGATTCAATGCAGCCGGTAAATGCGGGAATAATGGAAGAAAGGGGAGCGGCGTTTCAAGTTAGGAGATGATTAATATGACTAATGCAAAGAAATGCAAGTCGTTTTGAAAAGAAACTGAATGGGTGGATGTACGACTTAGGTGATCATACAATATGATTCATAAAGATAAGACTTATGTGAGTTTTTGTTAAACAGAAACCTGAAGTTACAGTAAATCATGCGATACATTGAAAGACTATACAATAAAATGAAAGGACTGAGCTATAAATCAACTGATTTTGTACATTTCAGGCATCAGAAATCCAGTACAGGAAGCGGTGTCTGTTCCTTCCAAATATCTCAAAACAATACAATGGGATCTTTAACTGGCAGCTAGGATTTTGACTTAATATCTCATCTAAAAGGAAGTTACTTTCACAAATGCTGCCTCAACACTGCACTGCAGTTGCAAAAAAAACATAATTCTTTTCAAGTTAAACATTATTCTATGTTTAAACGAAGCATTTTATATCTGAAAACAAAAACAAAAAAACCCAAAATAATAAGAATTTGGTCACTCAATCCACGACTATTTGTGGGACACTGCTGTGCACAATTGGCTGCCACGTTTCATCCACAAATATACAGTCAATCCACTTTACAGTATATTATATGAAGCGCTTTGAGACATCTAGAAGACGTGGAAAGCGCTATATCAAATGCAAGGATTATTATTACATTATTATGAACACAACTCACTGCAGTAATTTGCTGGTTTTATTGAAACAAGCTTTAAAAATAATTAAATATGAACTCTAATAGTGACTGATTATTTTACCTTTCCGTCTATATATATCACTCGTTTGCCTGAAGTAGTGCCATGCTCGAATTCTATTTTGTGCACACCGTCACTCAGCGCTACTTCCCAGACAGCCACAAGATCAGTCATTTTCTTCAATTGGGCCTTAGAAAAAAACAAAGAGCATATTTTCTATATGCTGTAGCATGATAGGGTAAAAGGGTACAGAGAAAGAGCAGGAAATTGGGATTAGGATGGGTGTCTAATTGGGGGAGAGAACCACCAAATTGAAAACATGGTTCAAATAGATTTCTAATGTGTCGTACATTTCTATGGTTTATGATGCAAAAGCCTTCCAATAACTTTCCAACAAACCAGAAATCCAATTGTTTGCTGTACTGTGAAAGTAATCATCATACTCCTCCCAAAAAAGTTTTGTATAATTTCTATAATTTGGAGTCCTGTAGCTCAGTGGTTAGAGCACTCGCTTTGCAAGCGAGAGACCTGAGTTCAATTCCAGGCAGAGTGCGAAACCTTGGGCAAGTTTCCTTACTCCACACAGAGCCTAATAATAATCCCTCCAAAACCAAAAACAATAATAAATTGGTCATTTTCAATCTACGACTGTTTGTGGGACATTGCTGTGCGCAATTGGCTGCCGCGTTCACCCACAAATATACAGTCAATTCACTTTACAGTGTGTTCTGTGAAGCGCTTTGGGACGTCCTCCCGACGTGAAAAACGCTATATCAAATGCAAGGATTATTATTATAACAGCATTACGTACTGCACTGTAAATCAGAAAATTCATTCATTAGCATCGTGCACACTGTATATGATGATAACACCTTTCAGCAATGGAAGATAATTATTGTACAGTACATCTTCATATCTAGTAATCGCCTTCCATAACACCACAGTAAACATTTTATCAGGTTCTAATCCAATTAGCAAGCAGAATAGATAAAAGCTGAACACAATAAATAAAACATCAGTAAGAAAATAGGTGTTTTCATTCAAAGAAATTTCAATGTGTCTTCATAAAATGAGTTACTGACAAATACATTTCTACAGAATAAGTATTTTCCTACAATTCGTAAAATTCTTAGATGCCAAAGAGCATTCAAATGACCAATAAAAGTTTATTTGCAGACAAAACACATTTGTTACCAAAAACAGTGACATTCAAGATTCTCAGGGTAAAATGTCAGTTTAATTATAAGTAGAACTTTGGAAATATTTTGTTTCACCTTCTTTAATACAGCGTTGATCAGTCATAATATAGAATATCTTAAAGTTTGCTAATACCCAACTAAGTTTTTCTGATTTAATGGCCTATTAAATTCAGTTAAATTCAGTTAAATTCAGTATCTAAAGGCAATAGATACATTTGTGTAATTACAGTTTAAAAACTCACAATAAATGCTCATGATTACATTATACTGTAAATTTACTAGAATATTACTGCATGGATCATTGATTTGTTCAGCAGAGAAATGGCATTGGATAAAATGCTTTCAGAGGACCAATCACATTTTACGTGAGTATCAGAACCATGCTTTCAAATTCTTTTCAAAGCTTTTGGCGTCATACATCACTTCTGTGCATTAAGCAAAACTATGTATCCAGTTTGTACCAATAGCAGGATAATGGCATAAAGGACTGCCTACTATAGAAATAAACTACTTTAAAATAAATGTACAGTACTGAATTACCTTCAAACTCTGAAACAAAAAAACAGAACTGGGAACACTCAGCATCTATGGAGAAAGGAAAGTGAGTCAACATTTCAGGTCCACGTTTAACTCTGGTCCACGTCCACTCCGTTTAGCTCTGACGAAAGTTCAATGTCTAAAACGTTGACTCATTTTACTTTCGCCATAGATGCTGCCTGTCTATCTTCAAATGCTGTTTTGATCACTGCTAGCTGGATTAAATAAGACACAAACTGAAAATACAACTTTGTTTATATTACTGAATCTTGTTTAGAAATATAAAGCAAGAATTCGTTCATTCACACTGTGTGAAATTTCTATGACACTATTGAAACTGGGAAGTGAGTTTCTCTCGATATCCTGATCAACAATCCTCCAAATTAACTGGCACGGGGTCGGATTATAGTATCTTGTGATGTAATAGCTGAGGCTTTGTCTATAAAAAGACGTGGGAATTGACAGTCATTACTTATGAAACGCTCTAGAACTCTACTTGACAATAAAAATCAAGGTCTTTCTTTCACAACAAAAAGTGTAAACTTTTCTGCTGATGGCTGTGACATCAAGAGATTCTGGTTTCTTCAACATAAAGATCAATATGTTGAGTGAGACATTTCTTAAACACTGGTTTAAATAAACTATGTCCTAAAGTGCTGATATGTTTGTGTGTATTTAAAGATTATGAATTATTTTAAATCAATTACTTAAACCTGTCTAATGAATACTGAAGTCAGAAACATACGTTATACCTTGATAAATTATATTTGCTGTCTTTAATTGGATATACTATACGGTATGTAAGAAGCAATTTTGACATGGTCAAGAAATCTCTAGTTTGAATTTCCCAGGTGAAGAAGTTGGCATTGAGGAATTAAAAGTAGGAGCTTTCATTTGGATGTTGCTGCTTGGAATAGTTCAAGAATTTTCACTTAGCAGTAAAAATACTATAAATATTGGGAAATGTCTCTAAAACTTGCAGGACTTAAATTTTTCTACATAGTGTTTCAATTAGTGTAGTTGTCTGGATTGAAGAGGGCAAATTCAGTAGGTCATAGAATCATACAGCACAGAAGGAGGCCATTCGGCCCATCATGTCTGTGTCGGCTCTTTTAAAAGAGTTATCCAAGTCAATCCCACTCCCCTGCTTTCTCCCATTAACTCTGCAAATGTGTCCTCCCCAAATAATTATCTAACAAATAAATTGCAAATACATGTATTTGTGTCATTATATTATGCATAATTGAATCTTTATATATTACACAACAACAACTTTAGATTTCACATCAGGAGGACATCCCAAGGAGCTGAAATACCAATACTACATACTATATGGTGTACAAAATCTAAACAACATTGTTTGTCCATATATTTGTTTTGATATTAATATATAAAACAACATTTAGGTTATTTGTTTATCCAGAACTTTGGCTCCAAGTAATTCGAGTCTGATGAGAAACGTCATTATAGGATATCAGTGAAGCCAATCAGCCCAATGCTCACTGGTTCCACTGACTCCCCATCCCCCAGAGATCGAGTTCATTCTTTCATTCTCACTTTCAAATTCTTCCCTTCCCCAAGTAACACGAGTTTGCTTCATGTTCCCCATCCTTCTGCCTCACCATAGTCAGGTGGGCTTTCAGCCTTCCCTGAAACTCCATCATTATGTCTCTCTGACGTCCCACCTCCTTTCAAGGGATATACTTTTTTCACTGCACTTCTGGTCATCGTTCCCCTCCCCAACCCCCTCAGGTTCCACCCCATCAGCTCCCCCCCAGCACTGTGAGCGCACGTTGCCAACGTGAAGGCGCTATACAAGAACAGGTATCATTTTTTTAAATAAGAAAACCAGAACACCTTACATTTTAAACCTTACAAAAGAATCAAATGATCAGCTTTGTAAAAAGGTGAATTCTGCTCCGGGACTTCCGAGGTTCCCGTAAAAAACTCAGTTCACGTATACAAGAAACACACCGCCCGTTTCTCCGCTTCCAAATAAGAATGAACACGGAGCTTCTCCAGGACCCGCGCCACCGCCGGGCCGGGCCGGGCCGCCCCCGGGCTACAGGTCAGTCAGGTCAGCAGGTAACTATGGAAACGCCCAGCTTCTGGCTTGGGAGCTGTATAGGCCGTGTTCTTCACAGGCCAAACCGAGATAACCAGCCACTTGTTGCCTTATATCCCACTTGTTCGTTGGTAACGTTATGAAAATGTTCCCGAGAAAAGCGGTCACAACAACAACCGCCGAGAGAAGCCCGGCCAATCTCGCGAGATCACAGCCAGACCAGCTCGGGTAGGCTGTTTGTATCAGGGCCAGAGCGTAGGAGGTCTCTGATTGGATGGTTTGTCGGAGCATTGACGGCCTCTGATTGGATGGCTTGTCGGAGCATTAACGGCCTGTGATTGGATGGTTTGTCGGAGCATTAACGGCCTGTGATTGGATGGTTCGTCGGAGCATTAACGGCCTCTGATTGGATGATTTGTCGGAGCATTATCGGCCTCTGATTCGATGGTTTGTCGGAGCATTAACGGCCTGTGATTGGCTGTGTTCGATCTCGGCGCCCTCGAAAGAGACCCGGCTCTGGGAGGGGGGAATGCGTTCGGGGGGGAAGCGCTCACTACCAATGACTTAAAAGCAAACAATCACAAAACGTTGTTCCTAAATATAATATTGTGATGGCAGTACAAAAATAATCAATATAAACTTAGTCCCGACTCTTCATTCCGGTATGATATTTAACTTAAGATGTTCTTATTTAGGCGGCGTTCCCCTACCCTGTTGCCCGATGGTAGGCTCCTCCACAAAGGCAACTGTCGCTGCTCGGCGCGCGGTCCCTCGCGCTGTTAGAGTAACAGTCATCGGGTTGTGGTTCGCACTGGTCTTCAGGGTCGAGCTCAGTAACTGTCAGTCGCTGACTCGCCTGTGAAATCACTACTGGCTGCTGTTAGTTAATTGGTGAGTATTGGAGCAGCGAGAACACAAGAGTCGGGTTGTTTGGCATTTCATCAGTTCCTGTCAGATCCTGATATCATAATCTCTGCTTCTGTCTCCACATCAGTCTGTATTTGAGCCCTCCTGTACCCGCCCCCTATACTCCTCATTGATTGTGCATTTATGGTCTTCTGGGCACATTCTCGCACCTCTTTGTGCAGTAGTACTGTACTTAATCCTGTCTTGTTAAACGATCGAAGATGGCTATTCAGCATGGAAGGCCTTATATATATATATATACACACAAGTTGTTGGTCCATTTGCAATAAGATTCAGCACCAATTCAATCTTTTTATAATATTTCCATTTGATGTAGCATCATATCATGTCTCATCATATCATGTCTCAAAGGATTTTAGAGGGTTTGCTGTAAAGCATTGTGTCTGTATTTTGTAGGTGAACCCAACAGCCAATCTGTGCTCAGTAATGTTCCATAAACAACCATTAAGTGAATGATCAATTTTATTGGCAGGATTCTTGGCCACGAGAAACTCTTCCCTTTTTAAAGAGTGTCGTGAAATCTTAAAACGCTCACCTGAACAGGTAGACAGGACCTCGATTTAACGTCACATCCAAGCTTTTTGATTGCTTTCTCCACCTACAAACTAATTTAGAATGTTTAGAAAAGGACTGTGGGATGGAGGGAAGAGAGGCTGAAAGCCCGACCACCGATGGTAGGGCGGGTCGGGCGGGAGACTTGGAGCAGACCGGAGCCCACTGAATGGAGGGAGTGGGCAGGTTGGTAGGGAGTCAGCAGGTCAGAGAGGTAGGAGGGGGCAAGGCCATGGATGGCCTTGAAAGTGAGGACGAGGATTTTGAACTCGATCCTCTGGGGGAATGGGGAGCCAGTGGAGTCGGTGAGGGTGATGGGGTCACGGAGCCTGAGAGTACACGAGCTGCAGAGTTTTGGATGATCTGCAGCTTGTGAAGGGAAGAGTTAGGAAGGCCAATGAGGAGGGAGTTTCCATAATCGAGCCTTGATGTGACAAATGCATGAATAAGTGTTTCGGCAGCCTGAGGGGTGAGATAGTGGCAGAGTCTGGCAATGTTGCGGAGGAGTGGGTGGGCAGTGCCGGTCATGGTGTGGATGTGGGGGAGAAAGGGCAGTTCAGGGTCAAACAAGACAACCAGGTTCCTGACTGACTTAGTGAGGTTGAGTGTGCAGCCGTGGATGCTGATGCTACCAGCGCCCGAGGTGCGGAGGCGCTGGCGCGAGCCAATCAGGAGGGCTAATTGTTGATTTCAGCTTTAGAGTTGTAAATATCATCTTGAATATACTGACATAACATGCATATTGTTTATTTTGCTCAACAAGGAAATAAAGCAGGAAAAATCAACAAAGAGTTTATAATCAGAGATGAGATGATCTTTCATCAGATTATGAGATGACTTCCATTTGCCATTTGCTCTCAGGTATACATTTACTTTTTGCTAAGGAAAATAATGAATACAACCCAACTAATTAAAACTTCAAAACTGTTCAAAGGTAATGAGTCAAAATTTACTTATTATATTGTCTGGACTTGGGTATAGCAAGTAGCATTTCCAAGTTTGCGGACAACACAAAGTTAGGTAGGGTGGTAAACAGTGAGAAGGATAGTAGCCAACTGCAGGAAGACATAGACAGAATGGTAAAATGGGCAGATACACGGCAGATGAATTTCAATGTGGAGAAATGCGAGGTAATGCATTTTGGAAGAAAGAATGAGGGGAGGCAATATAGGCTGGTAATACAATCTTAAGGAGGGGTAAAAGAACAGAGAGACCTGAGGGTGCAGGTAAATGAATCATTGAAGGTGGCAGGACAGGTAGATACTAATCCTTAATAATCCTTGCATTTGATATAGCACTTTTCACGTCGGGAGGACGTCCCAAAGCGCTTCACAGAACACACTGTAAAGTGAATTGACTGTATATTTGTGGGCGAATGCGGCAGCCAATTGCGCACAGCAATGTCCCACAAACAGTCGTAGATTGAAAATGACCAATTTATTAGGGGCATAGAGTACAAGAGTCAGGAGGTTATGATTAACTTATATAAAACGCTGGTTAGGCCTCAGTTAGAATACTGTGCCCAGTTCTGGGCACCACACTATAGGAAGGATGTTAAGGCATTGGAAAGGGTGCAGAAGAGATGTACAAGAATGGTACCAGGAATGTGGGACCTTGATTATGAGGAAAGGCTAGTGAGGCTGGGATTATTCTCATTGGAGCAGAGAAGGTTACGATGAGACCTAATAGAGGTCTTCAAAATCATGAGGGGATTTGATATATATAATATAATAATCCTTGCATTTGATGTAGCGCTTTTCAAGTCTTCTCGACGCCTTAAAGAGCTTCACAGAATAGACTGTAAAGTGAATTGACCGTATATTTGTGGGCGAAACGTGGCAGCCAATTGCGCACAGCAGTGTCCCACAAACAGTCGTGGATTGAAAATGACCAATTTATTATTGTTTTGTTTGGAGGGATTATTATTAGGCGTGTGGAGTAAGGAAACTTGCCCAAGGTTTCGCCCTGACCTGGAATTAAACCCAGGTGTCTCGCTTGCAACGCGAGTCTCTGACCACTGAGCTACTGGACTCCACACTCCTGATAGGTTAGAAAGGGAAAAACTGTTTCCACTGGTGGGTGTGTCGGTGACTCGAGACACAGATTTAAAATAGTCTCTAAAAGAAGCAGAGGGAAGGTGAGGAGAAATTTTTTCACGCAGCGAATTGTTCGAATCTGGAACGCATTGCCTGAAAGGGTGGTGAAGGCCGATTCGATTACAACTTTTAAAAACGCGGTGGATGGGTATTTGAGGATGACGGGTTTTCAGGGTTATGGGGAAAGGGCTGGGGAGTGGGATTGACATTACATTGCTTTTTTCAAAGAGCCGGCACAGACTCGATGGGCCGAATGGTCTCTTTTTGTGCTTTACAATTCTATGATTCTATGATTGTCGGTTCTGTGTAAGTAATTCTTTCAAATTGGGTTTAAGTAGGCTTCAGCCAAACACAATTGCCAATTCTACATTTGGTCTTGGGATACCTTGTATGTAACTATTTGCTATTTGTTTCTTATTTCAGGAGAGGATGAAGATTATTTTGTACAGGTATGAACTCTTTATGTATTCATAATAATTATTATATCCTCATCCACACCAAACTCTGCCCACCTATATCCTCATTCCTCACCAGGCAATAATGTTTCCCTGTCTACCAACAAATTGACTTCAAGATCTTGCCTCTAAGTCTCTTCACTTCATAGTGCTCCCAATATCGGTGATCTCCTGCTTCTCCACTTCTATGTTTGCCCTCTCCACTCAGCTAATTTTGACCAGTACCTCTGGAACTCCCTCCCGCTACACCTTGGGTTTGACTTTCTTTGTCTATCTTCAAATCCTGCCTTAAAACCTTTCTCTTTGTCTGTGCTTTGTCTCCCCCTGCTTTGTGTTCAACCCATTATTATGTCTAATTCATGGCCCTATATAAATACAGGAAATATCCCTTCCTCTCTTCCAAGCCCTCCACTATCTTTTTCCAACATTGGAAAAAGCTTCCACTTGAGCCCCTCACAAACTTCTCTTCTTTGGATCTCTTCTCCCTCTGGACTTCCACCAGCAGCGATCCTGATGCAGCCTTCAAACTGCTGAACGATTGCCTCTCTGCAACCCTCAACTCCCTTGCCCCCCTGAAGTCCATGTCTGTCTCCAAATCTACTCACTCCCCCTGTTATAACAGTCACCTCTGTTCCCGCAAAACAAAAACCTGGACGCTCAAGCGCAGATGGCACAAATCCGGCCTCACAATCCACCACCAGCTGTGGCTTGAGAATCTCTGCAATTATCGCCTCTCTCTCTCGAAGGCCAAAACTGCTTTTTACTCCTAAACCATTCTGGAGACTAAAAACACAGTTCTCCACCATCACTTCCTCCATCACTTCTTCCGCACAGCCTTGCAAACTGCCTCCATCCTCACTTCAAATGCCAAGTGCGAAGAGGTCCTAGACTTCTTTGTGTCAAATATTGAAAATGTCCTTTGTACTTTGCAACTGTCTTCACAAAAGAAGATGATGCCACAATGCCACAATATCGCAGGTGTGTGAACAGAAATTGGATATGATAAAAATTTACAGAGAGGAGGTACTAAAAAGGCTATCGGTGCTCAACATAGATAAGTCACCTGGTCCGGACGGGATGCATCCTAGTTTACTGAGGGAAGAAAGGGTGGAAATAGCGGAGGCTCTGGCCACAAACTCTTTGGACACTGGAGTGTTGCCAGAGGACTGGAAGGTTGCAAATACTACTACCCTGTACTAAAAGGGGCAGAAGGATAAACCTGAGAACTACAGGCCAATCAGCCTAACGTCAGTAGTAAGGAAACTTCTGGAGACTATAATCCGGGACAAAATAAATTCTCACTTAGAAAATTATGGTTTAATAAAGGACAGTCAACACGGATTTGTTAAAGGCAGATCGTGTCTGACAAACCTAATAGAATTTTTTGATGAAGTGACTGAAAGGGTGGATGAAGGTAGTGCAGTAGATGTAGTTTATCTAGATTTTCAAAAGGCATTTGACAAAGTGCCACATAAGAGACTTATAAACAAAATAGAAGCCCATGGGACTGTGGCAACATGGCAACATAAAGGGACTGTGGCAACATGGATCCAGAACTGGCTAGGAGACAGAAAGCAGAGAATGGTAGTAAACGGTTGCTTTTCTGACTGGAGAGGGTGTGTAGTGGTGTCCCTCAGGGGTCGGTATTGGGACCACTGCTCTTTTTGATATATATTAATCTGGACCTGGATATAGGGAGCACAATTTCCAAATTTGCAGACGATACTAAGCTAGAAAAAGTAGATAATGGTGAGGAGGAGAACACCAGACTCCCAAGAGGACTTAGACAGATTGATAAAATGGATAGAAACGTGGCAGATGAAGTTTAATGTGGAGAAATGCGAAGTGTTGCATTTGGTAGGAAGAATGAGGAGAGGCAGTATAAGCTGATGGTACAAACTTAAAGGGAGCAAATGAACAGAGTGACCTGGGGGTCCACATAAGCAAACCTCTGAAGGTGGCAGGACAGGTAGATAAAGCTGTTAAAAAAGTATACGGGATACTAGGTTTTATAAATAGGGGCATAGAATTCAAAAGTCAAGAGATTATATTGAATATTTATAAAATGCTGGTTAGGCCTCAGTTGGAGTACTGCGTTCAGTTCTGGGCACTGCACTTTAGGAAAGATGTTAGCGCATTGGGGAGGGTGCAAGGATGGTACTAAGAATGAAGGACCTTAGTTATGAGGAGAGGTTAGCGAAACTAGGATTATTCTCCCTAGAGCAGAGAAGATTAAGAGGGGTTTTAATAGAGGTTTTCAAGATCATGAGAGGATTTGATAGGTTGAACCGGGAAAAACTGCTTCCACTGGCATGTGGGTCAGTAACCCGAGGACACCGATTTAAGATAATTGTTAAAAGAAACAGAGTGGAGGCTGGAAACAATTTTTCCACAGCGAGTTGTTTGCTGAAAGGGTAGTGGAAGCCGATTCAATAACAACTTTTAAGAAAGAGGTAGATTGGTATTTGGGGAGGACAGGATTGCAGGGCTATGGAGAGAAAGCGGGCCAGTGGGATTAAGTTGGATTGCTCTTTTCGGACCCGCCGCAGACGCGATGGGCCGAAGGGCTTCTTTCTGTGCTGTATGATTGTATGATTCTATGATCCGCTTGACTGCATCCGCCTCCCCTATATCCCCTTCCTCGCCCTCCAGACCTTCTACACTACCTTCCTCTCAACCACCATCTTCCAGATGAAGTCCACCACCTGCTTCCTTGACCAATCATCCCACCTAGTTGCTGGTCATCCAACTGCCCCTTCTCTCCCCGTTGCTGGCTGACATAGTCAACCAGTCCCTCTCCTCAGGTACTTTTCCTCTCAAAAAAAACACTCTTGACCCCTCAAAAATTACCATCCCATCTCCAACCTGTCTTTCCTTGCCAAAGTTCTGGAATGCTAACTAGCTTTGCTCTCACCTCGCCCTCCAGTCCCTCCTCGAGCCCCTCCAAGCCACCCTGCCCATAACACAGAGATGATGCTCGTCAAAGTCACGAAGGACATCCTCTCTCTCTGTTTCCGGGGCTCCCTCCCTCCATGTCCTCCTGGACTTCTCTACTGTGTTTGACACAGTCACCCATGGCATCCACCACCTCTCCCCCCTCATCCACCTTAGTGGGACCACATTCGCCTGGTTCCAGTTCCTACCTACCAAACCGCCTTCACTTTATCTCTTTAAACGGTGTCTACTCCCGCCTCCGCCCAGTCACCTGTGGCATTCCTCAGGGCTCCATCCTTGGCCCCCTCCTCTTCCTCAACTGCATGCTCCCTCTGGTGATGTCATCGGCAAACACAAGGTAAACTTCCACATGTATGCAGATAGACACACAAATCTACTTCTGCTCCTCCAGCTGCGTCTCCAGTACCACCTGTCGACTCTGTCGACTTTTTTTAGCAGACATCAGGGCCTAGGTGAGAGCAAACTTCTTACGAATTTTGAAGTGGTGACAAGACGGATGCCATACTCCTTGGCTCCCGTCAATGTCTTCTATCCTGCGGCTTTGACCTTCTCAACCACCCCGGCCTATCCCTCAGACTCACCGAACTGGTGCACAACCTAGGCATCAGGTTCAACACACAGCGTCCTTCCTTCCCACATGTGGTCCCTGACCAGGACCACTTTCCTCCACCTATGCCACATTGCCCGCCTCCGACCGTACTTTACCCCAGACGCAGCAAAAATACATGTCCATGCATTTGTCACCTCCCGACTCGACTTTTCAAATACCCTCTTCGCCAGTCTCCCCAGCTCCACTATGCACAGGAGCCAGTTGATCCAAAACTCCGGCGCCCGCATACTCAAACACACTAAACTCCATACACCCATCACGCCAGTTCTAGCCAGGCTCTACTGACTCCTGAATGGATCGATATCAAGATCCTCACACTTGTTTTCAAATCCCTTCCTGCCCTTCCTCTCTGACCTGCTTACACCCCCAACTCACAACCCGCTGCCTCTGTTCAACTGGCTTCGGCCTTATGCCTATCCTATGCCGCGCTTTCAGCCACTCTGCCCTGAAGCTCTGTAACACTCTTCCCAAATGCCTCCGTTTATCCCCTTCCTTCCCCATCTTCAGGTCACGCCTGAAGATCTTCCTCTTCGACTGTGCATACAGGCAGCTCCCACTCCGCTCGGCTCAGCGTCATACTCTGCCACTATCAAGTGCTCTGGGATACTAGCCTGCGTGAAGGGCCCTTTGTAAATTCAAGTTGTCATTGTATAGAACTGTCGGAAGCATAATTTGAAGTGTATAAGCTGTTCATTTTCTATATGTAAAATTACCTCCCAAAATAGTTATTGAAGCATTATTTTTTAGGTTTAGTTGAGTTTTCGCAATGTTGACTTATTCATTTTAACTTTTACAGTGCAACATGAAGCAAACTGAATATTGCTATTGACAATCCAAAAATGCAATATTTATCTATTTCACTTGTGATTCTAGGTCATTGAAAATATGTATATACTGTAATGTGATATACTGTGGAGTCCTGTAGCTCAGTGGTTAGAGCACTCGCTTTGCAAGTGAGAGACCTGAGTTCAATTCCAGGCAGGGCGAAACCTTGGGCAAGTTTCCTTACTCCACACGCCTAATAATAATCCCTCCAAAACCAAAAACAATAATAAATTGGTCATTTTCAATCTATGTTTGTGGGACATTGCTGTGCGCAATTGGCTGCCGCGTTCGCCCACAAATATACAGTCAATTCACTTTACAGTGTGTTCTGTGAAGCGCTTTGGGACGTCCTCCCGACGTGAAAAGCGCTATATCAAATGCAAGGATTATTATTATTATTATTATAATGGAAAAGGAATCATCATGAGCTATTTCTTTCGGGACGTCCTCCTGACGTGAAAGGGGCTTTACAAATATAATTTTGATGTTAAATGGTGAAAGAATTGTAAACCACTCAAATTGTTAACTTGATGATTGTGCTACAGTATGGAATACTGTACCAGCCATCTGCTGCGCTGTAATAGGATCAGAGGATTTGAAACCTTAGGAGTTGAGCATTCTAAAATGACTCACTGCAGGTTACTTGACATAGTCTGCTGAATGGTCTTCTATTCTGTAAATTCCTGATTGGTGGGATTCCAGCTTTTTGAACTATTGTTTACTAAAAATCGTCAGTCGAAGTGTGAACCAGACGTCAAATGCTATAGGGTCAATTTCGGGATTAGAAAATTCACCCCATTTTAAAGTACAGTAAACCTTGCATACGTCTTTATAAATCATATAATCTCCTAAATTGTACATTCACCCTTGTCCCATTCAGTTTCCTATCAAAATCACTTAGATACCTTTGCACTATTAATTATCTCCTTACTCGTAACGCTGCTCTCCTATCCTCCATTACTCCCGCACTTACCAGCTGTCTTGAATCATGGGAAGTGATATCCTGACCAGTCGATGTATGCGCAAAAGAACTTCCTTTCTGTGATTCAATCCGATTCCAATGTTTGCAAGTGTGCATGCAACCACGGGTCAAGATGCATTGAATCGTGGGAAATGTAGTCTTGAGCTGTCACCGAATGTACACATACTGCTGCAGACAACCTACCCCGTGGGCATTTATAGGCTGCATTGACTTACGTATGTATAACGTAGATTATTGATGAAATTGGATTTTATACAATTTATACAGTTTGCTTGCAAGTCGGATTTCATGTAAGTCATATTAAATGTTATAGTCGTGACTTATGTGAGCTTTACTGTAATGTATATTACTTTAATATTGATTTAATATCTTGATTTAACGCATTTTGTTTAACAAAAATACTTTTAACAAGTTCCAATATTGACCAATTCAATATTGTCATATTATTTTCGAACAACTTTTCCAATTTGGGGAAAAAGCAATTTGGTTGATCAATCTCACTTCTTCCACATTGTCAGCCTTTCATAGATTTCTTTGTCTCCTTTGTTAATCCTTTAATTTCAAGTATTCTACACCTTTAAATTTTTTAAATGATCTGTAAGCCATTACACTTCCCACAGCCTTCAATTCCTTTTCTCAATAGATATTGATTTCCTTTTTTTTAAAGGTGTCAATTGACAGACAGTTAACTAACTGTTCTTTTTTCATTCTATTTTGATGTTTACTTGTGGACCATTATTCTGTTCCTTTGTAGCATGAACAAGTGGAATGGGAGATTCTAAATAAACTCCTTCAGCACCATGGATTCAACCCAATTCATCTTGCAGATCCACAAACCAAAGATTTAACAGGTAAATAAATCATGGAAAAAGACAGACAGTATTCCTAATCCTGATCAGAATCTATCGACTTGTGCAGAAAATGCTCACATGTGGAAGTAAAGTGGCTTTGTTATTGTCTTTTTTTAGATATTGATTTGTTCAAATGTTATCTAATGATACCTGAGGATATTTTCATACAAAACATAGAATTGCTTAAAACATCTAGTTTGAAAATGCTGAGTCAGAATCTGATTATACAGTATGAGAATTGTCATTTTCTGTCATTATCAGTAATCTTGTAGAAAGTTTTGAAGCTTGTGAACATTTACAAAGTTTGGAGCATACCAATAGTTTGCTGACATAACATAATAATCCTTGCATTTGATATAGCGCCTTATCACGTCTTCGAGATGTCTCAAAGCGCTTCACAGAATATACTGTAAAGTGAATGTTTTGTGGACCAGGTGACACGGAATTCGCACACGGAATATATATTCTAATTAGCAATAATTATACAATTTATTTCATTCAAAGTTGTAGTCTTCTTTCAAGATTTAGACAGCTATTTTAAATTATTCATGCTCCTGAGGTTTAACATCCAGTGAATCAACATGAATATTTCCTTATTTTGAAAGTTATGCTAACTATGGCTTTTTTTTAATGATTCTAGCTGTGGTTCTTCTGGGCAAACAATCAGGAATTGAAATCAGACATGTGGTGGCAACTCTAATAAAAGACACTGAACGACGTCAGGCATTGATCCGGGATCTTATCCAGTCCAACAATGAATTGAAGTAAATCAACTATCTGACCATTTGTTTCATTATACACATGAATGAGCCATTTATTTTGAGCTGAAGGTGAGAGTGTTGGTGCTGAGAAAAGAAATGCTTCCCCACTTAGAGGCATTAACATCAAGCACTCTCAGGTCAGGTACAATTAGAAGAAGGCTTCCTTCTAATCTGCTTCAGTCCTCAAACTCTAAAGAACATCTCTGATGATGAGAATCTAGTATTTTCCAGTTCTCATATCAGGTATGCTGATCTGTCGATAGCAATAAGGAGCAGGAATCCTGGCTGATTTTCTTTCTTTCCTCTTTGTAAACTAGGAATGCTGAGGTAGCTATCGTAGCACATCACAAATTGGATGTGCCCAAATTCGATAGATGGAAAATGGAGGGGCACATTAACCAAAAAAAAGTTAGATTAAGAAAAAAAAGCATTCATTTTACCACAAGGCAACAAAATACAATCTTACCTGTTGTATCTTAGTGTATATTGTAAGTCAAGAACTATGTTTCTTACTGTTTCAGGAATGATTTGCGTCAGCAGCAAAGTAAAGCCTCTCGGTATGAACAGCGAGCATCAGACCTGGAACATATCGTTGAAGATGTTAAGGGCAAGATTCAGGATTTGGAGAGTGACTTCTTAGCCAAGGATTCACAGCAGAAAAATCTAATTGAACAGCTAGAGCGAGAAAAACAAGACAGCCAGGTAAGTAAAATTGATGCAAACAGCTTACTTATATATTCAGTTTCGTTATTAAAGTCATAAATGTTTCTGCTGAAGAACATGGATAATTCATTTGGGTCTCATAATAAGCAAGTCTTCCAACCTTTATTTTCATGATTAGTTTAGGAAACAGAATTCTCAAGACAGTTTCTCATTACAATGAGGAAACTACTATATCCACCTTAGCAGGGCAACATTTATAAACTGGATCTACACACTGTTTAAATGTATTTTAACAATGGCACCCTAAATTGAACTAGAAGTTACAGTCATATTTTTGTTTTTATGGGGGATTTATATTTGTACCATGTTATTGACTTAACACCCTCTGAAATGGTCCAGCAAGCCATTCAGTCAGGGCAACCAGGGATGGGCAAGACATGCTGCCCTGCCAGTTTTCCCCACAACCTGAGATAAGAAAAGAAAAATGTGCTTTGTTGTGAATTGCTGCACATTCCTTGTACCCACTTAATTAAAGGTAACTCAGCAATTAATAGATTTTTTTTGATAATTTTTATCTAAAACTTATATTTTGAATAGGTGAGGAAAAAGAAAACAAGATTGGTCACATACTGTATTTGGCTGACTCAATATTTTGCGTCTGATTAATTTGCTACATCCTCTCCAAAAAGTATATAAATGTTGAAGAAGCTCATCTTGTAATCTTAGGTTCATCACCAACAATTGAAACAAAAGTTGCATGAACAAGAAGAAACTATTTTGCGATTGCAGAAAAAGTTGTACATGGTAGTGACAGAGGAAGAGCAACGCATTGAAAGACGGAACAAAATATTTCACAAGTTTCATAAGCGAGTTCCCAAAACACATTCTGCATTTGATCAACAGTAAGCAAAACAGTTTGTCTGAACAACAACAACAAATTACATTTGTAAAGCACCTTTCATGTTGGGAGGATGTCCCAAGACGTTGGACAGTCAGGAATTTGGACCCGAGCAAGGAGTTGAGATTAGGCAGGGTGGAGGGCAGGGAGGGTAGGGTTAGGAGGGTGACTGGAGGCGCAGTCGAAGAGGAGGATCTTGAGATATGCCTTGAAGGAGCCGAGGGAGCAAGGTGAAGGGAGTTCCAAAGAGTGGGGGCAGTGAGACCGCTGAATGTAGGAAGGAGCAAGGCCGTGGAGGACTTTGTAGGAGAGGCGAGAATATTGAGCTCTATCCTCTGGGGGATGGGGAGCTAGCGGAGACGGGCGAGGGTGTTGATGATAGGGTCGTGGAGCCGGGTGTGGGAGATGACACAAACTTCAGAGTTTTGGACGATCTGCAGCTTGTTGAGGGAAGAGTTGGGAAGGCCGACAAGCAGAGAGTTGACGTAGTCGAGCCTAGATGTAACAAATGCATGGATGAGGATCTCAGTGGCCTGAGGGGAGAGGCAGTGGCGGAGCCGAGCGATGTTGCAGAGGTGGGGGAAGGCAGAACCGATCATGGCATGGATGTGGGGCTGGAAGGACAGTTGAGGGTTAAACAAGACGGCAAGGTTCCAGACTGGCTCAGTGAGGCATAGAGTGCATCGATGGATGGTGATGCTGTCAGCGCCCGAAAGTTAGCTCTCATCCAGGACTTAATGTCTGACACATATTCCATCAGGACAACAGTAGACTAGATCTGTAGAGTAATTAGTGTATAGTATGTTGAACTACTGATATGATCTGAAAGCATTAGAAAGTAATAAACCATTCTAATTTCTGCAGGTTACTTGACGAAACGCAGAATCATCGCACCCAACAGGATTGGAGGTTAACTCAGGGAATCTTACATAGCTTTAAATTTTATGTTTTTATTCACATGTAAATAAATGCTTTGCTTATGCTCTTGAAAATGATTTGAAGAATAATTATGCACAGTAGAGATGGCATTACACAAAATAAGGTTGCTGTGAAGAATTTAAAGATTGATGTCTGTGAAGCATAAGGATAATCACTTCCTTAATTAAAATTTAGTTAAATTCATAAGATACAGTAAATGTGTCATAAAAGTAGCAAACATAATTTTTACATGTTGTCAATTTTCTGTAACCTCCAACCCAGAATATGAAATTGAAATGTTTTCCAAATTTGTGGTGGGGGGTGGGGGGGATTTTCTCAATGGAATTCAATTTGAGGCAAAGTCTGTTACCCGGAGAGCAGTATGATAACATCACCTGATGTATTGTTTGACTGCTATCAAACTGTACATGGTCATACTTTATACTAATGTTGTTCCTCTCTTGATCATTTTGTTTTAAATCAATTAAACTACAAAATGAATAAACATAAAGTTAAACAAGTATTTGTAACAAAGGATAATACTGTCTCATGCAATACCCTTGGGAATTGAATTGATAACTGTTTGGCAGGAAAGATGAGGTTGATGAAACTGTTAGAAAAAGAAGAGAACACTCAAGAAACAAAGGCAAGAACAAGTATTCAGTTCCAGATACAATTTCCAATCGCAAGACATTGGTGAAGGTATGATATTTTGTGCAATTAAATTTGCGAGATTTCTCAATATATGTTTACTATTTTTTTTTCCACACTCCAAAGTTGTATTACCTTTATAACTCTTTATAATGCTATTTCAAAATTATTTTAAATTCTCTATCTCCTTGTTTTTCCCAATTTGGAACATTTGTGCTATGGTTATGTCATCTACTTTTCAACAACAACAACAACAAGATTTCATATAGAGCGTCTTTCACGTCGGGAGGACATCCCAAGGCGCTGGACAGTTGGGTCAGGACCCGAGCAGGGGTGAAATGGTCAGGGTGAGGCGAGGGAAGGGAGGGAGCGAGGAGGGGGTAGAGAGTCGAGAGGGGAGCTGAAGGCTCGGTCGAAGAGAGGCCTTGAAGGAGGAAAGGGAGGAAGCGGCGAAGGCACTGGGGGATGGAGTTCCAGAGCCTAGGGGCTGAGAGGCTGAAGGCCCGGCCACCGATGGTAGGGCGGTTGGGGCGGGGGATGTGGAGCAGACCGGAGTCAGAGGAATGGAGGGTACGGGCAGGTACATAGGGGGATAGTAGGTCGGAGTGGTAGGAGGGAGCAAGGCCGTGAATGGCCTTGTAGGTGAGGATGAGGATCTTGAATTCGATCCTGTGGGGGATGGGGAGCCAGTGGAGGCGAGCGAGGGTGGGAGTGATGTGGTCGCGAAGCCTGGTGCGGGACAGTACACGAGCTGCAGAGTTCTGAATGACCTGCAGCTTGTGGAGGGAGGTGCCGGGAAGGCCGACGAGGAGAGAGTTCCCATAGTCCAGCCTTGAGGTGATAAAGGCGTGGACCAGAGTTTCAGCAGGGAGTGCCGTAGTCTGGCGATGTTTCGGAGGTGATGGAAGGCGGTGCCAGTTGTGGTGCGGATATGAGGAAGAAAGGACAGCTCAGGGTCGAACAGAACACCGATTTCCTGACTGGCTTTGAGAGGTGGAGAGTGCAGCCTTGGATGCTGATGCTGTCAGCGCCTGAGGTGCGGAGGCGCTGATGTGAGCCAATCAGGAGGGCCTCAGTTTTGCGCACGTTGAGCTGAAGAAAGTTGTCTCTCGTCCAGGACTCGATGTCAGACAGGCAGCTGTCAGGACATCGGTGGTTGTGGAGTTGAGGGTAGAGGAGGAAAGGTAGAGTTGGGTGTCATCGGCATACATGTGGAAGTTAACCCCATGTCTGTGGATGATGTCACCAAGGGGGAGCATGTAGAGGGTGAAGAGGAGGGGACCGAGGACAGAGCCCTGAGGGACACCACACCTGCGGGGGCCGGAGGAAAAACCGTGTGTGGAAACAAAATGAAGACGGTGGGAGAGGTACGACCTAAACCACTCAAGGACAGGGCCTTGAAGGTTGAGGTGGGAGGACAAACAGTGGAGGAGGATAGTGTGGTCGACCGTATCGAATGCTGCCGATAGGTCGAGGAGGCAGAGGGAGCCCTGGTCGCAAATGGTCAAGATGTCATTGGTGACCTTGACCAGGGCGGTTTCTGTACTATGGACAGCACGGAAACCCGACTGAAGGGGTTTGAATAATGCATGGGTGAAGAGGAAAGAGCGCAGCTGGGAGGCGCCCACTCTTTCAACGACCTTGGACAGGAAGGGGAGGTTGGAGATGCGCCGGTAGCTTGATAGCTGCGACGCATCAAGGGAGGGTTTTTTCAAAATGGGAGTGATGGTGGCAGTTTTTAGAGGAATGGGAACAGAGCCAGAGGAGAGGGACAGGTTGATGATGTCTGTGATAAGTGGGGCAAGGAGGTGGAGCTGAGAGATAAGGAGTGGAGTGGGGATGGGGTCAAGGGAGCAGGTGGTGGGTTTCAGGGACATGATGAGTTTGGTGACAGAGGGTGGGGAAATGGGTTTGAAGGTGTGTAGGGGAGGATGGGTAGGAGTCGGAGTGTGGGAGGGAAGGGGTGGGGGGTGGGTGGAATTTGGAGGGGGAGTGACCGCGGAGCGGATTCCCTTGATTTTGGATTCAAGGAAATCCAGCATCTCCTCGCAGTGAAGGTTGGAGGAGATGACCTGCGCGGGGTGGCGGGGGGACAGAGGAGTCAGGATGTGGTAGAAAACAGAAGCCTGGGTTGTTCTTCGCCTCCAGGATTATCCTGGAGTAGAAGGACGACTTGGCCGAGGCGAGAGTTTGAGGAGGTGCAGCCAGATTTGTCCGTGGACCGTTAGGCCAGATTTGAGGCAGGTGCGTTCAGCGGCCTGCACCTGGCTCTTCAGTGAGCGGAGGTGGGTGGTGAACCAGGGGGAGGAGCGAGAGTAGGAGACAGTACGGGAGGTGATGGGGGCAAGAGTGTCGAGTGTGGAGGAGAGGGTGTTGTGGAGGAGGGTGAGAGCAGAAGAGGGGTCAGTGAGGGATGAAGGCCAGAGGGAGAGGACTCCAAGGCAGCGGTTAGGGATTGTGGGGGTAACTTCTTCCAGGGGTGGTAGAAGATGGTGGTGGAGGTGGGGAGGGGGGTGGAGGTGGTGAAGGAGATGAAGTGGTGATCGGAGACGGCCTTGTCGGTAATGGTGATCCGAGACACTGAGGCCCCGGGTGATCACCAAATCGAGTGGGTGGCCGTGACTGTGAGTGGCGGAGTTGATGTAGAGGGAGAGGTTGAGCGAGGAGAGCAGAGAGAAGTTCGAGGAGATGGAGTAGGAGGGGGTGAAGTGCAGGTTGAAGTCGCCCAGGATGATGAGGCGATCAGAGCAGAGGCAGAGAGATGTTAGTAGGGTAGAAATATCGGAGATGAAGGTGGGGGAGGTTTTAAGGGGCCGGTTAGAGGAGGAGGATTTTGAGTGAGAGAAAGGAGGGGTGGGAGCTCAAAAGAGGGGAAAGAGCCAGAGGAGTAGGGGGATAGGCAAGTGGTGTCCTTGAGATAAGGGCTGCACCACCGCCACGGCAGTTGGGGCGAGGGATGTGGTAGGAGGTGTAGCCGGGTGGCGTGGCCTCCATGAGGGGGAAGGTGTCGCTTGGGGTGAGCCAGGTTTCCATTAAGGCCATGATGTCAACTCTCTCATCAAGGGCCTTGTTACAGAGGGAGCGGACGTTTTGGACTCTGATGTGGAGGGAGCGGTTGACAGAAGGGTGTGTGGGGAGGGAGGGGGGTCCAGGTTGTGAGGCAGGGGTGGGGATAATGGGAATGGGGATAATAATAATAATAATAATAATAATCCTTGCATTTGATATAGCGCTTTTCACGTCGGGAGGACGTCCCAAAGCGCTTCACAGAACACACTGTAAAGTGAATTGACTGTATATTTGTGGGCGAACGCGGCAGCCAATTGCGCACAGCAATGTCCCACAAACAGTCGTAGATTGAAAATGACCAATTTAATTATTGTTTTTGGTTTTGGAGGGATTATTATTAGGCTCTGTGTGGAGTAAGGAAACTTGCCCAAGGTTTCGCCCTCTGCCTGGAATTGAACTCAGGTCTCTCGCTTGCAAAGCGAGTGCTCTAACCACTGAGCTACAGGACTCCACACATAAGGGAGGAGAAGTTGGCTCCCCGGGTCTGTGTCTGGGGTGGCTGGCGAGTGTGGTGGGGAATGGGGCAGTCGGTGTGGCTGCTGCTGGACAGCCAACGCCGAGTGCCACGGTGAGCCCGGTGGCAGATTCCCAGGCTGGAACAGAGGGAGAGTGTGGGAGGGTCAAGTGGGGATAGAAGGCGAGGGGGATGGAGAGAGAGGAGGACAGAGCGGGAGAGATGCAGAGGGGGAAGGGTTTGGGGGGAGAGAGGAGGGGGGAGGGAGTAGGGGGTGAGGGGCTCGGGTCAGAGCGGCAGCCATAATGCGCATGCAGGGACCGGGAGTGAGGGGAAAGAGGGGTGCATTTTCATGCACAAATTTAAGGAATATATTGCAAGATGACTCGCAAAAGCTATTTATGAATGTTCTTATAAGTGCTGCAAAAGTGAGTAATGGAGCTGATACTGGGATTTGGGAAATTAATATAGGAGGTGGGCCTGCTGAAAGGCTTACTTTGGTTTTTTTTCAGGTATATGAAGACTATTTACAAGAATCGAGAGCTAAGAATGAGAAGATTTTTCAGAAACAATGGAATTATAAGTAAGTTCTGGAAATGAGATGGGAACGATAAAATGTTCAATATTTCCACAGCTGTACCTTCATCTGTATTCAGGGTGCAACAATTAATAATAATAATAATCCTTGCATTTGATATAGCGCCTTATCATGTCTTCAAGATGTCTCAAAGTGCTTCACAGAATATACTTTAAACAAAGATTTGCTCTAATTTAGCTTAAAATGTTCTGTTTCACTCCTTGAATGATTTGGTTGGTAAATGTACTATATAGATCAGAAATGTTCCCGATCAATTGATGCAAATCTGGACAGAAGTAATGATAAATAATTTCTTCAACCTTGAATTCCCACTGTTTTACATTAATTTTCTACATGTGCAGTTTTTTAAATACATATCCAACAACAAATTACACTTGTATAGTGCCCTTCATGTCAGAAAGACATTCCAGGGCACCAAACAATCAGGGGTTTTGATCCTGAGCTGGGAGTTAGGGTCAGGAGGGATGGAGGGCAAGGAGGTTTGGGGTTGGAGGTTGGCCGAAGGCACGGTTGAAGAGGAAGGTCTTTAGAGGTGCTGATGGGAGCCGAGCAGGAGGGCCTCTGCCTTGCCAACATTGAGCTGGAGGAAGTTGGCTGTCATTCAGGACTTGATGTCTAATGAACAATTAGCCAGGATAGCAGTGATTACCTTTGTGCCTTCCATATGTTTTAGTTAAACAAATTCATTTTCTTTTGTTGTTTGTGATAATTTGACCCTAGGTTTTTAGGTAATGGTGATGGAAAAGATGAAAAGGAAGGAAAATGGGATAGTATGAAAATTGAAGACATAGATTACATGCAGGGAAGTGATTGCAAACGGTTCCTGAAGGTATCGCTACATATTTATTCTTGTGAAAATCTGCAAGGACACATGCTTTCACTTAACAGAGTATTGCAGTAGGCTTATTATATGAGAATATTATCTTAATTTCTTTATTCTGTACAGTTCAGACAATGAGTGCCGTTTTAAAAGATTCTAAGTATGAGCAGTTTTTTTTTAGTGAAATGAAAAGTTAAAAAGCTATTTAAAATAATTGCTACAAATAGTCACGCGAGACATGCAAGATATGGCTTTAATTGACAAAATAGTTGGCTACTGGAATGTTTATATCATCCCTTTTTCTAATGTCTGATAGCTTTTGCAAAGAATAATATTATTACTTAATCTTGTGAGTACTAAAGATGGTTATAGAGAAAGGACTGGGTACCATGATGGAATAGAGTGGTATTCTTTCAGCACTAGAGCTTTGAATCCAGCTCAGACTAAGAAGACCAAGATCTGCTAATCGAAAGCTATCTTGTGAAATGCTTTTATGCTTGACTGAATGCAGTTCTTAGTAATTATTTGTTACTGTACTAAACTGCTCAGAACATTCATTACATATTTAAATCTCATTGAATTTCATTCTTGAGAAGCTATAAGGACAGTAAGTGTGCGAAATGGAAACATTTATAATGGTATGGAAATACAATCGCAATTTTCAAGTGAATAATGCTTTTTTTCACGTGTCAGACAAGTAGTGAACCTTTAGCAGGAGTGTCATGTTTTGTGAACCTATTTGTTTTTTTTCCCACACTTTTTCTAGAATCTTTGCAAAGAGATACAAATCCAGGATGTAAATAATCTTATACCAGCTGTCCGTGAAAGATCGAAATTAGCAGCAGCATGTCCCAAACTGCAGAAGGTAAACAAACAACTATTTTAAAGAACCCTCTTCAATTTTGTGTTCTAATTTTCTTTCCTTCTTCTCCCAAATGACGTAATGCACAAAAGTAAACCTCACAGTGAATGAATAAATAAATATTCCTTCATAAAAATAAATAAAAATACAATGACTAAGAATTATAGTACAAACAATTGCAAGCGAGAGGACCTGGGTTCAATTCCCAGCAGGGTGAAATATTAGGCAAGTTTCTTTACTCCGCACATGTCTGTTTACCTAGCAGTAAGTAGGAACCTGGTTGTTAGTTGATTGGCGGAAGGCTTTTCCAGGTTTAATCCTTAAAAAAAATGAAAGTGGGACACTGCTGTGTGCAATTGGCTGCCATGTTTTGCCCACAAAATATAGTCAATTCACTTTACAGTAGATTGTGTAAAGTGCTTTGAGGCATCTCGAAGATGTGATAAGGCACAAGGATTATTAATATTATAACTTACATTTATATAGTGAGCTTTTAATAGGTTTAATTTTTGTGTTTATTAGAAACACAAAAAGAAAAGCTTCCAGTGTCAACAAATAACCATGTGTTGGACTTCATTGTGTATGATTCTTTAAAAAATTCACAGGAGTGGAAAATTAGTTATTGTTTTTCTGTGCTATTTTAAAAACAATATTACAAATGGTTTTATTATAACTTTTCTCTTCAGATTCTGAATGATATTAATTCAGTTGTAAGCAATGGAACCAAAAGTCAGAAGTTGTTCTTGCAGTCTCATGCAGAACTTGGTGTAGGAAATATATTGATGTATGAAAATCTTGTCTCTACGGTAGAGAAATGGGCTGAACAGTTAATGGCACTGAAGGTATGGTGATTTTTCTGTTGTATGTAATGTAAGGCAAAACTAGTGATTATAGTTTTATGTTTTTAGGAATATCTATTGTATTCAAGTATAGAAGTTGTATGAAAAGATAAGGTATTATTTGGGATGGAATGAGGTGGGAAATGGCAGATATATCCTGTTTCGTATCTATTATCTACTTTTTTATGTATTCAGAGATGCTATTTAGTCATCCTATGGACGCTTTCATTAACTGGGTTTACCAGTCTGACTGTCTGTATTCAGCGTTCATCCTACAAAGCAGTTTTAAACACTTTATATGAGCTTCATTCACGCATAAGAAGGAAGTGTGCATGTGTGGAACACACACACACATTAAAACTGCTTATTTGGAAGTGGAGACTGTCATTAATTTGGTTATTGCAGCTTCTATATTGGTGGCAGCTCTATATCAGATGTTTTTGGAATAGATAAATCTATCACAGGGGGATTTTGTAATTCCATAGGGATTCATGTTTTTCCAAAACAGACTTAAATATTTTCAAATGAAGTGGGAATATTAAACCACATCTTACAAGGTTTGAATAAATTGTTACCAGTGGAACCCAATTATTTTTTTTCATAGAACTATAGGCTAGAAATTTACAGTGGAGCAGGCGGCAATTCAGCCAGCTCTTTGAAAGAGCGATCCAATCCCCATCTTACCCACACACCTCAATGTTCGGTACATTCCCTTTTTTGTGTTTTGACATCATCAACCTCTCCTTGTCCACTGGCACTGCTCCCCCTTAAAAACAGCTATCACCACCTCCATCGTCAAACAGCCTTCCCTGGACTCATCCCAGCTCTCGAGCTCCTGCCCCATCTCCAACCTCCCTTTCCTTTTCAGGGTCCTGGAATGAGTCATTGCTTCCCAGTTTGCTTCTGCCACTCCATCTACGAATCTCTCCAATCCTATTTCCGCGCTGCCCACAGCACAGAACCAGCCTTGGTCAAAGTAACAAATGATATCTTGTCCATCTATGACCAGGGCTCCCTCTGTCTCCTCCTCCTCCTTGACCTCTCTGCCACCTTCGACACTTTCAACCATTCAATCCTCCTTCGCCTCCTCTCTTCTCAGCTCAATCTCCACAGTTCTGGCCTTGCTGGTTCAAATCTTAACTTTTGCACCGTCTCCACTTTGTCTCCACGAACAGCTTCTCCTCCAGCCCCCACACTATCTCATGCCTCTTGGGGCTCTGTCCTTGGTCCCCTCCTCTTCAATATCTACAAACTCCCTCTTGGTGATATCATCCGTAGACATGGGGTCAACTACCAATGAATGCGGATGAGATCCAACTCTATCTCTCTGCCTGCACCCTCGACTCCAGGACCACTGCTGTCCTGACAGAATGTCTGTCATACAGCAAGTCCTTGATGAGAGCTAACTTTCTTCAGTTGAATATGGACAAGACCGAGGCTCTCCTGATTGGCTCCTGTCAGAGTCTCCACACCTCAGGCACTGACAGCATCACTATCCAGAGATGCACACTCCACCTCATCGAGCCAGTCCGGAATCTTGGCGTCTTGTTTGACCCTCAACTGTCCTTTCTACCCCATGTCGTGCCATGACCCACTTTGCCTTCCCCCACCTCTGCAATATCACCTGTCTCCGGCACTGCCCTCTTCCCTCAGGCTGCCGAAATCCTCATTGAAGCATTCATCACATTCAGGCCCGACCATACTATCTCCCTGCTTCTACCTTTGTGGCCTGCTAACTCCTTATCGACTTGTCCGCTCAGGGGCTCTGGCCTGCTCCACATCCCCTGCCTAGGCCGCTCCACCTCTCTGCTGCCATCCTTTGGGACACCATACCACAGCCTCTTTGCTTTGTTGCCTCCCTTGCTTCCTTCAAGGCTTGTCTCAAGGTCTTCCTCTTCGACGGCGCCTTCGGTCACCCTCCTAACCTTACCCTCCACCACTCCCGATCATGATTCATAGATTCATAGAATGTTACGGCACAGAAGGAGGCCATTCGACCCATCGAGTCTGTGCCGGCTCTTTGACAGAGCAAGTCACTTTCACTAACCCCAATCACCAGCTTTCTCCCCATAACCCTGCAAACCCGTCTTCCCCAGATACCTATCCAGTTCTCTCTTAAAAGCTGTTATTGAATCGGACTTCACTATCCTTTCAGGCAGATCATTCCAAATTCGAACAACTCGCTGAGTGAAAACATTTCTTCTAACCTCCCCTCTGCTTCTTTTGGTTAGTTGGGCACGTTTTCACACGCCTCTGTTTACCTAGTAGTAAGTAGGAACCCGGTTGTTAGTTGATTGGCGATCGCTTTTCCGGGGGTAATTATTCCTACAAAAAAGAATAATAAATTGGTCACTTCAATCTATGACTGTTTGTAGGACACTGCCATGTGCAATTGGCAGCCGCTTTTCGCCCAATATATATAGTCAATATACAGTCAATTCACTTTATAGTATATTCTGTGAAACACTTTGAGACGTCTCGAAGACGTGATAAGGTGCTACATCAAATGCAAGGATTATTATTATAATACAAATGTAATTTGTTGTTGTTGTCGTCAGCAAATTTAGAAATTGTACACCAGAATCCAGATCACTTATATAAATGTGTTTTTGTTTTTACAATTCTACTCATTAGTTCCAACTCGTTTCCAGGACTTGCACAGATCTTTGAAGAAGTTATCAAAGTTGGGACCCTGGAAACTTGTGGATTTATCTGACCCAAGTCATGAAATCTGTGTTCAAGACTTACAGTTGATAGTAGACGAAATATTGAACAATCTCATGAATAAAAAGAACATGACTGGATTACAAGTATGTCTAGTATTAAAAATCTAGAAAACACAATCCAATCTTAGTGTGGATTTTAGTGATTTGTTGGCTTACCATAAGATTAATACATCAAATCTGGATTTTATTGCTGTTACCACTTCAGTGTCTCCAGAGTGATATGTGCATCATTCAGATGTATTGCCATTGTATAATATTCACACTGTGGAAATATATTAACATGCACTGGGACTAAGCAGATACAAACCACCCTATTATGTTTTATCATTCCAGGAAAGTAAACAGCCACTGGAAGCTATTGTATCTCATTTCCAGAAATTGTTTGATGTCACTTCTCTTAGTGGCGTTTATCCACGGATGAATGAGGTGTACAGCAAACTTGGTGAAATTAGCAATGTTATGAGAAGTCTTAAACAACTTTTAGGGCTAGGTAAGGAACTACAGGCTCTAGCACCTCCCTATTTTTGTGATCTGCTTTTGCCCCTCTACTCCGCGTTTCCCCTCCACTTGGCTAACTTGAGTCTGCTGTGGATCCCCAATCCTCCTCGCCACTAAATTGATAATTCGTTTCATAGCTGTTTGTGAGATAATATTGTTGCACGCAATTAGGCTCCCGCCTTCATCTACAAATAAACAGGCACTCCAGTTTACACTATATCCTATGAAGCTGCTTTGGAATGTCCTCCTGAAATGAAAGGTGCTACACCGAATGCAAAGATTATTATCATCTTTAAATATCTTTTCTTTCTAAAGAAGAGATTCAGATGTTCTCAGTGTTTTCAATTTTAGTTGTTTCAGTTACAATGTTTTTAAATATTTTTCTTTCAAAGATAAATTTTTGACTGAATTGTTGGACTTCCCTTTTTAGATGACTCCATCTCTCCCCATGTATTGGTGAATAAGATTGAGAAATTGTGCAGCTCTATCAATGAAGATGCCTGCAGACAGGTGCAGCATCTTCTGGGAACACAGGACATCGACAGGTAGCTGACAGTCACCCTCAATAGATTAGACCAAAACAGTATACATCAACATAATCTGAATTTACAGCATGTTACACAGGAGAGCCAATAATTATACAGCTCAAAATGCAAAAATACTGTAGATGCTGGAAATCTGCAACAAAAAGAGAAGTCGCTGGGAACACTCAGCAGGTCAGGCAGCATCTATTCTCCATAGATGCTGCCTGCCATTATACAACTCATGTAGATTTAGACCTGCACAAATCATTGAAAACTTGGAGTGAAAGAGTGTGCAGCAATATTGTGAATAAATAGTAAAATTACTACCCAAATACTGTATGAAATATATTAGCAGTAAAATATTTACTTTCATAACAATATTATTCTTCCCAATAAATATTCACCCTTATTCTTTCATGTAATGAAAATGGAAGAAATAAAAATTAATTAAAAGGTTTTTATTTTAACTTAAAATAGATTATTTATTTTCTACATAAATTCTTCTGGGTTAATGGAGTGGATCTGGAACCAGGTGGAATTTTAACCCAGTTGTGCTTTGGGGGAGCCAAAGTGGTATACTTGCTGCAAATAATTGTTGTTGGCTTAATATATCCTGATACAATAGTGTTATCAACCTTATAGCTCCCTTATCACCACCACCTCCACAATATTGCCAGACTCCGCCTCTGCCTCACCCCTCAGGCTGCCGAAACCCTCATCCACGCATTTGTCACCTCAAGGCTTGATTATGGAAACTCCCTCATCTGCCTTCCAAATTCTTCCCTTCACAAGCTGCAGATCATCCAAAACTCTGCAGCTCGTGTTCTCTCACGCACCAGGCTCCGTGACCCCATCACTCCCACCCTCGCCCAACTCCACTGGCTCTCCATCCCCCAGAGGATCGAGTTCAAGATTCTCGTCGTCATTTTCAAGGCATTCATGGCCTTGCCCCCTCCTAGCTCTCTGACCTGCTGACTCCCTACCAACTTGCCCACTCCCTCCGTTCATCGGACTCTGGTCTGCTCCATATCTCCCGCCTGACCCGCCCTACCATCGGTGGCCGGGATTTCAGCCTCTCTGCCCCCACACTCTGGAACTCCATCCCACAGTCCCTTTGCCTCACTTCCTCCTTTGCCTCCTTCAAGGCCGGTCTCAAGACCTTTCTCTTCGACCGTGCCTTCAGTCACCCTCCCACCTCTCTGCCTTACCTCAACCTTATCCCACCCCTCCCCCATGCTTGGGTCCTGACCCCTAACTGTCCAGCACCTTGGGACGTCTCTCTGTAGGTAGGTGTTTGATCCACTATAGTTGACCAATTGTTTCTCTGAATTTCCAAAATGTTTAACAAGCTAAATAATGTATTGAAAATAACAAAGAGTACAATAGATGTTCACACACAGGACATAGATCATTGGAGTATATTACGGCTAAAGTAAATAAACTTACTTGCTTTTAACAGGCATCTGTTCTTGGAGAAGTAATCTTAAGAAACATTTAGTATTACTGTGTCCTGTTCAGTAAAAAAATTCTAATGTTTCATTTCCTCAACTTCCAGCATAATCAACAAGTTGAAAGAACATGAAGAGTTTTTCCCTGCATTTTATGCTCTCATGCAGGAACTGCTCCAGATATTGGGTAAAAAGAGTCTCCTGAATTTAATTTACTTTTACACCAGCATTTCTGAATAGGAATTACATAAATTAATTAGCTAACAGTAATACAATATACATTTTAATTTTACACCTAGCTTTGCTGTTGCTCTGAATTTAGTATAACTATATTAGATACTATTATTATCTTATAGTTTTGTTTTCAAGGAATAATCTATTCATATTAATTTCTCTAATAAGTCCCACTCTTCTATTAATTGTAAACCTATTCTCTTGTTACAGAGATAGATAGCCTGGATTATGTTCTTCCAACAGTTCGTGCTCTAAAACTGCAATGAGGTGAATTCCAAGTGGTGGTTATGTGATGTACTTGTGGAATAATATGGATTTGTACGATTGGTAGTGGTTTATATGAATTTCTATTTTTTAAGATATGCCTTGATTAAATCATTTTTAAAGATTAGTCTTTTATTAATAAATCCATTCATTTGCCAACAGTGTTGTACTTAGTTCTTTATTACAAATGAATGCTTACAAAAATCTGCTTTTCCAACACATTAATTTGCATTTACAGTAAGCAGAATCACTGGCCATTTCAGACACCTTGCATCAGCAGGAAAATAACTTACTAGTATCTGATGTTCTCAATTTATATTGTAAATCATTAGAGGATGTGGTCAGGAGCTGTGAATAGACTGTTGAATTAGCACAAAAAAGCCCCTTGAAATGCTAAATTTGACTTTTTTAAAAAAACACTTGACGTAAAGCAAGGTCTTTATTTAAATACCTCAAGCTTTGTGTGGATTGTTGGATTACCTCAAACAATATACTTTATCATTCATGCTTATTTACCAAACAGTCTGAAGTTTTGCAAAATAATAAAATAAGTTCTCTCTTTGGAGCTGAATTACAGCAGTAAGAGCTCCCAAGGTAAGCACTTTTTTACATTTCTTTCCAAAAATTGCTGCAGCTTTTTAAGATTATCAATCAGTATTTACTCACTGTTAATAGTTCCATTAAGCTTGTGATGTCTCTGTAATTGCTCATGTGAATCCACCAATTACATTACCAGTGGGGTGCTAGATTTTAATCTAAGGTTATGCTTTGTTATTCAGTGAAACTCTGATAACTAGCCAACCCCACATAACTAGTCATCACTCACTATCCTGGCTATTCGAATTCTTTGTACTTGCTAGATACTGTACTTTGCATAACTAGTCAACTCTGATAAATAGTCATTTGAGCTATTTCCTTGGGGTATTGTTATCAGAGTTTCACTGTTTACACACTATTTGTTTTTCATTAATCCTTTTTCTCAGTAATTTGTGCTCCAACCTTCCTTTCATGTCCGTTCTGTTATTAGCTCTGCCATTTCAACATCTTGGTGTTTCTTCTTAGATTCCCTCACTCCCTTCCTCTATCCAGTCAGTTTTTTTATTTATGTGTCTGATTTACTAGATCTGGAGACAAGTACAGAACTAAGAATTTAATTTCATTATTGCTCCAAATCCTTCTCTCATCCCATGCCTCTAATGCCTCTCGTGTCTTACCCATTCAGACTCCATAAATGATACTGCTTTGTGACAGTTTCGGCTGGAACATAGAGGAACACTCTCCACAGAATGTCCTGTAGATTAGTGCAAACAAAATCAATACAGGCAAATCTGACAGAATTGGAAGTGATCCATTCCAATTTTAATGGATCCATTTCAGACTTCCATTTTTCAAAAGATTCATTATGATGTTTCCTATTCATTTAACTGTTTGGGAATCACATCTGATCTAAATTGTGGGAAAGATGGCTTAAAATCCTAGACAAAGCATAGGAGTGTGTGTTGCTGTTGACAACATCTGTTTGTTTGGAGCATGTATCCATTCACTGATACAATACAAATGATCTATAATTCTTTCCATTAATAAATTACAGAATTAAAAGCCCCTGTAAGTCTTTCTGTGCAGATTGTTTTTTACAATACATTGCACAACTTGTAATGATAGACCCCATTTATTTATCATATAGGTTTTATACAAACAAACATAATTAGTAAATAGAACAGTTACAACATTTCTATTTACAGCTGCTAATAAATTGTAAATCATACTTTCAGTAGTCTGTCCACAAACATTTTTAGCAAGAGATCAAGAAACACCAACAGCATCCATGTCACTTACAAATGTAAACATTGATTTGACTCAAAAATAGACCTGTTTTCTTAAATATAAATGTTAACTGACAAAATTTGGGGTATTTCATACAACACTGAAATGTGATTTTTTAAAAATGATTTACCATGATTTTAAATGATTCAAATAATTTAAAGTGAATTGTACTATGAAAAGACTTAACGTACTGTACTATGAGAATACTAAAATGCTGATACACAGATCAGCAGCATTTTAAGTATCAGTCTTTAAGTCTTTAATAAACCTGGAATAAGAGATGAGGACCTTGAACAATATTTGAAAGAGAGCAATTAACATTTTATGACCCAACGTTTCACCAGCCAGTTCATCTGAAATCAAAGCCTCTACCGTTCAGAAGCTTTCTTTCTTTAGTATATTTCCAGCATTTTGCACTTCAGATTTTGCACACGATTTTTCTTTTTAATCTGTGCTCTTTTTTCACAATGTTGGCTTTTGTTTGACAAAAGCTCCATTTGTATGTTTTGTGCATAAAAAATGAAACTGAATATACAAAGAGATTTTCTATACAAAAAGCAAGAGGAAATTTACATTAAAACTAGCACACACCAAACCTTTTTCACATACAAAATAAAGCATAGTGAACTTGCATATTCCAATCAAAATTTCTTTGCCCTAAGTAAATACTTCAAGCTGAGAATTTTTCATAATAGACATTCAATTTTTTGCCACAATGAAAATACAGATAAACCCTGGCTAGCCGGACTAATGGAGGAGATCTGGTCCGGTGAGTCGGAATCTCCAGCTGTGCAATTACAATACCAACATTGCAACACTTGCATCTGCTGTGTTGGGAAATGCTGATAATGCATAGGCATTTCTACTGCTGTGTTCAAAAAAAGTAGTTTCTGAACACCAGACGAAGACCAGTGAGGTGGAAAGTTGTGGGGCTCACATGGGCTGCTCACCACGTGATGAGTCGGATCAGTGGGAGTCTATACCAATGCCCACAGAAAATTGTGACGGAAGAAAAACATTGATTTCGGTCCTGGAGTCAAATTCTGGAGTCCGGTAAGCTATGGGTTTACTGTTTAATTGATATTTAAAATGAAGAGGAAAATCTGAGCAGTATTGACATGCTGGGTAATACACATTGAATTGCAGAGCAAGAATGTTTTCAGCAATATCCTTCATCTAAATGCAAATTAGTTTTCATTTTGTTCAATCGCACAGTCGAACAAAGGTTGGCTTCATATGTTGTAACGGTGCCTTTAATGGACTTTAGGATTTTTTTAATAGAGGACAATTGCTCATATTTTAAGATGTGTAAATATGTATGAATATATTTTAAGATGATCCAGTAAATGGTATTTAACCAAATGAATCTAAAAAGTGGTAACAAATTCTAACACATGTTGGCAATGATATTTTGATCCTGCCAATTGATAACCCACAATTGACACGATCAACAAGAAGATTATATTTGTATAGCGCTACTTAGGAAGCATTTGTAAATCACAAGTGCCTAGGTGTCAAGAATTTTACACCTCATGTTTGTAAAGTGAGTTGACATGTGTTCAATTTGTTTTGCACAACTTCCTTTCATGTAAATATTTGGCTTAATGATACAACAATTTGTAATATTATTTGGGCACTTATGACTTAAGACATTTTAGGCACACATGCAGTTCTATTTGGTTTTTCTTCCAACTTGGTCCCTTGATACCAAAAGAAAGGTAACAGCACACAAGGCAATAAGAGTAAATCAAAAATATACAAATTTCTTTTCTTAGACTGTACATCATAAAATCAAGTAAGGCCCAAGGGAACTCATGTTAATATTAAAAGTTTCTTGTTGCTTTGCTTGGCAATCCATCAGGTGTCAGTTGATACCTGGGAAAATTATAAACAGAATATATCACAAACACTGAATGACAGATTGAACACAAAGATTGACATATGAATAAACCTTAAGACTTTTCAGCTATCATGGCCTGGAAACTACAACTTTTATTGACTTCAGTAAACACACACTCCAATTGGATCATTCACCTGTCCATCAACCCATCTGTTGAATCCATTATGCTCTTATTGGGCCATCCACTTGTCGGGAGGATGGTTCAATGAGAGTATAGGTGAGATTGATGGACAGGAGGTTGGTGGTTAGGAGCATGTATTCACTGTAATCATTACAAGTTGCAAAAAGTTGTGGTCATGATTTTCTTACAGATTTAGTTATTGCTATTTCCAGAATAATTTAATAACTGTGCAAAACATGGCCAAAGTATTGTATAACGATTCTCAGAAATTAGAATTCTGTACGTTTGCAATGAATGGGGGTTATTCTCTGCAAACAACAAAGGCAGAATTCTACCTCCTGTATAAAGATGGGATACAATTTTTCAATATTATTTAGAGCTTAATGTTCACATTTCTCCATAGTCTGTAAAGTTACCAAAATTGTTGATGCGTGCTTTTAATAATATGTTCTCATAAAAAATATTAATGGCTTAAGTTTGGACAAAATCTAAGAAGGGATACAACTTACCATCCTGTAAAGCCTAGGGTCAAATTACTTCTTGGAATCTCAAGCAATACCTTCAAAAAATAAAAAAAAATTAAAACTACGGTAATCTGCAATCCCTTTGTTAAACAAGAAAAGCTGGTCAGACCTACATTGTCTCCACTTACACTAGTTTGTATATATGAGAGAGAACATGAGTGAGAGAGGGAGAAGGGAGACATGAATACATCCTGTGAGGACAGGATCAGGGTTGAGTGTGGTACTCCCCACAGTTACATTTTCTGCCCAAATTCATTATCTAGTTCATGGTGGTCCAACCTTTTGGCTACCGAATGCTGGATTCCCTCTTTGAGAATGGACCATTAGCCTTGAAAGCAATATTTTGTGTTTCCCTTCCAGAAACAAAACAACATTTACGCAGCATCTTTTTCACGTTGGAAGGACATCTCAAACCGCTTGACCCTGCTGGCTGGGCACCTGAGCTGGGGGTGGGAGCTGAGGTGGGATGGGGAAAGAGTTTTTTTGTGAGGAAACTGCACGGCACGTATCTCATTGTCTGTCCTTGGTCCCCCCACCTCCACCCGCAGCAGCTGAGGGAGGCTCTGATTATCTGTCGTGACAGTGAACCACAAAATGCTGCCCTCACTTCTCTCTCTGCTCTCTTTTTGTTATGCTCTCCACCCCTCTCCCTCGTGTTCTCTCTCTCTCCCTCAAAATCATTCTCCCTTCTCTCATGCACTCTGTCCCACACACTCTTTCTCCCTCTTTCACACACTCTCCCCTCTCACACACTCAATCATTCTCTCACTCTGCTCCTCCCCCCCCAGTTCTTTCCCCACTCTCTCTCCCTCTCTTTCAATCACTCTCTCAATCTCCCCCCATCTCTCCCACTCTCTCTCCTCTCACACACAGACACACTCTCTCCCCTCTCAATCATTCTCTTCCCCCTCACACTCACTCTCCTCTCACACTCAATCTTTCTCTGTTCTCCCCCTCTCAATCACTCTCTCTCCCCCTCTCAATCACTCGCTCTCCCCTTCTCTCAATCTCTCAATGTCCCCTCCCTCCCCGTATCCTCTTCCCCCCACCCCCCCATCCTCTTCCCCTCTCACCTCTCTCCCTACTCTCAATTCCCCTCTCCCCTCCCTGTGTTCCCTGCTCCCCCCCTCTCTGTCCCCTTCTACCCTCCCCTCTGCTCCCCCTCTCCGCTCCCCCTCTTTTTACCCTTCTGCTCCCTCTCTCCCCTCCCTCTCTTTCCCCCTCTCAAATCCCTCAATAACACTCTCTCTCCCCACCCTCCCCTCTGTCATTCCCTCTCTCTCTCTCTCTCCTCCTCAATCCCTTTCTCTTTCTCCCTCTCAATCCCCCTCTCCCCTCCTTCTCTCTCACTCTCTGTCCCATTCAGCTGCGTGGGTTGCTGGGTCGCTTAACAATGGCGGAGCCCGATGCCGAGATGGGGGAAGGGGGAAGGTGCAGTCGAAGAGGTAGGTATTCAGGTGCAACCTGAAAATAGGGAAAGAGAGGGCAAGGCAAAGGGTTTGAGGGAGGGTGTTCCATAGCTTCGGGGCGTAGTGGTTGAAGTTGGCACGGCTGCCAATGATGGAGCAGAGGATTCGAGGGACAAGGAGGAGGCTGGAGCCAGTAGAGCCGAGGCAGTGGGTACTACCGTGGGGAGAGAGGAGGTCAGTGAGATAGGGGGGGTGCCGAGGAATAGAAGGATTTAAACACTAGAGTGAGGATCTTGAAGTCGATCTGCTCTGTGACAGGGAGCCAGTGAAGTTTGGCAAAGACTGGAGTAATCGGGGTGTGGAGTTTAGTACGGGTGAGAGTGCGGGTGGCAGAGTTTTGGATGAGTTTTGAAGACGCGCTTCCCTTCCTCTCAGCTCCAGTAATCACTGCAGTAACAACAACAACAAGTTACACTTATATAGTGCCCTTCAAGTTGGAAAGATGGCCCAGGTGCTGGACAGTCAGGGGGTGTTGGACCTGAGCTGGGAGTTGAGGTTAGGAGGGATGGAGGGCAGGGGCTGGTATTATTAAACGACCGGTATTATCTCCACTATCCGCGTTGAGTCCCCCCAACCATTAACTCCTGCTGCTGCCCTGGGAGGATGTTCGCCAGGGAGGGAGGGAGTGGAAGTTGGAATCTTGGAAATGGTCTCGGGCCGGATAAAATCACCGCCAGGCCACAATGCCGCCCACAGGCCGCCTGTTGGACCATGCTGAGCTAATTCACAAATGAATGAGCTGCTTGCTGGCAAGTTACCAGCCCCAGTGGAACCATAACCCAGGCATAAGATATCAATTTCTGGTTAGGAAAGAGAACATGGAAGGTGGGGGGAGGAAAATACAATATTTACAGAAATATAAGGCAATGATCTTAATGTTACATATTTGTCCTTTCAAACAGCAAAGGGATATTGCAATTCCAATAGCTGGTATATTCAGGCTAATTTCATGCTTTGAGAGGCAAAAGTTACCTTTCCAAGTTCCTTTCTCTCATGAGATCCAAATGACCTGTTATTCTTTACAGCAATGTCTAATTTCCGTTTATGAACTTCGTCTGAAGAAACTGAGAATTCAAATCTGAAAAAGATGAAATGTATCTTGCCATAATAAATTATTGTGAGTTGTTTTAATATTCACTCATGAATAATTTTTGCATTTTGATACAATCACATTGGGATTGTGTCAGCCGGGTGTAGTGGTAGCACTCTTGTCTCTGAATCACAAGATTGTGGGTTCAAACCTCACATCGGGACTTGTCTGAGTTGACACTCCAATGCAGTGCTGGGAGGTGTTGCAATGTCAGAGGTGTCGTTCTTCAGATGAGATATTAAACCAAGGTCCCTGTTCAAGTGGACGTTAAAGATCCTAAACACTTACCATCCAAGACCTCATTGTTGATCCGCTCAGCTGCCTCTGCCCTTCTGTCTACTACACCCTCCCCATCTCCTCTCACACCGGCCCCTACCCATCCCTCCCTCCACACCTTCAAACCTGTCTCCCACACCTCTCTCACCACTATATGAAACCGGTCACCTACTCCCTCGACCCCATCCCTGCCCCTCTCCTTATCTCACATCTCCACCTCTTTGCCCCATCTACTCACAAACATCATAAACCTCTCCCTGTCCACTGGTACTGTTTCCACCCCTTTAAAAATGGCTGTCATCACTCCTATCCTTAAAAAAACCCACCCTGGACCCATCCCTGCTCTCAAACTACCGCCCCATCTCCAACATCCCTTTCCGCTCCAAGGTCCTGGAACTAGTCATTGCTTCCTAGCTTCATTCCTTCCTCTCCCACCACTCCCTTCACGAATCCCTCCAATCAGGTTTCCGTGCCATCTATAGCACAGAAAGAGCCCTTGTCAAAGTGCCAAATGACATTCAATCCATCTGCAACCAGGACTCCTACTGCCTCTTCTCTGCTGCCTTTGACATCTTTGGCCACTCTATCCTCATCCACCACCTCCTCTTAACTTTCACGGTTGTGTTCTTGAATGGTTTAGATCGTACCTCTCACACCGCCTCCACTTCCTCTCCACAATCGGCTTCTCCTCTAGCCTCCGCACCGTCTTGTGCGGCTTTACTCAGGGCTCTGTCCTTGGTTCCCTCCTCTTCAACACCCTCTTGGTGACATCATCTGCAGACATGGGGTCAACTTCCACATGTATGTGGATGGCACCCAACTGTACCTCTCTGCCTTCACTCTTGACTCCAGGACCACTGCTGTCCTGACTGAATGTCTGTCAGACATCAAGTCCTGGATGAGAGTTAACTTGCTTCAGTTGAACGTCAACAAAACTGAGGCTCTCCTGATTGGCTCCCGTCAGCACCTCCTCACTTCAGGCGCTGACAGCATCACCATCCATGGCTGCACACTCCACCTTGCTAAGCCAGTCCAGAAACTTGGGGCCTTGTTTGACCCTCAACTATTCTTTCTACCCCACATCCGTGCCATGACCCGCTCTGCCTTCCCCCACCTCCGCAATGTCACCCGGCTCCGACACTGTCTCACACTGCAGGCTTCTGAAACCCTCATACATCGAGGCTTGATTATGCAAATCCTTGCTTGTCGGCCTCCACAACTCCTCCCTCCATAGGCTGCAGATCATCCAGAACTCTGCAGCCCATGTCCTCTCCTGCACCAGGCTCCGTGACGCTATCACCCCCATCCTCGCCCGACTCCACTGGCTTCCCATCATACAGAGGATACAGTTCAAGATCCTGGTCCTCACCTTCAAAGCCCTCTTTCGTCTTGCTCCCACCTACCTCTGCGACCTCCTAGCTCCCTTCCATCCTGCCCACTCCCTCCCCTCAGCGGGCTCCGGCCTGCTTCACGTCCCCTGCCTCGCCCGGCCCACCTTTGGCGGGAGGCCTTCTGCACACTGCCCCCACCCTCTGGTACTCCACCCTGCTGTCCCACCGCCTCACCCCCTCCCTTGCCTCCTTCAAGACCCATCTCAAGACCCTCTTCTTTGACCGTGCTTTTGGTCACGCTGCTTCCTCCCTACCCTCCACCCTCCTCAATCCCAACCCCCAGCTCAGATCCGAAGCACTGACTGTCCAGCGCCTAGGGATGTCCTCCCGACGTGAAAGGTGCTATACAAATGTAATTTTGTTGTTGTTGTATGGAAAGAAAAGGGAGTTCCTAGACAACAAATTCTCCAAATAAAATTTGTCACTGTGGCTGCTGGGTTTCACACCACAAACTACACAGGCACCCCAAGTTACAGTATATCCTGTGAAGATCTTTGAGAAGCCTCGATGACATGATAAGGTGGTAAAACAAATGCAAGGATGATTATTATTACAAGATGTGTTAAAACGCTTCACAGGATTTATTGTAAAGTGGAGTCCTGTAGCTCAGTGGTTAGAGCACTCGCCTTGCAAGCGAGACTTTCAATTCCAGTCAGGGTGAAACCTTGGGCAAGTTTCCTTACTCTACACGCCTAATAATAATCCCTCCAAAACAAAACAATAATAAATTGGTCATTTTCAATCCACGACTGTTTGTGGGACACTGCTGTGCGCAAGTGGCTGCCGCGTTTCGCCCACAAGTTTACAGTCAATTCACTTTACAGTCTATTCTGTGAAGCTCTTGAGACGTCGAGAAGACGTGAAAAGCATTATATCAAACGCAGGGATTTATAAAGTGTATTTTGTTGGCAATGTTACGAGATGTCCATTGTTACAAATCTATTCTGGGAATAACTCAGTTAATTTTCGAGGTCCTCCTGATGTGAAAGTTGCTATACAAATATAATTTTGTTGTTGTTACATTCAAACTAGTGAGTTATATTTACTTGTCTAGTTCCCAAGTCCTCATGTCTGAACTGCGATCTCCCAGGTTCATAAAAACTAAAAGATATTACCATCCTCATCCCAAAACACAATCTGATTCAACAATTAGCCATAAGAAACTCAAAATTATTTTAAATCTCAAATTTATCACCTTCAGCAAAGATTAACTATCAATAATTGCCATTGATTTCTCTATTGGATTAAAATGCACCTCTATTTACTTAGATCTCAAAGAACAAGCTCAACTGTTTGTATATCCTTACCAACACTTACTTTTCATTGTACTGTGGATTAAGTGTCCTCTTTTTAACTTGTGTTTTTTTCCGTCCTGACCAACTTTTGTCAGGAAGAAGGTAAGCTCGGACATACGGATCTGCACCATCATTCGAGCAAGGAATCAGGTTTCTGTAATATAAATGCCAAAGCATTCACAGCCTTCAGTGAAAACACTGAATTCCAATGATTGACTGCATATGTCCATCTTTCTTATTATGAGTACCATAATGGTATACCACCACGCAAGAGAAGTAGAGTAACAAGATAAGTCATGAAGTGATTATGTGATGCCAAGCTTGAGTTTTAAAAGCAGAATACATTTTTAAGAAAGGGAGAAGAGCACTTAGAATGGTATATTTAAAGTTTTGGAGGAAAGATCAGAAGAATGACGATGATAGTACAATTGATAATATTAAGAGATTTCAGTGGAGCAAGAGAGAGTAAGAGAAAGATCACTGATGTTATCAAGTGTTTTTCTCATATCCTGTCCAGAAACAATCAGTTTAAATGTGAGGTGAATTAAGCAAATGCTTTCAGTATCTTCATGGAAGAAGAGAAAAGCACACTGAAAAAAAACAGCAGGAGTTTGAACAGCAGGATGGATATTTTAAAATGAACTTGCTAAAGTGGAAACCTTAAAAATACAAGGGCTTAGATTTGCCTGTGGGCAAGTAACAATAGCAAACAAATTTAATGTTGCAAACATTTTCCACTCCTGGTGGCCAGTCCTGGTTTTACATATTTATATATTCCTTTGTGGCACTTCATCAGCACAAAAGGGAATAGATGGCACCTAACAGTCAAAAAGAACAGGAAACATTTAAAGGGCATTTGATTCCTCTCACCCCACCGCAAAAAAAGTCAGCTTCAGTACTGCCTTGCTGAACAAATAACTTCAGTTCTATGTAGAAGAGGTGAATAAAAGATGCTAAAAATAAATTAATGAGATTAAGGTAATTCGGCTCTGACAACAATTATGCTACTCTGCTCCCACATTGTTGTGTGTGCATCATTGAGAGGATTGTAATATGGGATAACAGCAGCAGGTAAAACCCTGCGGACAAAATCAACCAGTTCCCATCACATCTGTTGAAATATCCCCGATTAAAATCAGAGAGGGTGATGGCCGATTTGCATACATATGGTTAACACAATCATTTTTAAAATGTCAGAATGTTTTTAAATGTCAGAATGATGACCCATTCAGTAAAGAGATTAAGGCTGGAAATGAAATAGTGTGATCACATTTAAATGCATTTCTGTTTTGCATTTAAAAAAATCTTTTGATGCCTTGCTGCCATTTTCTAAAGAAAAGTAATAATGCTGCAACTTTAAAACAACATGCACAAGTTATTAAGGAATTAACTTGTGTTAGAACACTTAAGTGTCCTGTTGAACCAGGACCAGTTAGAGCAAAAAGAGAGGTTGTAATTTCTGAGATGTATACTTCTCTACAAAGAAAGTCACTCAGAAGATTCCCCAATTGATTCGGTTGCCTAGATTCTTGGCATTGTTGTTTTTTAAATCAGGTACAAGATCCGTATTACAGTACTATTAAGGAAAGTAGTACAGCTCATTAGATAAAAACACAAACACACAAAAGCACGAAAATTATAACATGGTTTAAACTCAACTCCATTATTTTTGTTATTTGGGAAAAAAAAACAACAAAATCTGACCACAGTATGATAGTTTGTCTACAGAAATTGTTAGATGTAACAAATCATGTCATTGTGGACATACAAACATGCAACTAACCGACTGAACTGACTTATTAGTGAGCACACTGGATTAAATCCCTATGTTTTTATCTATAAAATTTGTGTTTTAATAAAGGCTGCAATTGTACATATTTTAACACCAATAACAAATTTACCTGCAACACTGAATTAATACTACCAGACTGTGTCGTGGAGTGGAATAATGCACTGAAAGCTGGATCTCTCCCAGACTGTCTTCAGTCAGAGCCATCCCACTAGAAAAAAAGTGAAGACAAGGGTTTATTCACTGAATTACATGGAAATAATTCACCATGGTATTAATGACTTGTTTATTAGTAAAAAATAAATTAATAACTTCCAACTACAATAACATTTACATTTAAAAATAGAAACAATATATCTGTGTAAATTCTGTGAGACTCTAGTGGATAAAGGTCAAGAATATGACCTTGTTATATCTTTTCTATTAACTCAAAACAAATTTTTTAAAAAAAATTGAAAGGCAGAGAAATAGAGAAGTACAACTATATTTCCATTACTCCAAAGTAGCCCTAGCATCCAGCGAATTGCTTATAGAAACTTACTGAACATTGGCAAACATGGTGAACTTTTAGAGACAATCAATTATGTGGACTTTATGATTGGTGCTAATTAGATATGACTAAGTGCATCAAAAAACAAACAATCTTTAACATTCACGACACTGGTTAAAGTAATTTCTATCACAGAGATCAGATCTAACTGGATGCTTCAGTGGTGGGTTTATTAGTTCAGGTCTATCAGTTAGTCATCTTATGACAAAAATGTTTGCCAATATTTTCATCTGAGATGTCCATTCAGATTCACTTAAATTTTTACATCACAATGTTACTCTCATTTAAGAATTTCACTTTTGCATGTCAAGATTCAAAATGTGCACAAATATTAACTGATAGGTTTATTTAGTTTATTGTACAAGGGGAAAAATGTTTGTACTTTTGTAGCTGTAACTCTTGATCATTAAGCTCATGGATCGAATTGATGAATGAAAATTCAGAAGTAGTGTCTCTCTTTACAGAAGTTTCTGAGGAACTGGATTGTGCTGGTACTTTTGATTTGATTTCATTAGCAAGCTGTGAACTCCTGTTACTTTCTTCTCTCTCCAGTTGCTCATCAATTATACCATTAAATGGCATTGCTGCAACATCAGACGATCTGAGTGCCAATGGTGGAGTTTCCTGCTTGCTTCCAGATCTTTTCTTCTTTATTGATATTGGCACTTTCTTAAGGGCATTTATCCCTTGGTAGATACTGTCAGGATTTGGTTCTTCAATACTTAAGACCTGTGTGTGTCGAATACAGATCAAATATCAACCAGCAACTCATAGCTCACAGAGCTTCTAATATTGATCATCTTAGAAAAAAATATTTTCTTTATCTTAGACTTTGAGTAAATAGTCTAGGCTGACAGACACTACAGTATAGTGTAGGCGCAGTGCTGCAATGTAAGAGGTGCATTCTTCAGATGAGACAGAGACAAAGATCCCATGGCATGACTTGAAAAGAAAGGGGAGTTTCTTTCAAGTGTCCTGGCCAACATCCATCCCCAGATAAAACTGGTCATTCATTTCATGGCTGTTTGTGGGACATTTTGACATGAACAGAACTCCTCTCCTTACTGTAGATTACACCGGGGTCCATTTTACAGGATAAGTTAAAGCTTTGGCACCCTCCCAAAACACAGCTCAGGAACCCATCCCATTTCCAACTTACGTGAAGTTATATTGTAGCCAAAGTTGGTGCCCATCGGAGAGAGAAATGAAGAAGAATTTGGTCACTCAATCCACAACTGTTTGTGGGACATTGCTGTGCGCAATTGGCTGCTCCGTTTCGCCCACAAAATATACAGTCAATTCACTTTACAGTATATTCTGTGAAACACTTTGAGACGTCTCAAAGACGTGATAAGGCGCTATATCAAATGCAAGAATTATTATTATTATTACTGTGTGCAAATTTGCTGCGGCATTCACCAACAAATACAGTCACTACACTTTATAATAATTCCTGTGAACCTTTTTGAGACACTTCAATGACATGATAAAGCAAGGATATATCAATACAAGGATTATTATTATTTGTTATTATTTTGGTAATGAGTTTCTAATGCTTCAAAGTCATTGCTTTAGAAAAAAGATGGATTGATAAGCATGTTGGATACCATTATGTGGCTTCAGAGTTTTTGACTGACCCTATAAATCAACATAGCCCTCTTATATTTTGAGCTACAACACTCCAAATATACTGTTTCACAGCTAAGGAAAACATAATACAGAAAACACAATTCCCCTGGTATGTGTAACCTACCCGAAGCACTAACTTCATCTTTATAAGACTGTTTGGTCCTGAATGTTCCAACTGAAACCTTTGGTTAAGGGTCATATCGGGGGCAGCCAAAACCTGGTACAAGGGTATATCCAGTGTTCCCAGGACACACTCCTTGCCTTTGTCTTTGATCTAAATTAAAAATATAAACCGACATATATTAATAATTCTCAAATTACTGTAGCAATGATATTTGACAACCAGAAAGCAAAGCAATAATCTTTCCCTACAACTTATGGTAGATCTTGTTTAGTAGATACATCTTTGAACAGGCTACAAAATCTTCTTGTATCTAAACCATCACTATTTCAAAGTGTTTTCAAACTGTACATTTCTTCAAACTGCTTAAGGAAAGCAAACTGACCTTCATTCTTCACGATTAAGTAGCTATGGCTTTAAAATACTGGTATTCGATACGTTTTGGGTATGCCTTGGTATTTTACCTCAATGTTAAGTTCCTGGGAGTGAATATTCTTGATGAAGAATGTAAATGCTTGCTCCCAGACAGGTGCACTGGAATTGTAGCAAATCTGTGAATACAACATTGGATTTCAGGTTTCGTAACATTGTTTTGAAAGATTATACAAACAAGATATTAAATTTAAGTTTATGGTTACGAGAAGGAAGGGAAAACTGGTGGAGAAAAATTACATGAATAAATATAAGATTAGCCAGAAAAAACTTTAACCCCCTGACATTTGATTAGCTGAAAGTAGCCTATGGAGTAGTTTTTCAGGTAATTGGAATCCACAGATTATTGATAATAAGAACCCAACATAAGAATGACGTGGAATAGGGTCCATCAACAACAACAAGATTACATAACGCCTTTCACGTCGGGAGGATGTCCAAAGGCGCTGGACAGAGTACAGCATTTCAGACCCGAGCTGGGGTTGGGGGGGTAAGGGAGGGGAGGGGAAGGGGAGTGGCCGATGGCATGGTTGAAGAGGAGGGTCTTGAGGTGGGACTTGAAGGAGCCTAAGGAGTTAGCTAAGCTAACAACAACAACTTGCATTCATATAGCACCCTTCATGCCAAACAGCTCTTGGAGAGCATCACAGTGGGATTTGGAACTAGAGCTGCCCATTCTATAATGGGAATCACAACAAAACTAGTGTTATATATAGTATTTTGAGGAACTTCTGGAAACTGAATATTTAATGTTGATGAGGTTCTGCCCAAAAGCATACAATTGTCTTTAATGGCTCCAGCAATAGAATATTTTTATACCAAGGATAAATGCCCTCCCATTTTCAATTTTCCTGCAAAATCAGACAGTAAAAAATGTGGCATAGCACAGTCATGAATATGGATCATTTGTACCTTGCTTTCTTGCTTCTTGTTGTCTACTGCAAGCTGTACAGAAGAACTAGGATCTAAGGTGGATTTCTTTATTGACTGATGATGCAAAAACAGCACATATCTGCATTTAAAATCCACTTCTACAATTGTATGAACAATATTTCAATATTAAAGGCAGGCCTAATGACTAACTGCTACTAATCACATGGCTTATAAGAAACTGATTTGTTTAGATGCTATTGTGTCTGATTCTGATTCAAAAAGCCTCCATCAAAAAGCCTTCTCTTAAAAGGAAATAAGCCATTGAAATTTCCAGCAGGCCTGATCTGGGTGAACTCAATCCGAAAGTGCTGAATTTGTGAGAATTAAGATCAATTTTGTCTCTTTCACAGATAATGCTAAAAACCTTCCTCAATATGCCGTATGTTACAACACATTTTATGAACACTGTACATATAGTCCATCTAGCAACTATGCAAAATACATCAATAGCTTTGTAGTTTAAGTAAAACTTCAAATAATTCCATCAAATCTCAAATAATTTCATCAACACTTTTAATTATCTGCATCTCCCATTATCTAAACCTTTAGAGATTGACAGGACAAGTAAAGGTATTTAAACCTTTTCAACACTGAAATAAATTGTTTCAACAATGTTTTCCACCTTTCTAAAGTAAGTTAATAATGAAAATACATTTGTGGAACAATGCTTAATTTCAGATTTATACAATTCCTAAGTTTATAATAGCCCAAATTGGCTTCCTTATAAGAAGACCAGACCAGTTTAACGTAATTAGCAGTTAGATTTAATACTAAAATACTACAAATTACCTTGATATACTTTTGTTTGTTCTTTTTCTTCATACTATATTCATTGTTGGTGTATTCATAATGATTTCTCTTTTATGCGGAGAAGAATGGATTGTTACTTTTAATAACGGTTACTCAAAAGAAATAGAAGAAAAAATTAGCTTACACTGTACAATAAGATAAATGACTCTTTCCAGGCTAAAAAAGAAAGCTTTATAAACTATCCCGAGTTCCACAACATTCTTCAGAATAATCATAAAACCAAATTAGATCATATTTTAAATATTTTATATCATATTTTACTTAGGAACAGGGTGGAATTAAATGACTCATTAACAAGCATTATGACTTCAAATAGTAAGTCACTGAGTTGCACAACAATGTAATAGAAGAGACAGAATATCATTCTAACTGAACTATGTTAAACTTCCAATGCACAAAAGTTAAGAGCAGTGGACTGGAAAACAGGATGTGGTGTGCTGAGCAGTTTACATCACAGAAACAATTCCATAACTTCCTTGAAGTGGAATATTGGCTTGTACTACTGACAGTTTTGTTCTTGCTCATGGTCTATTAAGAACATAAGAATTTACTAGGCAAAAGAAGACTAAGGTCCATCCAATTTGCCTTCAACCATACTGGCAGTTGCATTACATGTCGTGTTCCAAACTATATACTGTATCCATAGATATTATTTCCTAATAGAAATCTATCTAATTTGTTCTTGAATGAATCAACACTTCCACAGTCTCCCTAGGGAGCCTGTTCCATACGTTTACTACTCACTGAAGTAGTGTTTCTGCAGATTTGTTCTAAATTTAGCCTTCAATTGTAGTCCATTTTCTCTGGTTCTACTGTTCAGAACAAGGTAAACCAGCTCATGAGGGTTTACATTATCTATTCCCTTTAGAATCTTAAAGACCATAATCATATTGCCCCTCAGCCTTCTCTTCAGCGCGTACATGCCCAGTTTATCTAATCCAATACTAAATACATACACGGTGTGTTGAATGTCTTCAATTCAGTTGACCCTCTACATTTCTACTTTGAATTGTTACTAAGGTGAATTTCAGGAATTTAAAGAATGTGTTTAAAGAATTTAAAGTACACATCATACTCCACAGTATTTTATGAATTAAATTCATAATTTGTTTGGGAATATATTTCAAGAGTTAAAACACTAGTATCAATTAATTTATGGAATAAGTAATATTTATAGAATACAAATAAACATTTACTTACAGGCAGGTTGTAGGCACTGTCCAAATAAACAATCAGTAAGGCGTTTGACAGAGCAGGATTTATACGCCTTGCAGTTTCTTCCTAAACAACGAAGAGAAAAAGTTTCCCTTTCATAATTCTGAGTTATTTTTATTACACGTTTATAAATAATAATAATCTTTATATTTGATATAGAGCCTTATCACGTCTTCGAGACGACTCAAAACCGCTTCACAGAATATATGGTAAAGTGAATTGACAACATTTTATGGGTGAAACGTGGCATCAATGTCCCACAAACAGTGAGCAACTGAAGTGAACAATTTATTATTTTTTTTGAAGGAATTATTACTCCCGGGAAAGCGATCCACTAATTGACTAACAACCGGTTTCTACGTACTGCTGGGTAAACAGAGGCAGATGGAGTAAGAAAATCTGCCCAACATTTTGCCCTGCCAGGAATCGAACCCAGGTCTCCAACATATAGCATGTTAATATACAACCATACCCTGTATCATTCTGGTATTCATACCGTATATATTTTGTCTTGATCTGTAAGCAAGGACAGCCACTCAAGTTTCAGATGTATTTTCCCATGGTCTACATCATTCAGAGGGAACCACTGTTTAAAGACAGAATGCTTAAATGAATCATGGCCATTGGGGTAGGAGAGAGCACTATACAATCATTTGCTTTAGAACTACATTATTTTTTAAATGGCTTGTACATGAAGCAATCTTAAAATCATTCACGATGATACACAAGAGTACTGATTCTCTGATTATATCTATTAATACCAAGTAGAACAGACAGGTTTATTAATAACAATCCATTCTTTTACTATTCATTGTAGAGAAAGAAGATTCATATTTAAATCCTAATTTCAAGATGTACAAAGAAGTGTACATTCGGTCTAAATTGTACTGATAAGGTCAATATTGGTCTTCTCACCTCTTCCACAACTCTGTCTTTCCTCACTTCACCAAGATCTATTAGTAAACTGTAAATAAGAAATGTTTAATAAATCACTGAAGTCTACAACATGGTCGAAATAGACAGGATAGGAATTGGATTTTCGATCACTCCCATTAAATTGTATACATCTTCCTCCATCTGATACCTCAGCAACTTTAATCAATGAGTAAATGCAAGGATTACTATTATCACTGGAGGGGAACTTTACCCCAGCAAAAGATAAAACATCATCAAATGCTTTCAGGAGAGGGGGGATTGGAAAAAAAACATATTTGGCTTTGCAGAAAATGAATCTTTCAGAGCAATTGTTATGTATACTTGTGAAAATATTTGCAGATATCTTTACCAACAGTTCACTGTGTAAATTCACTGCTGGTGTCTAAGTCATATACAGAAAAAGGCCTGTTTGTGCTTGATAGGGAAAGGACTATTGGGTTTAGTGTGCTGGGACTAAGAAAGAGAAAACAAAATAAAGCAAAATAAAATTCCTGGTCACTGATGGAAGTGAGCGCATATAAAGGATAGATGTGAGATCAGCAGTGTACAATAGGCTGCCAACACTCACTGTCACACGCAAATAATTGACATTTAGTTGTCATACTGGAGAGAAAACTGGGAACATGTTGAGATAAATGCTGAAAGATATACATTAAAGGGATTGCTGGCACTTTACCTGCCAAGGAAGTCATCCTTATCTGGGTCTTCATCATAAAGTTCCACTTCCAAATCCTGACCAGGTGCCTCATGGACAACAGCCTGAAAAAGATGAACACCAATGGTGTCTTAGAGCATTTGCCCTTTCAACTTTATGATTCCAGAGAGCAAATCAAACCTAAACAGCGATCAGAAATGTGCTGATTCGTGTGAGAAATATTGCTTAGAAAAGCTGACCTCATAGATTTCATTCCATGCAGGATTTAAATTCCCTTTTATTGTTTTGCTGCGAAAGGTCTGGGTGCCAATTCGAACAACGGCATATGGATCAGATTTCCCTTGCACCATACCCATCAGATAAGTGTCTTTCCTTATTAAGTCTGCAGCTTGCTTTACATAAATTCTCACAACTCCCTGAAACACAGTGAGGAGACTCAATGTTAATTGATGCACAATATACAATTCAGGCACACAATATTTTCATAATATAGCTGTAATTCCACAGATGTTGAATCCAAGGTCACATTTATGTTGCTTATGGTGTATCCACTGTGAATGAACAATTTCCTTCAGTTGCATAACATGATAAAATCTAAATGATTCAGCCATACAGTAGGGTGTTAAGATCCACTGCATGTGCATTAACCAAGTAAAGAGTTTAAACCAAATCTGCATGGACAACGTCATTTTCAATTTTGAAAAGAACCTGGAAACTAATGTTGGAACAGGAGTTAGCTTTCAAGTTTTAGAAATCCAAGGCTTGAAGTTTCACCTAGCCTAAACATGAAAGACCATTTCTTCTTACAATTTGCAGAATCTCTGAATTTAAGAATTTTCCACAGTTTCATGCAACCTTAAATACTTTAACCTTAAATGGAAGTTACTGAAATGGAAATGTACTGCAAAAGGGGAGGATTGACATGACTTAGAATGTGTATATGAAACTCTTTACATTCAGAAAGCTGCATATTGGAATAATCAATTCAATCCACCAGAGTTCGTCCATCAGTGAATAAAAAGCACACTTCAAACATTTTTAAGATTTCAAAAACTAAATACATGTAATTCAAATATATGTAGTTAAAAAATTAAGTTTAATACAGATAAATAAATGTAAGGTGCTACATACAGGAAGTAAGAATAGGAAGCATGTACTTCAAGAATGAGACAGAACTTGCCAAGCAGGAACCTGAGAAAGATTTAGGGTGTTAGTTGACTCATTAGGGTTAAGAGTTTAAGGCAGGGATTCTTCCCACTCAACTCTTGTAAACTCTGCAAGCCAAAGCCCTAACTCATAAAGTGGTCCTAACTGGACAAGAAATGGCAGACAGTGCTTTCAATGGCAAGCTATGCAGTTTTAGCTGGTTAAACTCAAGCAGTTTCCCAAGGCACACTCTAGGATCCCCAAACCTTGGCTCTTGCCAACCTGTACCTAATATTCTCCAGAACTTAAGCGGAATGCAGGAAGATGGTTGAGGCCAGGACATTAAACTCCTTTAAAAACAATTTGATGCTGTGATTGGAAAGTAGGGTGGGTATTATGGAAGGATGAGATCAAATGGGGCGAAGGGTCATGCTCAGTTGAACTATTCTTATAATCTTGTGAACTGCAATTATACAAATTATACACTGAAAGCACATTCCATATTTCTAAATTATTTGTCAATATAAACTACTTACATGTGGTAAAGGAAACCTTAGATGTGAAACATTGATCTTACTGGTCAGTGGACAGGTGAACCTATTCGGTAAAACCATGTATGAAGCAATGGCATCAAGAATCTTTGTGTCTGACATTTCACTGGGAAGAAAACAAATAATTGTCAGTGAACTGCAGTCCAGCAAAACAACAAAACATAATACCTTACACTTTCATTGTTCTCACTGTGAGGAGAATACCGGGGAGAGTTTGGCACTAATACTGTCTTTGCAGCATTCGGTATGCCATAGCTTTCCCCTAAAATTAGAATAGAATAATAGTTGCTCAGAATTACTCATCCCTCCAACTAAATAAAACTCCAGGACATGAATCTAATATTATTGAACACTCATTAGTGGAGAAATGATATCCCCAGAATACCAACTTCAACAATTTAATTATGCACACCTATATAAATTATTTTATTCTCAAAGTCAATCCCAATCTGTTGGAAATGAAAGCAAACTCTGCAGTAATCTTCAAGAGCAACCAGCACAACTGAAAATAAGCATTTGCAATCACATGGTCATTCTACTCCTACTCCTACACTTTCCAGCCTAGCTGGAAAGTGAGCACAGTTAAACCCTAGATTTTGTTAGACTCATCACAATAACCTTGAGAGCATCTCTATGTTTCCCCTCAAATTCACTGTGAAGCTTCAAGTCAAATTAGAGGGTAAGTATCAAAATTGGGGGATAATAATAATAATCCTTGCCTTTGATATAGAGCCTTATCACATCTTTGAGAAGTCTCAAAGGGCTTCACAGGATATACCGTAAAGTGAATTGACTGTATTTTGTGGGAGAAACGTTTTGTGGATGTTGGCAACATTTTGTGGATGTTCACAACAACGACGACAAAATTACATTTGTACAGCGCCTTTCACATCGGGACGACATCCCAAGGCGCTGGACAGACAGAGTTTCGGACTCAAGCTGGGCGTCTGGATCGGGGAGGGTGGAGGGCAGGGGGGGGAAGCAGGGAGATTGAAAGCACGGTTGAAGAGGAGGTTGAGATGGGTTTTGCAACATTTTGTGGATGTTGGCAACTCACACAATTCAGGCTGCCTGAGGTAACTATTATAAAAAAACATTTTCAGTTCAGATGAAAAATCTAATAAATAGCACTTATATCACCTAATAAAACCTTATTTTTTGGAAAAGTATTTAATCACTTTATACATAAAATGGTCACATTTTATTTGTATTGATGGCCCTGCACATAAATGGCTCAGTAGACCCTTATTTAACCAGGGTCAGAAAAAGGTTAAGAACCAGCTGGATTAGGGATACTTGCAACTCACGGAAATTATTGAGAGCACGTGCTCCTGTTGATTCAAAGAATACATGTGTTTCAATTAGATTTAATTCTTATCTGTTGTTTCTTAATTTTCATTTAACAATGGTTGTGAATTTTGTCACAATATTGTAGCACTGATCTGAAAATGTACTGTACTTAGTGGATTATCTCACTCATATATTACACAATTTACATTTATATAATATTAACATTTTTTAAAAAATTTGGCTCCTAGTGATACACAAAAGTGCATACACTTTTCACAGTACACAAATTTAGATTATAACCACTTAGCAAACAGTGCTGCAGTATATAGCAATGTATGTTCAATGCGATCATTGTTGTTGCTATAACCAAATTAGGCATCTGCTTTGTGCAGTTGAACAAAATAAAGAGGGAAGTACAGGTGGCTGTCTTTATGTAATTAATGAAAATGATTACAGAAATTTACAACTTCTTTGCTGCTGGTGTAGCAAACAAATAACTCAGCTAAATGTAACCACATTTGAAGGTAATTCTCTCAACCAAAATGTCACCAAGGATGCTCCATCATGTAAATTAGATTTGCAATACCATTTACAAACATTTGCAATATCAAACATTCATCTCAAATATTAATCTCTGTGTATCCAAAAAGCAAGAGCTTTTGGATACACAGAGATTAAGACAAGCTTATTGGATGCATCTTTTAAAACTAGTATTGTATAGCACAATAGATACTACACATTTGTGAGCTTGCAACTATATCTAAATCATAGTTTTTTTTGTAATCTTAAGCTTCAAGTAAGCTTCTTGTAAGTCTCATTAACAACTATTCTCCAGTATGCACCTAACATGAGCTCTTAAACTGTGCAACAATGGAAACTGTCCACATCGACTGAGTTTTCGAAAAGAGGAAAATGAAAAGCAAATAAGGATAACACAGAAACACTGCAATAATAAAATGCAGTGCAATGCCCAACCAATGTGACATTGACATATCAACTATGTAAACACCTTGAAGGCTATCGAAGAATTTCTGCCACAAACTTCAAAACATTTAAAATTTAATATTAGCAATTATCATCTTTTTCTTTAAAATTATTTTCTATCCTCTCATATTTTAACTCTTTCCTTACTGTACACACAATCCCTAGTTGAGGCATTAATATCTAGGTGGTCCTGAGTTGGCCCCCTTTTTAGAAGAGCTATCCATAGACCCTGCTCATCCTTGAGATGGCTACTGGTGTACCATTACGATAGGTTTAGGTGGACAGGAAAAGGCAATGGACTTGGAAGATGATAAAGTTACGTTTAATAATTTAGAATTTTTAACTCACAACACGTTTAATTTATAAATAATAATTTCCAGAAGGGAGACCAGATACATGCAGATGAAAGGCCATTTGGTACTTAAACGCTGCACAATTTCAGCCTGAGTCATGCTTGTAAACAACATGAGGCACCAGGCACTTTCAATTAGATCACTTAAAAAAAATATGAAAAACATCAGTGAGGGACCCAGGCTAAAAATAAAAACGTGCACTTCAGACAAAATAAAATGCTCAAACCAGTCACCAGGAGATGAACAGGAACAGATAGGAGTAAGTGCAACCGCTTTTTCTTCCCTCTCCATGGGAACTGCTTAGCTTCCCATTAACTGCTGAATGGAAAACCTTTGGCTCACGCTACCGGGGTCAAATATGTGGATTGTGCTAAGCATGTGTAAACTCCTGTAAAGAAGGAAGTACAGGTGGCTGTCTTTATGTAATTAATGAAAATTATTACAGAAATTTACAAAAGATTATTTACATGATGAAGAGCATCTGTAGTGCGCACACACACACACGTGATTAGCACAACCCACAACTTCCACTCCAGTATAAACAGTACTTTTGTCAGGTTGTTACAATATTCAAACTGCCAAAATGCTCAAAGGATGCTGCTCCATTCAGAAAATAAGAAACATTGGTTAGAAAATAACGATGGTAAGTTATGGGTAGTACTGTGTAGAGTTTTAGTGTTTTGTGTTATGACTTGTGTGTCTTTATAAATTTGTATCAAGTATGTGATTTTATGCAGGGAAAATAAAACTGAATGCAAATGTTGGTATTGCTACATCAATTAGTACTTAAGTATTAAATGGATTATTTACAACTGCAATGGATACTTTTGCATGCTAACAATTATGTCTAATACAACGCTTCCCAATTAAATTTACTCACAGTGCAGTATTTTCATGTACAATAGTGGGCTTGGCAGAGTGATTTCTACAGTAACCTTTGCTGCATTTTTAGTACAACGTTCAGCAAAACACAATACACATTTGTTGCAAATCCTTTCCAGATATTTTTGTGGCCATTAAGGTGGGGAATATTTGTGCTGAGGCATTGAAGTTCAACGTCAGGCACTCTTTCAGCACTGAACACTCCCAGGTCACATACAGCATGATTAAATAGATGATCACAAAAAGTTCCTATAATCTGGCCCACTAAAATATTCAACTACATCTTGAAAACACTACACGTTACTGCAACAGTGTGGCTTTCCATTTGCCACATCAGTCTCCTATTTAGAGCTACCAGTTGTGATGAATTATTTGACAGGTTTGTTCCATTAACCTTCACCTATAAGAATTGGGTAGATACTGCACTAAATTCCTTTGAAATAGGACCAGACAAAGGTGACATCTATTGAGCACTACGCTCAAACCATGATTGACTTTGCAATATACCGACATCAAATTAAAATTATGTTTCTTATATTATTTCGTGGTTTTTATAAAAATAAATTGTACACTTATTGAGACATTGCTGAATATTACCAAATAAACATTGAGTTTTTAATGGTTCTCACACTACCATCCCATCTCCAACCTATCCTTCTTTGCCAAAGTTCTGGAACGCATTGTTGCAGGTCAACTTTGGTCACACCTCTCCCTCCACTCTCTCCTCAAGCCCGTGCAGTCTGGTTTTCGCCCTGCCACAGCACGGAGACAGCGCTTGTTAAAGACACAAATGATGTCCTCTCTATCTGTGACCAGGGCTCTCTCTGCCGCCTTGTCCTCCTGGATCTCTCTGCCACGTACGACCTCCTCCATCGGCTCTCCTCCTTCATCTTCTTCAGTGGGACCGCACTCGCATGATTCGAGTCCTACTTAACGAACCGCCACCACTTCACCTCTGCAAATGTTTCACTCCCGCCCAGTCACCTGTGGTGTACCCCAGGGCTCCATCCTGTGTGCGGATGATACACAAATCTACTTTGCCACCACCTGCGACTCCAGGTCTGCCAATGTTCTATCAGCTTGTCTGGCAGACATCAGGGGCTGGATGAGTGTAAACTTCCTGCAGCTGAATGAGGACAAGACGGAAGACATACTCCTTGGCTCCCGTCAATGTCTTCACTCCTGCGGATCTGACCTCCTAAAACCTCCCAGCCTCTCCCTCAGACTCACCGAACCAGTGCACAATCTAGGCGTCCGGTTCGACCCCCAGCCGTCCATCCGTCTGTCTGTCCCTCCCTCCCCTCTTCTGGTCCCTGACCAGGGCCGCCTTCTTCCACCTCCGCCACATTGCCCGCCTCCGACCGTACCTTACCCCACATGCAGCCAAAACCTTTCATACATGCGTTTGTCACCTCCCACCTGGATTACTCAAATGCACTCTCACCGGTCTCCCCAGCTCCACTATTCAAAAAATCCAGCTCATTCAGAACCCTGCCGCCCGCATACTGACCCAGACCAAACTCCGTACACACATCTCATCCGTTCTGGCCAGGCTCCACTGGCTCCCAATCACCGAACTGATCGACTTCAAGATCCTCACACTCGTTTTCAAATCTCTTTACTCCCAGGCACCTTCCTACCTCTCCAACCTCCTCACTCCCCAATCCACCACCTCCACTCTACGGGCAACAAACCTCCTGCTTTGTCCCTCGCGCCCTCCGTGCCACCATTGGAGGTAACGCTTTTAGCCACTATGCCCTGAAACTCTGGAACACTCTCCCTCAATCCCTCCACCTTGTACCCCCTCTCTCCCCTTTTTTAAGTCCCGCCTGAAAACCATCCTTTTCGACCGAGCTTGCAGTCACCTCACCCAACCCCCCCCCACCCCACCCTGGTTCGGAGTCAGGATCCACCACAGTTAAGCGCTCTGAGACGCTACTCTGCGTGGAGGGCGCTATGTAAGTGCAAGTCGTTGTTGTTGACTGAATGTCTGTCAGAAATCAAGTCCTGGATGAGAGCTAACTTTCTTCAGTTGAACGTCATCAAGACCAAGGCTCTCCTGATTGGCTCCCAACAGCGCCTCCTCACCTCAGGCACTGACAGCATCACCATCCATGGTTGCACACTCCACCTTGCTAAGCCAGTCCGGAACCTTGGGGTCTTGTTTGACCCTCAACTATCCTTTCTACCCCACATCCATGCCATGACCTGCTCTGCCTTCCCCACCTCCGCAACGTCGCCCGGCTCCAACACTGTCTCACACTGCAGGCTGCCGAAACCCTCATACATGTTTTCATTACATCGAAGCTCGATTATGCAAACTCCCTGCTTGTTGGCCTCCCCAACTCCTCCCTCCATAGGCTGCAGATCATCCATAACTCTGCAGCCCGTGTCCTCTCATGCACTAGCCTCCGCGACCCTATCACCCCCATTCTCACCAACTCCATTGGCTTCCCGTCACACAGAGGATACAGTTCAAGATCCTGGTCCTCACCTTCCAAGCCCTCCTCGGTCTTGCTCCCCCCTACCTCTGCGACCACCAAACGTCCTACCATCCTGCTCGCTCCCTCTGCTCAGTGGGCTCCAGCCCATTTCACTTCCCAGCCTCGCTCGTCCCACTATTGGCGGGTAGGCCTTCTGCCACTCTGCCCCCACCCTCTGGAACTCCATCCTGCAGTCCCTCCACCTCACCCCCTCCCTTGCCATCTTTAAGACCCATCTCAAGAACCTCCTCTTCGACCATGCTTTCGATCTCTCTGCTCTCCATAACTCTGTCTGTCCAGCACCTTGGGATATCGTCCCAACCTGAAAGGTGCTTTACAAATATAATTTTGTTGTTGTTGTTGTTGTAATGGGCTGAGTTTCAATTTGCATTATCTTGCCCATGATATTCCAAACAACATACACAACCAGCAAGTTTAATTTAACATCAAGCAAATTATCACAGTAAACATCAATGCAAACATAAGTAAGGAAGGAGCATAATACATTGCCAGAAAGAGTGGTTGAGGCCAGCACACTGCATTTATTTAGTAAAAAGCGATGGGAACATGATAAGAATGGGTATTTGGTAAGGATGAGATCAGACAGGACAAAGGGCCTTCTTCATTGAAACAAATCTTGTGACCACAGTATGAACAACAACAATTTGATTTAAAGGCCAGGTAGTGTCTTGGAGCCTACTATCTAACATACTTATGAACATATTGTACCAATAGAACAATCAAGTTATCTATTAGCAAGACAATTGAAATGAAACTTTCTTTAGCGTAATGTTAGCAGATAATTGCCCTGGACTACCAGGAGTAACTGAAGTACTTGGATGAAATGCAGGCCAATTATTTGTATTGGTATACTTCTGAGACAGTGCATTTGATATCTGGCAGTCTAGGGGTTAAGCAAACATTTTATTTCCTTATTAACTAAGGAACCAGAGGATTAAAATATAATCCTAGTTTTAATTTTACTCTTGTGACATATGTGGATGATGTAATACATTCTTCCTCTAACTACCCATTTTTTCATGGTTTATTTATATACAGAACAACAGATTTTTCACAGTTTATTTATATATAGAACAACAGGGATGTGGCAGCAGATTGCAGGGTGTAATTCAGCTGATGAGTTTTACCAAGATCATAAAAATCACTAGCAAAGCTTGAACAGACCATAAAACAGTAGCTTTACAACACCCCATCCCAACTACCTCACTCGATGATTTCTTTTGGAAAATGTTGCCATATGTGTGGGAATCATGTGACAATAAGAAGATGATATATGAATAATGCTCTTCATCCTCATTGGGTGGATGGCAATGCAGAGACATTACTTGTGAAATTTTTCCGGATCTAAATCAATAACTTGTTCATTTGCTTCACTGTAAAACCGGCACTTGAAACTATTTTACTCCCACCTCAATCAAAACAAAGTTATGTTTACTGCTGGAGCAATTTGAAATCACTTTTCAGTGAAGAGCAATTGGGGGCAGGAAAAGTAATTTATATTTCCCATCCACTCTTCTGTGTTGTCTGGGGAGAACTTTTCACCTACACTGTGTAGCGCCATGTGCCAATTAACTTATAATACTATTTAAAGAGCTAAGAGTGCAATTGTCTCTTACACAACCCAAGAACTTCTTAGTGTAATTCAAGTTTAAAAGTTTGTTTGAAATTGAATGCAGTAAAATCAGATTAATACCAGAACCTAAATCATCAGTTTGAGTAGGACTCACAATCTAATCATGACCTTAGCCCAAAATTTATGCTGCATTGTTAGTGTTGACTGAAAAATGTAATGAATAGAGATGTTATATACTATAGAATGTTTGTACATGCAATATGTGTAAAATACGTATACGACACAGAACACAGATAAAGATGCAAAATATATGCATGATGAAGAATGTGTAAATGATATAGAATAGTTACTTGACTCCAGGAATGTCCAGTATGTTGGTGAGACCTGTCCAGTTGATTTCCAAGGTCTGACATGGAAACAGATAAAAACATCAGCAAGCTATAGGTTTATTTTGTAACTTACAATTATGTTTCACCTGGAGCGTATAACATCAGGACATCTCAAAGCATGTCACAAATAATTTCTCTAAAGTGTATGCAAATGGAGCAGCCAGTCTGCACACAGCAAGTCATGAAGCGAGTAATCAATTTATTTAGAGGACTGTTGCCAGATACCATAGCAGTCAATCTGGAGACTTTGGGCCCAGATTGCCTAATTATTGGCCTATGCCCTCCTCAGGAACACTTCACTGTAAAGGGGGAGCTGAACTGCCTGCCAGAATATCATCCTTGGGAAAGCAAAATTGATTAGAAAAAAAATCTAGGGCCCCAAAAATTTACATTTAGCAATTAGTCATGCTACATTTGAAACTTCTAAGATGATGACTAAACATTAATTTGCTAACCTAGCAGAAGACAAAGTTTAGCTATCCTAAACAGAGAGGACGAGGGAAGGAGACAATCAGAGGTGAAGAAACTCAGGGGCACAAAGACAATGTTCTAGAGAGAGATAGAAACTGAGATGTGTCAAGCTGAGGGCAGAGAGAAAACATCCCGTGATAAAGAAAGTCTACTTTAAAAAAAAAGCCTTGTTCTGAAATCACCTTCAGAAGCTTGGTTGGTTGAGAACAGGTATCTTTTATCTTTCTTTTACATAATTCTTTACAGTGTGGGAAATCCCTGGGAGAGAATATTAAGTAAAAACTAACCGAGACCCAACATCAAGCCTAAAATTTACAAAACAAAATTATAAATTCTGGGTAAAACAAAATGGTGGTGCAAATGACTGACGTGGAGAGGGTTTCCTGAAAAGTACTTCTTAAATAAAGAATGAAACACTATTAGGCCAGTGTTTTTAGTGGTATTCACTGCTGCTTGCATCAGGAACAACTTCAAAACTCCAAGCTTATCTGGCCCACTTTTGCTAGAAATTTTAAAAAAAGGTTTGAGTAGACTTACCGGGGGGCGAATGAAGAACAAGGTCACAGCTCCAACCAGAGGCATCTGACCAATGAGTGGCTCTAGGATCACTCGGAGTGTGCCATGTAGCTGCAATGTAATTATTAATAAAGGTCACTTTTAATTATTGACACAAACAAAAGATAATACCTCAGTGTCAAGTGAAACGTTTTCAGTGGATTCATATTTAGAAATAGGAGTTTGAGCACCAGGTTAAGAGGACTTCACCCATAAAATGCTCACTTCACCTTAATGTTCAGAGTTTGAAGGGAATCCATTTGAACAGGGTGGGTTGCTCATTCTCGACAAAAATGCCAATTTCAATATTTCTATAAATCTAAATAATAATCCTTGCATTTGATAAATTTCGCATTAACCTTTAATTTATAAAAGTAATCCTTATTTTGAGTGAATGTCCCCTCTTTGTAACCTACAATCTATTAGCCGTGGTCCTTGGACAATAGCTTAGCAGCTTCCGAGTCACAGTTCACAATCAGCTGTCACAACATTACTCTGGGCACATTAAAGACATGAATTTTTATATCTGTTTTAAATACTTAATAGCTATAATGACCTCAATAAAGTTATTGGTGGAGAAAGACGAAGAATAGAAATGACTAATTATTCAAATCACAATCGACAAAAGTTAAAAAAACAATTATCCAAATGAATTCTATTAACACAAATGAATTTCCTCAATGTGCACAAACTGGCATTAAATTACTTATTCATGACTGCTGGAAGTGACTGTGATTTCAACAGTTTCAGCAAAATGGCATCAGCTTTGTTATGGTCCTTACAAAATCACATGGAGGGAATAGCAAATTGTTTATTTTTTTCCATACAATTCAACTAGACTATATTATTATTATTTCAGAAGGAAATATAGCACTGATATAAAACGACACAGACTTGACCTTCACAAATAGACAAACCATCTGCGCAAATACCGCTGAAGAGCGTCGGGGGACACAGGCGGAGAGCGTCGGGGGACACAGGCGGAGAGCGTCGGGGGACACAGGCGGAGAGCGTCGGGGGACACAGGCGGAGAGCGTCGGGGGACACAGGCGGAGAGCGTCGGGGGACACAGGCGGAGAGCGTCGGGGGACACAGGCGGAGAGCGTCGGGGGACACAGGCGGAGAGCGTCGGGGGACACAGGCGGAGAGCGTCGGGGGACACAGGCGGAGAGCGTCGGGGGACACAGGCGGAGAGCGTCGGGGGACACAGGCGGAGAGCGTCGGGGGACACAGGCGGAGAGCGTCGGGGGACACAGGCGGAGAGCGTCGGGGGACACAGACAAAGAGTGTTAGAGGATATAGGGAAAGAACCGGGGAGTAGAGATTAAGACAAATAATGTCTCGGAGGAGTGGATACCAACACAAAAAGGGCCGAATGGTCTCCTACTGTGGTTCTGTGGCCATTCCACAATAAAAAGTCCCCATACAGAAGTTAAGCAATTCCCCATATAAAGGAAAACATGGGACCTGGCACACTCCCCTCATCAAAGCCAACACGCCTCCTGAATATGAGCGAGAACAACAACAACAAAATTACATTTGTACAGTGCCTTTCACGTCGGGAGGATGTGTCAGAGTTTTGGACCCGAGCTGGGGGTCGGGATCGGGAAGGATGGAGAGCAGGGGGGAAGCAGGGTGAGTGACAGCATGGTTGAAGAGGAGGGTCTTGAGATGGGTCTTGAAGGAGGCAAGGGAGGGGGCGAGGAGGAGGAACTGCGGAGGGAGTTCCAGAGGGTGGGAGCTGAGTGGCAGAAGGCCCGCCCGCCAAAAGTGGGGCGAGTGAGGTGGAGGACTTGAAGCAGGCTGGAGCCCGCTGAGCGGTGGGAGCCAGCAGGATGGTAGGTGGTTAGGAGGGTGCAGAAGTAGAGGGGAACAAGACCATGAAGTGCTTTGAAGGTGAGGACCAGGAGCTTGAACTGAATCCGCTGTGTGATGGGAAGCCAGTGGAGTCGGGCGAGGATGGGGGTGATAGGGACACGAAGCCTGGTCAGGAGAGGACACGGGCTGCAGAGTTCTGGATGATCCGCAGCCTATGGAGGGAGGAGTTGGGGAGGCTGACAAGCAAGAAGTTTGCATAGTCAAGCCTCGATGTAGTGAAGGCGTGTATCAGGGTTTCAGCGGCCTGCGGTGTGAGACAGTGGTGGAGCCGGACAATGTTGCGGAGGTGGGGGAAGGCGGCGCGGGTCATGGAACAGATATGGGGTAGAAAGGATAGTTGAGGGTCAAACAAGACCCCAAGGTTCCAGACTGGCTTAGCAAGGTGGAGTGTGCAACTATGGATGGTGATGCTGTCAGTGCCTGAGGTGAGGAGGCACTGTCGGGAGCCAATCAGGAGAGCCTCGGTCTTGTTGACGTTCAACTGTAAAAAGTTAGTTCTCATCCAGGATTTGATGTCTGACAGATATTTTGTCAGGACCGCAGTGGGAGCTACTGCTTCTTTTGATTAGCTCTCAGGAGACATACAGTACAATGTAGTGAAAAACAGATCCCACAACAGTATGCTGAGATCAGTGGAACTGGGGCACTAAATACAATTCTATTCACTGAAGATAACAATTCTTGCACTAAGATCATTGTGCTCGAGTCGAACTGTCAAGTTTACTGCAGCTGGTTTCTAAATCCTCATTGGTAATTCTAGTAAAATGTACATTGCAATTTTTACCCAATTACTTACAAACACTAAGGATCACAATCCGAAGGTTTTACTTACCAGAACTCCTTTCAAACCAGCTTTGCAGACTTTTTTTATCTCCACATTAATTTCACAATCCCCTATGTAGCTGAGAGAAAAATAAGAACATTTTAAAAAATGTCCATGTCAGCTAAGCAGGGTTTGGTTTGCCACCAACAAAGTGTGCGTGGTAACACTGAGCTAGATGCGGGATTTAATACAATATTTTCCTTCAAATAGCTGTTTATTAAACACAGTCTTCTGCATGTGCAAATGAGAAAAGGCCCTAAATCCAGAGATAACATACAATGAATTAGATGAGTTTTAGAAAACACTTTCCATAATGTTTCCCTAAACTAATTAGTACTCCAGTACCAATTTAACAGTGTGTATTTCCAGGTAAAAAGTAGATGGGCTTTTGAAAGCAGGGCATGTGCTTTTCCTAGTTTTGCAATGACTGTGACTCAAGCATAGTTACCTGAAGAACCGACGAGGTTTCTGTAAATAGACACTCCTCCTGCCTATGTATTCACCAGAATGGGTCTCTAAGAGAAATTTGAACCTATATTCCCAGAAAATTTCTTATAAAAACAATGGTATTTGTATTTGTATTTTGTATTTTTGTGGCTGTAAATATAATTTTCGTTCAATTCAGAGCTTCCCTGTACAAGATAAATCCATGAGGTGCATTTTCTGATGAACTGCTCTGTTCAAACTTTAACAATGAATGCCTCCCAGCCCATAATGTTCTAGCTAACTGTAGAAGCAATTCAGGACCTTGTACAAGGAGCCCATTATTAAAATATAATAAAAGCATTGGTATTTTTAGTAATTGGTTGATGATGAATCTAATTAAGTTCCATAATCAGAAAGTTTTCACAGACTCACAGAAATGTATTTGTGATTTTTCCCTGCAGACGGCCTACAAGAAAAGCAACAGCATCAGAATAGGCACCCGAAAGCCAGAGAAAAGAGAGCCTTTCACCAGACCAATAAACAATACTGTGGCCAGATTCAAAATCCGCGTCCTAGAGTTAAAAAAGTGTGGATTTACCACTACATACTCTTTATTTCTCTCTCTCTTTCTCTCACTTTTACTTACTCCTTCTCTCCCCTCCCTGACTAATTGACCCAGCTTGCCCCAAAGGTGAGGTGGGTCAAGCCAATATCTGATGTCCTTTAAGTAAATGAAAGACCGTGTTAAAGTTTAATTTTGCACTGATAATAAAAACTGACTATATGTAGTCAGTTTCAGCCATACTGTTCGGTACAATCTGCAATTGGTTGAATAGAACCATTTACCCCAGAGCAATTTAGCTAAATGAAGTCAATTGCAACAGTATGAGAAATGTGGTCCAACAAGTTTTAAGATAATTCAATGCTAATGACACTGCACACCTTACTTTAAGGCCGTTCAATGTTTGGTGGTTCTTTTTCACAGGCTCAGAAATGCTAATCTATTAATCAGTGTTAATAGTCTATGTTGAATCCAAAGCAAGGCCTTAATAAAGTTACACAACTCAACGCATCTATAATGTTTAAGTATGATCCTATATTTGGCAAAACAAATTAAATCCTTTTGAATTAGGAATCAAACTGGTTTGGTGAACGACTTAAGGTGTATTATAACAAAGCTGTACAGAAACTCATAACTTGTTGTGGCCACAGTTTCATCCCCAAGTAGCTGCAAGCCCTGACATGCCTGTGACATTGCAGGGCCACCTCACTGCAGCACTGTATTTAGCTGTATAAGGAACATGTTATTGTGCTATTTGTAGTTCTGTAATATTTTAGTCCTGAGGAAAATCCAACGCACAATTTAGAATACCACAATTTAGATTTGGATTTTTCATCAACACCAATAATATTAGTATTGTGTGTTCCACCAATGTTCCAAGAGAAAGCTCAGGAGCAAAAATCAATCTGCCTTCCCTTTCTTCATTTTTTGGGATATGTATACCAATAATATACATGTGTATTATGTATTCTTGGATCTTGTATCATTGGAGTATTTTTACCATCAGTTTTATTGTGTTGTTTTTGTCTAAGTTTCTCCTGATCATTTGGATTCACCTGCTTTGTAATTAGTGCCTCACCAAGGTTGAAAAAGATTCCTGATCAAGTTGATAAGGTTAACTGACATCTCAACAAATTATTCATTATCACAATACTGTCAGCAGTCAAAATGAAAGCTAAAGAGCAAACAGGACAGAAAAAGGGAGGGAAAAGAGCTGCAGGTGCAGACTTGAAGAGGTGCCAATAGCAGGTTCTGACATGTTCTGACTGCTGTATTCAGGGAGTGTCTAATGTTTTAAATCTGGCAGGTTGATTACAACAATCCTTTCTAATGTTGGATCCTGTGAAGGAGGATAAACCCTATCACTGCTTTTTATGGTTGTTGGCACTCAACTTATGTGTAAAAAAATGTTTTTTTTAATATATGACTCCTAAAAGGATGCCACATCAAGAGAGCTAACAAGGGCGTGTTTGGAGTTCCAGCCCTAAGTGATAATTGGGCACCAGTCCTAATTGCTAATTGAGCACTACTATAAAACTGAAGGCAAGTGAGAAGTAAAGGGAGTCTGGGGATGATGCATATATAAAAAAAGGTTGAACTATATTTTCAATATAGACCTTCTCTTTTTAAATAGTTAAAACTGTTGTACAAGTTTTGTTTTCTGGGAGTCACCCACTCCTGCAGATCCTTTTTGCACTGAGAATTTGCTGATAATTGACATATCAGAGAATCATACAGGAAAGAACGAGGCCATTTGGCCCATTGTGTCTGTGCCGGCTCTTTTAAAAGAGCTATCCAAATCAATCCCACTCCCCCACTCTCTTCCCATAGCCCTGCAAACTTGTCCTCCACAAATAATTATCTTCTCTCTTAAAAGTTATTATCGAATTGGCTTCCACCAACCTTTCAGGCAATGCATTCCAGATCCGGACAACTCGCTGTGTGAAGAAACTTCTCTTCACCTCCCCACTGTTTCTTTTAACAGCTATTTTAAATCGGTGTCCCCGGGTTACCGACCAACCCTCTAGTGGAAATAGTTTCTTCCTGTTCATCCTATCGAATACCCTCATCATTTTGAAAACATCACTTTATTAAGTCTGCTCTTAACCTTCTCTGCTCCAAGGAGAATAATCCCAGCTTCTCCAGCCTCTCCTCATAACCAAAGCCCCTCATTCCTGGTACCATCCTGGTAAATCTCCTTTGCACCCTTTCCAATGCCTTGACATCCTTCCTAAAGTGTGGTGCCCAGAGCTGAACACAGTTCTCTAGTTAAGGCCTAACCAGTGTTTTATAAAGGTTCATCATAACTTCCTAACTTTTGTATTCTATGCCCCTATTTATAAAGCTTAGTATCCTGTATGCTTTTTTTGAACCTGTCGTGCCACCTTCAAAGATTTACTTGTATGAACCCCAGGTCTCTCTGTTCCTTCACCCCCTTTAAGACTGTACCATCAGCTTATATTACCTCTCCTCATTCTTCCTCCCAAAATGCATCACTTCGCATTTCTCCACATTAAGTTTAATTTTCCACATTTCTGCCCATTTTACCAGTCTGTCTATGTCCATTTGCCGTCTGCTACTATCCTCCTTTCCGTTTACTACTTTTCCTAGCTTTGTAACATCTGCAAACTTGGAAACTGTACTCCTTATACCCATGTCCAGGTCATTTATATGGATCAAAAAGAGCAGTGATCCGAATACCGACCCCTGGGGATCCACTGCACACTTTCCTCCATTCAGAAAAACAACTGTTCACCACCATTCTCTGCTTTCTGTCTCCCAGCCAGTTCTGTATCCATGCTGCCACTGTCCCTTTAATACAGTGGGCTTCTATTTTGCTTACAAGTCTCTTATGTGGCACTTCATCAAACGGCTTTTGAAAATCTATATAAACTACCTTCATCCAACCTGCACTACTGCACTAGCTTCATCCAACCTCTCTGTTACTTCATCAAAAACTATCAGGTTTGTGAGAAACAATTTGCCTTTAACAAACCCATGTTGGCTGTCCTTTATTAACCCATATTTTTCTAAGTGAAAATTTATTTTGTCCCGGATTATAGTCTCCAGAAGTTTCCCCACTACTGGTTCCCGGGTTTATCCTTCTGCCCCTTTTTGTACAGGGGAGTAACATTTGGAACCCTCCAATCCTCTGGCACCATCCTGGTGTCCAAGCAGGATTGAAAGATTGTGGCCAGAGCCCCTGCTATTTCAAACCATTACAAATTGATGAGTTTTCATTAGTTGTAGAGCATTACAGATTGTAGCATTTAATTTGGATTATACAGCATTTACAATGTACCTTTAACAAGGATTGGACAATAAATTCGGTGGTACTAGTTTTGGGCAATAAAATCAAAGCTTTACTCTTGGGCCTTGTTGTGAACTCCAAGGGAGAAGCTAACCATAGGAAGGTCAAAGGAAGGTCTTCAGGCATGACCTGAAGATGGGGAAGGGGCAAAACGAAGGCATTGAGGAAGATTGTTCCAGAGTTTCAGCGCATAGTGCCTGAAAGTGCGTCCACCAATGGTGGAACGGAGGGTACGAGGGATAAGCAGAAGGCTGGAGCCTGTTGAGCAGAGGCAGCAGGTTGTGAGTTGGGGGGTAAGAAGGTTGGAGAGGTTAGGTAGGTGCTAGAGTATGAAGGGATTTGAAAACAATTGTGAGGATCTTGAAATCAATCAGTTTAGTGGTAGGGAGTCAGTAGAGCCTGGCTAGAACTGGTGTGAAGGAGGTACGGAGATCGGCAGCAGAGTTTTGGATCATCTGGTTCCTGTGCATGGTGGACCTGGGGAGATCGGCTAAGAGGGTATTTGAAAGGTCGAGTCGGGAGGTGACGAACACATGGACGAGTGTTTCAGCTGCATCTGAGGTAAAGTACAGTCAGAGGCGGGCACTGTGGTGGAGGAAGGCAGACCTAGTCAGGGACCAGATGTGGGGAAGGACGGACTCCTGTGGGTTGAACCTAACGCCTAGTTTGTGCACTGGTTTGGTAAGTCGAGGGATAGGTTGAGGAGGTCAGAGCCGCAAGATAGAAGACGTTACGGGAGCCATGAGTATGGCTTCCTTCCTGCCAGCATTGGTAGGAAATTTTTGCTCATCCAGGCCCTGATGTCCACTAGACAAGCCAAGAGAACATGAACAGGAGAAGTAGATTTGTGTGTCATCTGCATACATGTGGAAGCTTACCTTATGTCTGCGGATGACATTGCCAATAGGGAGCACATAGATGAGGAAGAGGAGTGGGGCCTAGGATGGAGCCTTGTGGTACACCACAGGTGACCAGGTGGGGGTAGGAGAAGCCTTGAATAGATAAAGTGAAGGTGGTTTGTTAGGTAGGATTCAAAACAGTCTAGTGCGGTCCCACTAAGGGGGATGAGGGAGGAGAAGTGGTGCAGGACTGTGTCGAACACGATGGAGAGGTCCAGGAGGACGAGGAGGCAGTGGGTACCCTGATCACAGAGAGAGAGAGGATATTGTTTATGACCTTGACAAGCCCCATCTCTGTGTTATGGGTAGGGCGGAAACCAGACTGGAGGGACTTGAGGAAGGAGTGGAGGGAGAGGCGAGAGCAAAACTGGTTAGCAACAACGCACTCCAGAACTTTGGCAATAAAGGGCAGGTTGGAGATGGGTCAGTAATTTGTGAGGTTGGAGGGGTCAACTTTGGGTTTTTTGAGGAGGGGAAATGGTGACAGTGGTTTTAAATGGGAGAGGCGATAATTGCAGAGATCCTCAAGCCACAGTTGGTGGTGGATTGTGAGACCGGATTTGTGCCTTGAGCGTCCAGGTTTTTGTTTGCGGGAGCGGAGGTGACTGTTATAGCAGGGGGAGCGAGTAGATTTGGAGATAGACGTATATTTCAGGGGGGCAAGGGAGTTGAGGGTTTCAGAGAGGCAATCGTTTAGCAGCTTGAAGGCTGCATCAGGATCATTGCTGATGGAAGTCCAGAGGGAGCAGAGATCCGAGGAAGAGAAGTTTGTGAAGGATCCGGGTGGAATCTGTTTCAAAGGTTGGAAAAAGATGGTGGAGGACACGGGAGAGGGGTGCGGGAGGAGAGGGAGATGAAAAAATGGTCTGAGATGGCCTTGTCTGTGATGGACAGATCGGAGATGTCTAGGCCATGTGTGATAATGAGGTCAATAGGGAGGCCATAGTTGTGGGTAGGGGAGTTTATGTAGAGGGTGGGGTTTAGTGTGGAGAGGAGGTCAGTGAAGTCAGAGCAGATGGGACTAGTGGAGTTTAGGTGATCAGGTGTTCAGTGCAGCGGCAGAGGGATGAGAGCTGGGAGGAGATGTCAGGGATGAAGGAACCAGACAGTTTGGGAGGATGATAAATAATGAGGATTTTGAAGAACAAGGAGGGATGGTTCAGGGTTAAGTGTTCAAAAGAGGGGACGGTCCTGGAGGAATAGGGGTGGTTAATATTGATTGTTCACACACAGGTTTGAACATTTTCCAATACTCAGAATCTTATCGGAGAAAAAACAAAGAACGTGGGATCTAAATAAAAATGCAACCTTTTACTTAGATTAGAAAATGTCTTAAAAATGCAACTTTTCGGAAAGTGAAATTACCTAATTTGCAAATCAATGATCACTTGTCGTTTGTCCACCTCATCTGTGTACACTTTAACCCCAGCAATTTTAGGTGACTGTAAAGAAAAACATTCTATCAGCAGACTCTCACACATAGAACTAAACAAAAATGTATAGTCAAGAGATTGATACATTGGTTATGAATTAAAACACGTTTTTAAAAGAAGGCTTGAACAGTACTTTGTACAAAGCTAGCTTTAAAACATCTCATTATTTGTTATTTCTCCTTAAAATTACTTCTGAGAAAAAGTTCTGAATAACTAACCTCGTCATACTCAATATTTACAATTAAATGATTCTTTTGAAATGATTATTATTTATTTTGAGACGTCTTGACGACGTGATAATTTTGTCACTCAATTCATGACTGTTTGTAGGACATTGCTGTGCGCAATTGGCTACCATGTTTTGCCCACAAAATAAACAGTCAATATACTTCACAGTATATTCTGTGAAATGCTTTGAGAAGTCTCAACAATGTGATAAGGCGCAATATCAAATGCAATGATTATTATTGTAATATCAAATGCAATGATTATCGTTAAGATAAACTCCATGACTTGTGTCTCTTTGCTCTGTTAGCAACATCAGCCTCAAACAGACTGGAATGATGATGCTGAAGATTCCTTGTCTGCAGAGAATTAGATTACAAAACCCTCAGATGGACTATTTAATTTGCATTTTGAGCTATTAATACTGCCGGATTTCACAAGTGCAGTTTTAATGAATAACAGTTTAATGTAGGTTAATCAAACTTATTTTTCTTCTGTACAATATCTTCTATAAATATGCTGTGACCAGATGAGCAATGCAGGATTGCAGTGCCTTTCCAGATCTCTAGCTAATAGAAATCTTAGTTCACAGGAAAAGGATCATATTAAATATTCACAACAGATGTCAGGAATTTTAATATTTTGTCTCCCCCCCCCCACCTCAATCGTTCACCTAAACTACACTCTGAAAATAGGAGCATAAAGAAAATATTGTCCAACTCTGGAAACAAGCATTTGTTTCAGATGATGTACTTATCAATGTGCCAGATTGTTTCTTTGTGTTTCAAACAATTTGAAGTGACTGGATTATCACCAAATGGGCTAGTGTGACAATTATAATAACTAAACAAGAGCATTACTGTATTTGCAAGAAATAATTAGATGCTTAAATTAAAATACACTTTAAAATACAAGATTGAGTCACTGAATTTGATGTTCAATAGATTTTTTTGCCATTGGTCATAGAGGTCACGTTGGGAAGCTACTCTGCTGACGGGACAGTGAGTCTGTGCTTCAGAAAAGTTTTGAATTAGCATTTAATAAAAGACTAAAATCTTAAAAAGTTGAAATCAAGAACAAAAGCTAGACGAATAAGAAAAAATTGTAAAAACGGACAGTTAACTGTTTTAAGTTATTTAATTGGTATGTTAGTGGCTGGTACATACGCTATTGTAGATTCATACAAATACAGAACCATAGAAATATATAGCACAACAGAAGGACTTTCAGCCCATCATATCTGTGCTGTCTCCTTTTAGAGCAATCATTTCAGTCCGATTCACCTTCCTTTGTCCCTATACCCCTGTGGCTCCGGGCAGGGTATTCCATATCCTAACTACTCTGTGTGTACCTAACTACTCTCTATGTAAGAAAAAAATTCTCCTAACCCCTCCATTTACTTATTACTATCCTTCTTAAATTGATGCCCTCTAGTTACTGAGTCACCACCCAATGGAAATAATGTTTCCCTGTTGTCTCTATCAAAACCCTTCATAATTCTAAAGACCTCCATGAAGTCACCCCTCAAACCTGCTTTCAACAAAAAAAAGTTTCCAGTTCCTCCAGTACTCAGTACAGATACATTCTGGAAGGAAATCCAGACTACACTCTGTGACCGCATTGTGTAGAAAATGTATCAGGAAAGCTGATAACATAGAAATAAATGAGGCAGAGATTTTGACACATCTATCAATTTTTTTTATATATAAAAAATACATATGCTGATAAACTGAATGATTACAGAATGTGCGAGATAGGTATTGAATTGAAGAAGTAGGTCAGCCACAGTTTGGTGCAATTATTGCACATACTGTTTGCTACTTTCATTCTGAGTTGAAAAAACATTGGTAAAAACTATGACATTTAAATATGAAGACAACAAAATTCTTAAAGTGATCAGGGAGCATTGTCTGTGTCGAATGACAGGAAGTCAGATCTCAAGTTTAGTTATATTATGAATATATCAATGCATTACTGAACTTGGATGAATAGATGAACAGACTATTTATTTCTCCTCCATTTTCAGTGGACCAGCAGCCAATCCACACAGAATGCTTACAGCTGAGTCGGCAATCAATGCATTTAGTTCAAAACTCTAAATACCAAGAATTTCATTCATAACTTCTCTATCTTTTAATCACGTTACCCAGTTTTGTCGATATTATCCCTCTTCATCCATATAACTTGCAAATTTTAAAAATTTGGATCATACATCCCCAAAAGATTATAGAGATTTAGCTACTTTGGCATCTCTTTGTAGTTCAGTGAATTCTTTTGTTGCCCTTTCCTGAATCTTTCTACGTTTCCATGGCTTTTCAGTCGCAAAGTGATTTCAAATGAACATATTGTAATCCCTTACATCTTAGTATTGCCCTCCTTGTTAATCAAATGTAAAATTTATGCAAACATAACAGAATTAGCACAGGCAGAGTTACACAGATAACATCCATCAGGCCTGACCAAAGGGCTGGTTCACTAGCAAAGCTGCAGTTCTCTTGACTATGCTGAGAACCCTTCCTCTATCAAACAGTTTCAGAATAGCTGGTACATTCAGAAGGAATATCAGCTGCAAAAGATCATTGTTTTTACCTTTTCTCCAAAATGAAGTTTTGAAAATATGAAAGTTTTCAGGTAGACATTTGATCCACATATTGAAGGCTCAATGCGGTCTTTAAATAATTTCTCCAGATATATCCCAATGTATGGCCAGGCTTGACTCACAATCTGGTCAGAAAAGCACAACATTAGGGAGAAGTTGCAGATATTGAGAAAATGAAGCTCCGAACAAAGTTTAATCAAACCGACATCTATTGCACTCGAATGGCCTGCTTCTGCTCCAATGACCCAGAAGATGCTATTTTTTAATTTATATTTTTGTCACCATGACAAACAAGAACACAAATAGACTGCTTGTGTTTACTTTCAATTAAACCAGAATTAAATTGATTTAAAATCTTTTCCTTGCAAATTTCTGGAACTGATAGTGGGTGATTCGGTCATGGTTTCTGGTTGCAGATGTGAACCAGCTCTTTTGAAGATCACACTGCAAAGAACTAATGGAAACAGTGCATAGGATACAAGATCCCAAGATTTGTTCTGATGAAGAAGGCCTTTCAGCCCATCTGATCTCATCTTTCCTGAATAACTTACTGTACCCCTATCATACCATGAAGCTTTTTTTGTTTAATTGAGTCCAGTGCTTTTTGTTTTAAATAAGGCTTCAACCAGCCTTCCTGGAAAAAATGTTACAGTTGTTAATTACCCACTGGATAAAGAAAAACCTCCTGGTGTCTGTCCTGAAATTTCGCTTTGTGATTCTTTAGCACTGGTTAAAGTAGATTGGGTCTTTAAGCACCCACAAGTTGCTGGTGCTCTGATCTTGCCAGAGTTAATCTGCGGTTACCCTGCAGGCCATGAGAGCTTTAAATGTGATCATTGGAGTTTTGTTCTTTTTACCTTGTTCAACCATTCAACTCTTTCTACATCTGGAAAATGGACCTGAAAATAAGGGGGAAAAAACACGTCAGGAAAAATGACAGAATAAATCAGAATTGATCTGAGCTTCAACAACCCAAATGGTCGTTCTTATTTAGTGACTAACTTTCAAACGAATGAGGGCAACACCACAAAACATTTACATTGTTGCTGTTGTATCATCAGCAGTCAAACTGCCTCCATTCTCATTCAGTGCATCCCTGGAAACAGAATCAAGGATATACATATAAGAGACCAAAGCAGATTCTGGATATGTGCAGATTTGGATATATGCAGCATTTTAAAGTCAAGATTTCTCAGGTGAACATTTAATATCTCATTTAACATGCCCAGAAGACATCAGATTTAAATGCTAATGCTGTGAAACTCAAACCTCATTTGGACTGCTAAATATATTGAATTCCTCACATCTGAATTGGTTGCCACTTTATTTGAGAACTGAACCAACTGGACTCCTGCTCAGATCCCTGCTCCTCACCACTCTAAATTTTCAATACCAGCTCTTATTCCAGTGCACCGAGATAGACTCTATGCACCTTGACCACTGTGAGCTGAATGACCAAAGAATCCTATATCCTTTTTAAGGCTCTCACCTCAGTATAGGTGCATTACCATTGCTTGAAGTGACACTTTTAAGTTAGAACTAGATTTTGTTAAACTGATTTGCAAGCATATGCATGCACAAACACACAAAGTAATTAAGAATAAAATGTATCCCTACTCAAACAAGGATGTGAGGACTATGAAAGAACAAGAATAATCAGGGATAAGTAGTATTAGGACCACTGCTCTTTTAAAATCAATATAAATGACCTGGACCAGGGTTTAGGGAGCAAAATTTCCAAGTTTGCAGATGATACAAGGCTAGGAAAAGTAGTAAAGGGTAAGGAGGATAGTAGCAAACTGCAGGAAGACTTAAGACAGACTTGTGAAATGGGCAGACACGTGGCACATGAAATTTAATGCAGAGAAATGCGAAGTGATGTATGTTGGGAAGAAGAATGAGAGGCAATATAAGTTAGATAATAATGGTACAATCTTAAAGGGTGTGCAGGAGCAGAGACCTGGGATTCCACATAAGCAAATCTTTGAAGGTTGCAGAACTGGTAGATGAAGCTGCTAAAAAAGCCTAGAGGATCCTTGGCTTTATAAATAGGGATATAGAATACAAAAGTCAGGAGGTTATGATGAACCTTTATAAAACACTGTGGTTAGGCTTCAGCTAGAGTACCGTGTTCAGTTCTGGGTACCACACTTCAGGACTTTGACTTTCAAGGCTTTGGAGAAGGTGCAAAGGAGATTTACCAGGATGGTTCCTTGAATGAGGGACTTCAGTTTTGTGGAGAGACCAGAGAAACTAGGACTGTTCTCCTTGGAGCAGAGAAGGTTAGGTGGAGATTTAATAGAGGTGTTCAAAATTATGAGGGGATTTGAAAGAGTGAACAGGGAGAAACTGTTTCCACTGGCAGTTCAGTCAGTAGCCAGAGGACACAGATTTAAGATAATTGTCAAAAGAACCAGAGGGGAGATGAGGAGAATTTTTTTCACACAACGAGTTGTTCAGATCTGGAATGACTGCCTGAAAAGGTGGTGGAAGAAGATTCAATAAAAACTTTCAAGAGAGGAGAGATAAATATTTGGGGAAGACAAATGTGCAAGGCTATCGGGAGAGAGCGGGGGAGTGGGATTAATTTGGATAGCTCTTTCCAAGAGCCGGGATGGACACGATGGGCTGAATAGTGTCCTTCTGTGCTGTATAATTCTATTCTATGATAGCATCCTTATTGCTCCACGTTTGCTAGATCTAAAAGAACATCCTTGGATGTCCAAGGTCTGCCCATGGTTTTCCAGTGTGCTAGAAACACTGGCCTTATAATTTATATGACCATCGATGAGACAGAGAATTTTTAAATCAAAATGCAGCGTGAAGCGGTATGCTGAATGATGCTTATTTATTGGACTTTCTTAAACTCATTCAACTTGACATTACCCAGTGACTCCACATTAGTAACATGCAGTGTTTTGTAAATGTCCAAAATTTGCATATAGCAGTTTCCATAAAATAAACTTTAATGAGGTGGAAAAACTATGTTTGCTTTCATTTTATGATAGACTATGCATGCATCTGATTTGCACACAAGTGAATTTGGCTGTACAGTGGATTATTTATCTATACAAAAAGCAACATGGTGTGGGATTTTCAAGTAGATGATAGCATTATTGGCTTTCATCCAGGAAGCTATTTTGAACTGTGCACCTACGCAAACAGTAATAGTTTGTCACTGGTATTGAGCTGAATCTTGGGAAGAGTGGCAGTAACTGCTGATGACTTCAATTTTATAATTTAAAACCACTTGTGCATAGTCCTACAATTGGCATCAGCACTCTGAGGAAAAGAGAAGGAATTCAGCCAAGTTTTCCTTTTTGTACCTGTTAAGATTCATGGTACATTTTTGAACCTTACTGCTATCACAGCCCCTTTCAAAGCACAGAATCTCAGTACAGTAATAATAAATCTTACATTTGGTATAGTGCCTTTTACATCTGGATGATGTCTCAAAGCACTTCACAGGATAGTGACTGTGAAGAGCTTTGAGACATCGTCTTTGAGTAAGTGAAACGTGGCAGCCTATTTGCATACAGCAGTGGCCCACGAGCAGCAATGAAGTCAATGACCAATTTTATTTTGGGGGATTGCTTGGGCAGGACTCCAGGAGAAACCCCCTTCTTTTTTCAAACCATATACTCATGCATAGGTCTACAGCAATTCTGTTTAACATTTCATCTGCAGGACAGCACCTCCAACAATTCAATGCACCTAGGACTGTATTGGAGAGTTAGTCGGTAGTGCAATGAAAATATGTTATTTGAAGAGGTTACAGTATTTGCCTTCTGATTTGCACATCTGCATAAAAGAGTCTATTATGTTTTAATTGGAGTCCTGTAATTCAGTGGTTAGAGCGCTCGCCTCGCAAGTGAGAGATCTGGGTTTGATTTCCAGCAGGACGAAATGTTGGGCAAGTTTCCTTACTCCACACACCTCTGTTCACCTAGTAGTAAGGAGGAACCTGGTTGTAAGTCTTGAGCTCTGGTCAACATGAGGTTCATGGTTATTAATTATTATTATTCTGGGATATTTTTGTCTGGTGAAGAAAATTTTGAAGGTTTAAGATTTAGATGGTTGTGATTCCTGGGAGACTTCCATTCTGATGACAATGGAAGTTATAATGGGTGGAGAATATGCTCAGCTACAAGATCATTAATAGTTATTGCCTTCACTCAGTCTTTAAATACGACTCAATAGTTTTATTGTTCCAAAGTACAGGAGAGCAATGACTCATCATAACACTTTTCCAATGGTAGTTTTCCTACATTTTTCCTTTGGACAGATCCAAGTGAGAATGGACGAAACAACTGTGAAAATAGTTGGGGTATTTTGAGCTAAAGTTCACATTACCACCTGTAACTTGCTCCTCATGTTTTCCTTTTCTTCTCTTTCTGTTTTTTTTATTGCATTATCAGCTCTCACCCTCTGACAAATGCACATAAGTGAATAAAAATTATCCTTACGTTTGCTAATAGTGCCTTTCATGTTGGACGTCTCAAAGCACTTTGTGAGATATAATATGCGGATTATACTGTAAACTTATGATGGTATGTCTTGATTGCAAACATCTCTGCCAATATTTACACAACAATGCCCTACAAACAGCCATAAAGTGAATGGCCAATGTTATTTGATAGGTTGTTGGCCAGGAAACCAGGAGAATGGCACCATGGGATTTTTAACATCCATCTGAACAGGCAGATGGAACCTTGTTTTAACATCTCATTTGAAGGTCAGATCAACACTTCTCAAACATACCTCAAGAAGTCTTGTGAGAATGGCAGTATGACACGTGGACATGACATTGCTGCTGAAGAAGAAGGCTGTTATTACCTATTCTCACTCCACCTCTCCTCTACAAGTTAAGCTAGTTTCCTTTTTAAAGTGAGCAAAAATGGGCATAGCTGCCAGGAAAGCCAAGCGAAAACCATGAAATCAGATGAAACTAAACCATTATTCATGTCCAAACCTGTTCAACCTGTTTCAATCAAAATGCTATTAGAACTTTATGTAGTAACCCAGAAGTATTTATTTACGAAATAATTAATGAAAATCTAGAACTGATTACCAGGAAGAGTGATTTTTTTAAAAAAAGCTGGATGTTATGATGGGAAGATAGATTTGCTAATCTGTAAAAGTGAGATCAAATCTTCATTATGATTTAATCTTAAAATAATTTAGCAATTTAGTGCAATTCTATGAAAGACATGCTGCATGTTGTATCATGAGCTATGTGCCAATGGGACAGGTCAGTGCTGCAAAATGAAGACTGGCCATTGAACAATGATCACAGGATTCTATGCCCAACACTGGACCACAGCAGGAATCACACAGAAAGTTGAAGTGGTTGATGCTTATCAAGTGAACCACAGAATAGATTGCTCCACAAGCATCTGTCATTGTAAAAGAAGACATTGATTGAATGGGCTAGAGTTTTTCCAGTTCTGATTTTTAAAAAAAAAATTGGTCAGCATTTGTCAGTGGACTTTAATCTATGGTGGAGGATTCTCTGACTGTAAATTGATAGGATTTAGTAGTGTTTATTTGCAGCGGAAATTTTTTAAATTTATTGTATTCATGAATATTCCTGGTTGAGTTTCAATATTTGAAGTTTCCATTTTTCGTTGATATTATTAGTCACAAAGGGAGTATAACAATAATACAGTAAGGATAACCAGAATCATATAGTAGCGGGTTCCTCCAATGTTCAACAGGTCAGAGACACTATGTAGAACTATATTTGGTCATACAATGCAGGAGTGGCCTGTTTACTGTCATAACAATGCCACGGTCTCAAATGTCTTGGTTGCTATCACTATGTGTCTATCAAAGTTAATTAATTATTTGACAAGCTTTTTTTGTGTATACACAAAAAGGCATTTACAAACATCTGCAC